ACCGTTGATGGAAGGGAAGACATGCTCTCCGAATTTCTCCAAGAGCTGTGATGATGTGAGATATCAATGTTTAACAACTAACACTGGTCGAAAGAAAGATTATCTGATTTTGGTATTGAGAACTTTAATATCCTAAGGAAATTATTCAGGGAAACTGAGGAAATATAGAAAAAGTTCCTGTTTGTTGTTTTTGCCCTGAAAACGTTAAAGATTCAACACCTTTTTATGGTGGCATAGGTCTATCGTTGGGCCCCCCATATTTTTGCGTGATGCGTTATTGGCCATAATTTCTTGCGTGAAGTCATAAAATCTCTATTTTGTGCGTGATTCCGTGATTCCTACGTGGAACGTGAAACCTGAGCTTTCCTTGCGTTATGTTGTGAAAAGGCTTTAACTGTCCGTCAGTTCATTCATGAATGAAATATTAAACCAATAATAGTTAAATCTCAAATAAGTATTTTGTTGAGTCATATTACACACGAGTCTCTATTCAACTGCGATTGGCTCTATCATTATCAAATTTAAATCGTTTCTGCTGATTTGTAGAGCTAGCAAAGTGTATACATCCAAAGTTGTTTTTCTTTTTTATATACATTCAAAAAAGTTACATAACAAGTTACTGTAATACCTTAACTACACGCTACCTTACATACACTACAAAGGGGATACCCCGGGGAGCATCACCTCTGTCTACCCCGGGGGCATAACATAGAGAGGGGAAAAATTAACGTTTGTAATTACAAATACTTTCAGGGCCTCCGACGAAAGGGGGCCTTGGCCCCCCCCCACTTTTTTGCAAAACAACAGAGTTTTTTCAAAAATCTTTTGTTATGGGTATTAAATTTTCCTTTGGCCCCCCACTTTTCAACCTTTGTCGGAGCCCATGACTTTAAGATATAAGAGTTGGTCTATGGGAAGTAAACTTTAAACGAAACCCCCAGGTAAGAATTTGTCGGCAAATCTGAGATTTTGTCGGTAAATTTTAATCTGGTTTTGGTTAAAACAATCTTCGTTTGCTAATGGATAAAATTTTCGACGGCAAACATTGGCAGTCCCAAGTCGTCGCGTCGTGCACACAGGGGCGAAACTACCGGGGGGTGTGGGGGGGTGTGACACCCCCCCAATCCAAAAAATAGTCGATTTCGCAGGGCAATCGAAGATTTCGCAGGGCGCCAAGAAGAGCTTTGTTGCCACGCAGAAACGCCACCTCTGAAGTTCGTAAAGGGCCGTTCACGAATTTTGAAATGGAAATATTATATTTGTTATAAACCTCCCTTCCTGACATTGCATTTTAGAGGACGGAAAAGGTATGTCAGGAAGAGCTCCGTTATTAGCAAAGCGAAAGCATTCCTTACCGAAAGTCATAGCCAATAGATGCAATGATTGATGCATATGTTTATGAGGGCAAGATTGAGTCCATATAAATTAATTTAAGTTGTAAATTATTTTCGTGACAAGCACGGCGTCACTGGGGAGGAATAAGGGGCTAAAGTCCCTCACTTTGGTCAAGATAGGAATTTTTCTATCATTTTTTCTATTACTTTTTAACAGTGCATGAACTAAAAAACATAATAAATCGTTAAGATACCGATTTTGTTTCATCTAATTGCTAACTTTTTCACGTATATTTTTATTATTTTTCTTTTATTTGCATTAATTCAGTTTCAATCATTTTTTGTATCATTGCAATGTTTTAATTTTGGATGTGTAAACATGGCCTTCTTGATACAAAAACTGCACATTTCTTTTCAGGAAAAAAAATTCTCCCAATCAAAACAACATCTTCCTCTGTCATTCACAACTACGTGCAATCTGAAACGAAAGGTTGCCGTTTCTTTCCTTTCCCAACGTGTAACACTAGAGTTTTAGCATGACATCCCCCTCCCTATTGTTCCCAATAAACAATAATATTTTCAATAAACAATCAGTTCTTTTAGCACAATAGTATTTTGCTAAATTTTTGTCTGAAAGATGCTTTTTATTCCTTTTACAAGGTATAATTTCAAAAAATTTCTTCACGTCGGACCCAACCATGGTGGGTCCTCCTACCTCACTAAACTCGACTCTTAGCCCCACTGGGCTAAATTTCGTTGCGCTGTCTACATCATGTGCCCCCTACCCTAATTAGCTGTATATAAGCTTAATTTTGCAAACCAACATTAAATGAAGTGAATATAAAAAAACAATTTACGCTGATGTAGAGAAATAGAAATTTCATAGGCAGTGAAGTTTCAAGTTTGTTTTTATTGCTTAGAGGTTTGTCCTTGGTAAAGGCCAGTGTACACTGGTAAAGCTTTCACTAGTAACCTATAGACAAACCGTTGCTACTAGGTCTGCAGGGCACCACTCAGTTTTGCAGGGCAGAAACCCTTTTCACCCCCCCCAAAACTATTGGCCAAGTTACGCCCCTGCGTGCACACGCTTCTTATCTTTTGATATGACATTCACGTTTCCCTTAGCGGCAAGGTGACAAGCAATCCCTTCTATTGTTTTTTTTTCTACACCAAGAACACCAAGAATCGCCAAAACCCTCAGCAAGGAGGTGACTCAGATGGGAGGAGGCTCAGCAGGGAGGAGGCAAGACTCAAATCCCGCTCAAATCCAGTCGCGCAACTGTGAATTTAGGATGTTCCCGAATGCAAGCATATCCAGAATAAACTCATCCCCAATATAAAATTTATCAACAAAATAAAAAAGCCTTAGAGGGGCCCTTGCGAATGTTTCAAAAAATTATTATGTGGAAGAATGAACACTTACATGCACTCATTTTTTTATAAAAAGCAATGGTCGGTGTAGAGTACTCCAGTTTCTCAATATTCTGGAAATTTCAATACTAATTGTTGCAAACTTCATATGCAATACGCATTGCAAACTTCATATGCATGAAAATATACACAAAGTTTGACATGTAAATTGATAGAAGATTGTAGATAGAAAATTCCTTTTTTGTTAACGCAAGAGAAAATGTGTCATTTGAAAATCCAACCAATGGGTCATTAATTTTAAAAATAATGTTCTTTCTTATCGTTGCTTTAAATATTTTATATGCATTTTCTGGCCATTCTTTGAATGTCTTAGTTAAAAGTTTTTCTCGCCGCCAACGAAGGTGGCGGCTTTCACTAATATAAACATTTTGCCCCCGTCCTTAACATGGTATCAATGTTCTGATCTTAACTGCCCGCTGAAACAATCAATGTACTGCCTGGCTGCTCAACCAATGATCGGAGAAAACATCAACCTTCGTCATGCTCAAAATGCAATTACTACATGAAAAGAAAAACTCAGAAATTTCATAGAGCCCCCCGTGTTGAAATTATACGGCTTCATCCCTGCTAGAAATGTATACAAAAATTTTGTCGGTTCATTAAGTGTCTTTGACCCTCCCCCCCCCCCAGGAAAAATGCTCAATTTCCGCCACTGGGGTTAACATAGGCTTCGAGTACATTTTTGACACAAGCGAGGAGACTTTTTCTAGGTTCATCCAAAATTTGAAAGTAGTGTTGCAGTCCTTCAAACAGGACTATTACATTTATTGTTTGCTTGAGCGTGAAAATACAATTTTGCAGTGTGTGAATGCGTGAAAAGTCAACAAATTGTGCATGAATGTGTGAATCACAACCACTATGGGGGGGGGGGGGCTATCGTTCACATCGAGATCGATTCAATTCGATCGCTGTGTTGCATTGATATGGGCCGTTGCATTGATATTGACTATGGTATTTTGCGGCGCAGCACAAATATGCAGAGCACTTTGCCATGCAAATATTGTCGTTGGCCTGGCCAATAAAGTGTCGATATTATGCCTCAGGGGCAGCCTGACAGGGGGGCCCCCCAGCTGACATTTTTTAGGTTCGCCAAAGCTTGTGTTGGGTGCCGAAAACTAAAAAAAAGTTTGATACGACCGACTTGTCTGGTTATTAGGTCTCTAGGTGCCAGCAAAGACAAAGAAGACGCCATGAAATTCAAAACTTTATTGGGGCGCACGCCCCCATACCCCCTAAAACATTCTCACTTCAAGGGCACGTCTTTGTGCCCCTTCAGTACTGTATTATCCAGACAAAAAATTTGTACTGTTCGCAGGGGCGAAAAAATTAATCAATTTTTTATAGGATTGTTAGGAAACTTACGTAGTTAAATTCTTTTATGGCCTTCAGAAACCTGCTCATGTGGGGTCAGCAGATTTTGTCTCATTGCTTCATTTCTCACGAAAGGACCATTTTGTCTCGACGATACAAAGATAGGATGGATTCTTTTCCTTATTACAAAGTTATGAAATCCATTTTAAGACTGGAATTAATCAAACGTGCTAAAAGGATGCCTTAAAAATAGCAAAATTTTTAAACGATTTCAAGAAAATGACTGCAAAAAATATTTTGAAATGTTTTTTAAGCCAATCTAAAGGGCGTGGTCGCAAAAATTTTCTGCTCGCTCCGCTCGCAAGAAAGCCTCTTTTATTCAGAGTTATACCAAGGGCCTCCCGGCAACCTCTCGCCGGCCTTTCCCAATGTTGGTTTTTAGTCAATTAAAGCTATTAACTCGAGCCCCCCCCCACTTTGAATTTCTTGGCACCGCCCCTGTACTGCCAATATCCTCAGGAATGAGACAATAGTGTTAGTTATGGGGGGGGCACCATTTTGATACTGCCCCCCCCCCAGGCGAAAAGGACCAGGCCCCCACTGTTATGCCTAGTATCTGTAGGATCTTTGTTCAGCAATAACACTTTGTTCAGCAATAACGTGCTGTTGTCAACAAAGGACCCGTCCTAAAAGAAATAATAGTTATATACATGAAGAAGATAGAATATTAAAAGTGCAAACCACAGGGGGTTGACCTTGGAAAGAATGGATGTAGATTGTCCTCGAGGGAGGTTCTAGGTTTTTGAAACCATAACTACTCTTTTTATTTTACTTTTAATGAATTCTCACTTTTTATTTTTTCAGTAAAAATGATCTCAAACAGATGTGTGCAACTGAGCACCAAAACCTCCGGTTTCACAAAATGTATTGGTATGGTATGTACCTCAGATGTAAAAAGAAGCAAGTACACGGTCGCATCTGAAGACAAGTCAATAAGAAGCAAATATAATGAAAACATTCCAACAAATTCATCGGTGTATGACTTCATTGTCAACAATTTTGTGAAAAACCCAGAGAAAATTGCACTGGTGAGTATCTGCTTTCGGTTTCTCGTGGAGATGTGGCTTATATGCCCTTTACATCTGAGATTTTTATAGCAAGGCAGCGGGACGTAAACCAAGTTTGCCAAGTTTTTGAAAATAATACCTGTGAGAGTTCATTAGAACAACTAGTGAACAATGGAACTAGGGTCCAGGGTTGGGGGCAGAAGAATTCCGAATTTCAGTTGATCTGGAGTGCTCAAGTGGTTTTATACTAGGCTATTCAGAATGCCTAAACAATTGTTTATTTCACATTTAAAACATTCCAGAAAAATACAGAGAACAGGCTTTTCAACGTAAGAATAAAGATTCGAAGCAATGAACAATAATAATCTTGTATATTATTGATACATTAACGCGTTTGACAATCATTCGGTCTGGGCAAGTGATTGTCATAAACAATGTAGTGGAATGTAATGTGTTCGGCAACCACTGAGGCGTTTGATCTGGATTAAAAGAAAAATGAGGCCTAGGAAGAAATCCGTGAGAAAAGTAACTCCCGTCTCTCGAGACTGCGAGAAGAGGTGCATATCCGTTAACACCTTGACAACGTTGTAAACAAAGAGAGTTATGATGCAATGTACTCTCGTTTTCCTTCATTTGCTATCAAAAAGGCCCAAGAAATAGTATGGGCCTTCTGTGGCTGAAGAATGGGGCTCCTCCCCAGTGTGACCAGATCTCAATTTTGGAATTATGCCAAGTTCGTGTATCAAGTTGGAAATAAGTTATGCTAGATTTGCAAAAATTATGCTAAGACCCCGTTTACACAAGACCTGGACCAGATCGGATCCACAAGTATCCGGATACTTTTGGATCCGATCCCTGAAATGGCAATGCGTTTACACGGGATCCGATCCAGAACCATTTGCGTTTACACGGGAACGGATCCAGATGAATTCAACAGGTTAGGCGCATGAGCTTTTCGAAAATTGGCGCGCATATGAGGTTTTCAGAGCATTGTGCGTGATCAAAACACAGTTCAACCTGAACATGGAAGGAGATAACGTTAAAAAGGGTAAACTTTCGTGGAATGATGAAAAGACTGCGCTACTTTTAAAAGTAGTAGTAGGACTACAAAACTGCAAAGCTTGCAGATGGGCAGGATTGGGAAAATTTGAGGACAAAGTACGACGACAAAGTTTCTTAATAATTCTTCAACACCGTAGTCTATCAAATTGATGTTCGGTTTTCTGGCGCCAAAAAGCCACGGATTACATATTCAAAATACCTTGAATTGAAAAATTTCTGTCTCACTTTCGACAAATAACGTAGACGGATCCGATCTGGACCAGATCCACCCGTTTACACAGGATCCGGTCCAGGTCGGGTCTATACGGGATCACCTCTGAAAGCGATCCTAAAAGTGTTTGGATAGCGGGTCCAAAAGTATCCGGATCCACCAGTTCCCGTGCAAGGCCTATCCGTACTCTTTTGGATCCGATCCGGTTCGGATCCGCTCTCATGTAAACGGGGTCTAAATTGCAAAACAAGGCAACCCTGCTCGAGGAAGAGGCTAACGAATGCTCAGAATATCAAAAATGGCCAGAGTTGCCATTTTGCCCTTTTGACCTCTCATCTAAATCCCAGTGTACTCATTCTTCGTAAAAAAGGCGATTTAGATCATGGTTTTGATGGCCAAATTTCTCCATTTTGGCAGTTTCTCAAAACCCCTTAGCCGTCATAAATAGATTTGGCCGAAGAAGCAACGTTTGGCTGAATTCTGGCCGCATTTTGCAAAAAACAACGAAAACGCAAAGGAAACAAACATTTTTGCACAGATAATATTCAAAACTTTTTAAAATAATTTCAAAATTGCAAATGATGAATGATGAATAATGAAACAAAGTGAAAGATAACAGACAGATCAAGATAAAAACAAGTGAAAACTTATATAACCTTCAAAGCAAATTTTGATTACGCTATCACTCCCCACAATTAGCAACAATTTAGCTTTTTTGTGTCTGCGTTTAGCTGGCTGAATTTGGGTGCCAACCATAAAATATTTGGCTGCTAACCATTCCAAGTATCTGGCAAAATCCTGAAAGGAGAAGTCACAATTATCTCCCAAAATGAAATCAGAGATGCTGGTGTAAAATGTTTGCAGTTGGTAGCGATGGACAACAGAGCAATGAAAGCAATGATTTTTTAAAAAATATCAAAATTTTGCCAGAGTTATGCTAGATTCCAAATTATGCTAGATGTTATGCTATATGACGATTTTTGGTCAATATTATGCTAAAAGCGTAATATTATGCTAGATCAGGTCATACTGCTCCTCTCGTGCCGTGGTCAGTGGCGGTGCCAGCTACTGCAGAGTGGAAGGGTAATTGGTGTTGCCCGTGAGACCACGCCCTATTTGCCTCGTTTCAGTGCTTTGTATCAGGTCGAATTCCCTCAGGAAATATGATCTACCCCTACCTAGTGCTTTTAATCCATGTTTAGACGAAATATGCAGACCGTGTTTCGACAAACATGGGGGGGGGGTAATTCCCACTTTTGGCGCCGCCACTGGCCGTGGTATATTGGTTTTTGATGAATGGTCTGCTGCAGCAACTTTAGTTTGATCACAGTTGATTAAATGAGGCAATTACAACTAGAACCGTTGTGGAAAATTTTTGTTTTCGATTTATTTTCCTTACATTACACAAGAAGTGGCCTTGGAAAAATTTCTATTATTGTAATATCGATAATAGCACTGTCCGCCGCCCCTGATTTCACATGGAGATGTGGCTAATAAAAATAATGTTCTAATGTCGGTAATGAATCGCATATTTTTTTGCCTAGAATGGCACAATATTTGAAGTATTTTTATGAAAGGGAAATCATATCATTGAAATAGTGTAAACAATGCATTTCGATCTTTGTTGAAGTGTCTAGACAGCGAAATTTTTTTCCTGCTCTTTTTTAAGAGTTATATTTTCCCAACTTTTTTTATACGCTTGACACCAAAATTACCATGATTTGACCAGCGAAAGTGTGTTTAATCAGAGTTTGAAATTGGGTAGTACTTGCGAAAACCAAGGCCAGTTTGTGACGGCATACAGCATCTCATGTAAAGCAAACTAGGCCAACCAATGTCCAAATAAGGTTTTTTATTCAAATAATGCCAGAAAACCAAGCAAACAAACAAAGAACTATAAAAGCAAAATGACAGTAACATCGTGGCAAGAGGGCTAGGTGGACTCTGGACTTATCAGAAGATTCGTTTGAATTTTTTCTAAAACCAATAAGCCTGGACCGAAACTTCACTGTCTTCAGAATGCTTCGAAAAAATTTATCCAAAAATTGATCTCTGGCCTTCTGTAGTAGTTTATAGCCTCAACGACGGGTCCTGTAGTGTTGTAGCCTTGAACATTTAAAAAGTAGGAGCATAAGACGGTTCGCAACAATAATCAACCAATCAATTTCCACTTTTTATGGTTATGTTCACCCTTCCGCCGTTGGAATTTGTAAAGACTAGTAGATCTGTAGCACAGGTTTTTTCGTTTAGATCGATGGAGTTGGCGGAAAAAGCTACACATATGAAACCTTGCATGGTCTTTCAAAAAAGTTCGGATCAGTTCTTACGAAATGCGGCCTTGGTTTTGACGACAAAGTTGCCATTTATGCTCCAAATTGTATAGACTACTCACCAGCAGTCCTTGGCACTCTGGGCATCGGTGGTTGTGTATCAACAATGAACCCTCTTTACACACGTCGTGAAGTAGTTAAACAAATTGAAGACTCTGGCTCTAAAATCTTGGTGACAATCGAGCCACTCCTAAAAACAGCGCTGGAAGCAGCACAAGAAACTGGCGTGAAGCGTATTATACTTCTAGGTGATAGTGAAAGTAAGCAACATGGAATTATTAACTGGGCTGATGTTCATAACGATCTTGGAGACGAATTCAAGAACAACTCGTACAAAATCGACACAAAAGAGCATTGCGCTTTTTTGCCGTATTCAAGTGGCACAACAGGGGTGCCAAAGGGTGTCATGCTGACCCATCATAACATCGTTTCAAATCTCATTCAGTTTGGGAAATTCTTAGATCATATTCCACGTGAAATTATCCTGGCTATATTGCCTTTTTTCCACATTTATGGGTTAGTCACTATATTGCTCAGTGCCATTGAGCATTTGAAAACCACTGTAACAGTTCCTCGATTTGAGCCGGAAATGTTTTTAAAGACGATACAAAACAATGAGGTTAGTTATGTTTATCTTTAATGCTTTTACCCAATATTAGATTATATGTTGTTTTTATATCATTTTCTTGGAAATACCAAGGAGACCTATTCGTTCTTGCTATGATTGTTTGATAGGCAAAAATTGCTTTTGCGCATAAAAAGGGCATTAAGGGAATAACAAGAAGAATCCAGAGGAAAACTATCCAAATGATATCCAAATACAAAATATTGTTGTTGAGCACATAAGCGACCACAAGTCACAATAATTTAGACTGTTTCCTATAATATTCAGTTCGAACGCATTGTTCTTTTATTCCTTGATATTATTTTGTTAGTTGAACCCAAGTGTCAAAGGTATATTGTTAACTAAGGTGCCCAAAAGTATCATCAGATTACAAGGAAAATTTTTACCCATAACTATCGGGTGGACCCCTCTGTATGAAGAAAGCTCATGTGACCCCTTAGGGAAGGAGATTTCAATTTGGATATTTCAATGTTGTTTTCGAGGGATAATTTTTTGCGTTCTAAGATGTTTATAAAGCCTTAATGTCGTGACATATTTACGAACCTTTTTATGGACTAAATTTTGTATTTTTTATTAGTTAATAGCTTGATTAATGGGCAATTGGAATGTAGTCCTCATGAAGTAATTAGGAAGTTGTGTAAATTGAGACCAAATCTGCATGATGTATTTAATTGGAGAATTGGTGGCAAATACTTGCACACTCATTCAAAATATGTTTAGTACTTTTTGTTTCAAGGCTTTTTTGTGTTGAGATGCAAAGGACATTTCTACATCTGTCTGTTCGAAGAAGTGCTAACTAAAATGCCTGCCAAAAGTCTTGGAACACTGACATTGATTTCCAAGGTCAAAACCAATCACCCCCCTCTCCCCTACAGAACAATGTTGGTTTACTATCAAACAGGTTAGGATTTTAGGAAGCACTTTCTTTTGCGCTTCTTTTATGATATTTCTCTAAATCATCAACATTGTTTTAGGGGGAAGGGGGCGGAAGTAGTAATTTTTTTTCATGAAAGGAATGAAAGATATCAAATGCAGCGTAAATTGTTGGGTGTTTCAAGTACTTTTGGCAGGCATTGTAGATACGTAGACACATAGGGCTGGTCCTGATGCCGGTTTCAAAGATTGTCCGGCATGCCAAAAGAGGTTTATGTTAAAACAGATCATCAACATAAAGCTTGCTTAATAAGACCATTGGGACCACATTCTTCATTTAACAACAGGTGAAGCGATCAATGCGAAGAACCTTCCTTGTTTTTCTAGGTTGACTATGCCAGTTTAGTACCACCATTACTCCTGTTTCTTATCAAATCGCCGGAAGTGCTGAAATATGATATCTCGAGCCTCAAGGTTGTAACGACAGGTGCCGCTCCGTTTGGTTCGGATCTTTGGAACAGTTTTGATAGCCGGTTTGGGAAAGCAATCAAAATTATTCAAGGTGAGTTACGTTTACATTGTTAGTTGTATACCAGACTGGAAACTTTGTTTCTTGCGAGGACAAGTTTATTTAAAAATTTGTAACTACGCGCCTGAAGTCACGCACATTTAGAAAATTATAGTGTTGATAATGTAAAATGTTATTGAATAGGGGCTTCGCCCGTCTAATATGCAAAAGTACGCGGATGGAAAATTTGAGCGCGCGTGAAATATATTGCGGGTAGTGCGGGCGAATAATTATCTTTCTGCTTTTTTCATGGCCAGGTTATGGTTTGACTGAGACCAGTCCGGTTGCAACACTTACACCGGGCGATGATGTAAAGCTCGGTTCCGTTGGGAAGCCTGTTCCAAATTCTGAAATCAAGGTATTTTCTTACATACATTCTAATGCGAAAATAGAAGATTTCCGCGCTCGAATCTTTATGGGTCAGGTACCCAGGGTACTCCTACATATACGTCCCTATACACCTGGGATGGAAAGCAATTTTTCTTGCTGGGACTGTGGTTAGAAAAATATTTTTTTGCCAAAAACGTACAGTATAGACACCCGCCATACACAAGTTGGGCTAGAAATATATTAGTATTGTGAGTACTGAACTGATCTATTTGCTGTCCAACCAGCGTCCCGCCCCCTCCTCATTATTAACCTCGCCCGCGAAAAAGTAATTTCAGGATCCAAAAGATGGTTCAACTTTTTGTTCTATATTGAGATTTGCTTCATTTGCTGTTTGTGGTTAATACCTAGCCAAAGGCTCTTAGTCTTATACGATAGTCTTTCATTTCCCATGCTTAACTTCCTATGCTTTAATTTCTCAATGTTTAACTTTTTGTTTCTAAACCAAGTTCTGTTCATGGTATTTTCTTTCTAGATTATTGACATAGTCTCTGGCGAGTCTCTAGGCCCTTATGAGCGCGGCGAAGTTGTAATCAAAGGGCCTCATATTATGAAAGGTATGTGATTGCATTACCTATCTTGTTGGTGGTGTTTCTGGTTTTCCGCGCAAAAGTTCCGGCTTGGCCTTCGGGTTTTCAAAAAAGCGAAAGAAAAGATATCTCTATCAAAGAGAAATGAATTATTTCATTTCAAATGTGCTTTTGCTAGCTGTTAAGGTTTTCAATAGTATTTTGAAAGAGTATGATTTTTTTATTGGTTACTGATAGTCTGTTATGTTACAAATCAGCTTGTGATAAACTCGTTTTCATGCTCGAGGTCAAAATGGCTGCAATTTTCTTTGTATATTCTCATAAAATCTTTACAAAACATACTCAAGTTTACCAGACGATACCACAGGGAGCATTGGAATTAGGCCTGTCCACCGAAGGGCAAGGGCAAATAATCGCTATTCGATTAGCTGAAGCCCAAAGGGAATATTCGGTTACAAGCGAATAGTTCGAATATAACAATTATTCGGTTGGAGACGATGAAGGCGAATAACCTCACTGTTGGAGGTCACAATGATTGTTTGAATGTTTTGTTACGGGTGCTAAATTTTCACTTCCCCACCCGTATCGAAGCCATGCTAGAAAGCGTCCCACTTTTCAAAATGTTGGAAACCGGCCCTTTTTTAAAAATGGTTGTCATAAAGTTATGACGTTTGTTTTTTTTCATTAAATGAATACTGACTTTCTGGCCATTAGGGGCCACTAATGCTAGGGAAGGTTCGAGAAAACATTTATTTTTGAAAAATCGTTTTGAAAATTGCTATGTAGCATACCATTTGAGGTTACGTAAAACACAGGAAATATCAATTTGAAAACAAAAAAAATTAATGGTTCTGTAATGACTGATTAGCTGTTGGTTGTTTTCAGCAAATTACAATAAATTTTCAGCTTGCAGATTTTGTCCCCAGCCCTACCACACCCATTTTGCCACACCCATATTCGCCGAATAACCGAATATTCGTTAATTTTTAAACCGAATAACCGAATAGGAATATCCGAAGGTTTGGACAGCCCTAATTGGAATGCATAGCAACCCTTTGGCAATTTACAATCAACATATAAACTGAATTAACTACGATTAGAAGATGCAAAATGAACGAAAAATAATAAAAAGAAACTATTTCTAGAAAAAGGAGAGGACCGATGGTTGCGTCAACCATGCAGATTATGATACCAGTATGAAACCTCGAACATCTACCAAGTTTGATGTTATTAAAAAGATGAGAGTCACACTCCAACTCAAATCTGCCCCCAAATGCTATTTTTACAATGGGGTTTCTTGGACCAGGTTCATTTAAGGAGAATACCTCATAACTGCATTTTAGATATAGATACAGAGCTAATATTTGGTTTGATAGGCCTCCACTACAAGAATATATATATATGCTAAAAGTTGTCTATTCCTGAATCAAATTCGATTCAAAGAACTGGAAAGATTTTGAAAATTTTGTTGTCTTTTTCTGGTCGATCTGAGCTTGTTTTCATGGAACAATATAGAATTTAATTATTTGAATGAAGAATCAGCTTGAGAACTGTCTTCTTGTTAGAAAGTATCGTTTCTTTCACAGTGGCGTGGCATAAATTTGTAAGACCAGATTTAGAGCCAGGAGTTTTATTGACTCTGAGTTTGGAGTTTAAAGGCGTCGGTTTACGATCATAAGAAAGGCTACTAAATTCTTTTAACTCTACCAGATTTTGCCGATTGCATATGTTGTATTAATGTCTTCTACGTCTGTGCATGCGTCGAACTTCATGCTGATGGCTCGATTGTCTCTCACAAATATTGAATTACAAACTTTTAGTGACGTATTTATTTCTACAGGGTATCTAAACAACGAAAAGGCGACCTCCGAGTGCTTGTCTAAAGATGGTTGGTTTTATTCTGGTGACATCGGCTATTATGATGATCAGCATAACTTCTTTATTGTTGACCGTCTGAAGGAACTCATAAAGTACAAAGGTTTTCAGGTATGTTATACAAAATACAATTTTACAAGTTTGTTTGTTGAAATTATTTGCATTTTGATGGTGCATACGCAGGGAAGTTCCGGAGCCCTGGGGCAAAAGAGAAGGGTGATCCCGAGCCCGCGCGTTAGGTTAGATTAGAAAGTATTTACGAAAGTTTTTTGTAATTATTTGTTTCAATCGTTTTAAATATTTTACTGTTTTTTGAGCATACTTCTGTTACATTTGATTCATTTCATGCTCCTCCTCCCCTCCTGCCCCCCTCCCACTCTATATCAGCGGCCATATGCATACGAATAGCTGTTTTCCAGAGATGCAAGTGTCATCAAGTGTATTCTCAAGTATAACCTACATGCATTTTAGTCAATGTATCAAAATCATTTAGGATATGGCATGATATGCCATCTTCTATAAAAGAGTCCCAGACACTTAACAACTTCAAAAGTAAAATTCAAAGCTACGATTTTGATTGCAGTTGTAGATTGTGCATATTGTATATAGGTAATATAGGGTTTTTATATTAATGTTCTTTAATAGTATTCTCTCGTTTATAGTTTAGATTTAATTTTTATAGTATCTTGTATTTATGTTTCGGTTGGCTTAAATTAGCACGTGAGCTAGCAATAAGAGCCAACCTTAAATAAAGAAGTTATTTTTCTATTATTATTATTTTATTTTTGTAAATGTACAAGCGTGCTCAGCTCTGTTTTATTCACTAGCTTTTTCTAACCTAATACTAAAGTAGTTTTTTTATTCTTTGCCTTATCCTCAATTATGTTCTCACAATTCATTCCTTCTTTGTTCAATTTTTATTTGTGCTATTTAGTTATTTATTGCGCTTTATGACGTGATTGTAAACCGGGGGCTGGGGGGGACTGGCTATAGCCCCCAATAATTGTTAAACTGTGGTATGTTTCCTCTATCACAGTGTACTAAATGAGAAGGAATACAGTGGGCAGCCACCACCCCCCCCCCCCCCCCCCAATATGAATTTTGTTCCGACGGCACTGTTGTATTTACAACGAATCTTGTAACGTGAGAGAACCAGTTATGAGAAGTTACAAAACTAAGTGTCGCTCCTTTCAGTTTAAACTGAGATTTTCAATGTTATGATTCAATCTTTGTGCTCTAGGAAACAATGTGAAATGCGCCTTCCCTTTTTTCCCCATTTGAATTATTAAAAGTTTATTTATATCTTATATCAGGAAGGTAAACGAAGTAGAAGCAGGAGTGGCGCTAACGGGGTGTTGGGGTTCGATGCGGTACCCCTCTAAGGATCATCAATTGGCTTTTCACCTTGACGATAATAACGGCATTGTAACTGCACATTTGGCAAACATGGTGGTTGACATGAATGGAGCCATCAACCTGGGACAGGACACCCTCCTTAAAAGAAATCTTTCTAGCACCCCCTCCCCCTTAGTAGAAGATAACCCCTACGCACGGGTCGTATACGGGAGTCTTACCTTTTCTTTCTTCCCTTCAGGTGCCTCCTGCTGAACTTGAAGATATTCTGATGTCTCACCCAAATGTGAATGACGCTGCTGTTATTGGGATTCCTGATGAGGAAGCTGGAGAACTTCCGAGAGCCTTTATTGTACCCAAAGGCGAAATCAGTGCAGAAGAAATTATGAGCTACGTTGAAACGGCTGTCGCTCCACACAAGAAACTAAGAGGTGGTGTACAGTTTATTGATGTCATACCCAAAGCTGTGAGTGGCAAAATCTTACGAAGAGAATTGCGTGAAAAATTTGTTTCGTAACTTTACCTAATTTCGACATACCTATATCTTTTTTCGTAGTATTTCTTCTTTTTTTTACTACCTTAATAGAAAAATAGATTAGGAAGACTCAGAAAGAGAATCGCTTATAATACCTTGAAATCTGACTGGTCAGTTCAAGGTTTTTGCGAACCTTAGCGCGAATTTTCACCAGTGGACTGGATTTTTTTTGTTTCGACAACCAGCCAAACTTCTAACAACCAGACGAAAAGATAGTCAATCTTGTATATATTAGTGATTTTAATGTAAATATTGATTGCATATTCTCGAGATTTTTTCTTGTTAAGTTGGTTTAACAGTTGCTATACCTTTATAAACAGTGCTACTGCAAATAAGTATCGATGCAAATTTTTCCTGCTCGATAAAGATTTTAGATAAAGAAATAATCTTAACTTTTTGTAATTAATGATATTGAGGGCCTTAAGTAATTTGTAAGTAATTATTTTAAATCTTAAAGTCTTGTCTTGAACAGAGGATCCTGAAGGCAGTGTCAGCAGTAGCCTCTTTGGAATTTCGGAGACCATGCCCTTATTATTCTACTGAAATGCTCCATGCAGTTCAGTGTCACATACTTTTAAAATTATCTGCAGCTTTGGTTTACATAATTTGGGACTAGCTATTTGGTCACGCTTATGTGCATCAGAACGTTTTTAACCTCAAAGCACCCTAAGTGTTATTTATTCATGCTTTCTTGAAATGAAGGGTACAAGAAGCCTTGAAAAGTTGGAGCATGTTAGAAAGAACCTTATCAACGCCTATTGGGTAGATAGAATGTGACCATGTTATCAAAAGGGCCCCTTAAACGGGCAGTTGATACTATTTGTTTAGACATCATTTTTTCAAATAAAATGGTCATTTTCAAAGATGAAAGTGGTACTTTTACTTGATGGTATTTTTTTTATGATTTCCAGAAAAGTTCAAATGTCCCTACAGTAGCCCTTATGAAATGAATGAAATTTTTGTACCGGTTTCAAATCCCATCTCACTCCTTCAGGGTCCTGAAACTAAAATACTAATTGTTATAGTAAATTTAAAATGTAGCTAAAACTAATGTGTGAACATAATTGATGTGATAAATCGTTTCTTAATGTTGCTTATACGTTTCTGACCAATCTCTGTTTGATGAATATTTTGCTTTACATTATCTTCCGATTTCAATTTCCTTTACATTAGCTACCGATTAATATTTCTACTCTTGAATTAGTGAAACGAAAGTGGTATTGAAATCTTCTCGTACCGCTTTATTCCTGATTTCTGCCATATGCCTCAAGAATTCAAATTCTTTGAAAGAAAAGGTGAAAAAAGAAAGAAAGATTCAAAAAGAAAGAAAGAAAGAAAGAAAGAAAGAAAGAAAGAAAGAAAGAAAGAAAGAAAGAAAGAAAGAAAGAAAGAAAGAAAGAAAGAAAGAAAGAAAGAAAGAAAGAAAAAAGAAAGAAAGAAAGAAAGAAAGAAAGAAAGAAAGAAAGAAAGAAAGAAAGAAAGAAAGAAAGAAAGAAAGAAAGAGGGAAAGAAAGAAGGAAAGAAAGAAAGAAGGAAAGAAAAAACAAAAGAAAGGCACAGCATGCTCTTGGTAATGTAGACTTGAAGCCATTCCAGGAACTAAACAGAAACCTACTTCATTAAAGAAATAGGTAAAAAATCTATGAATAAGCGATACAAAGAACGCTGGAAAATGCTGGATTATGGCAGCCTGGATGGGGAGGGGGCCAAAATTGCAAGAAATTATAAAAATCGAGATGCTGAGGAAACTATGATGAAATGGAAAATATGTTCAGATAGTGAAGAAAATTATTGGAGAATTTATGCCAAAACAGACGATTTAAATGCAGAATGGAAAAGACACTGACAGAGAGTGTTGATATAAAGTGAAGATGGGTACAATATTTTTCAGAGCTACGTGAATTGTACTAGACGAGACGAGAGGGGAAGAACAAGAGAAATAAATGAGATTTGAGAATACGGAGATAATATCTCTACGATCAGAGGTAGAATTGGTATTGAATCTTGGCAAGAAGAAAGTATCCAGGGATAGACAACATTCTAATCGAGATGTGGAAAGCAAGAGGAAAAGTTGAGTAAGAAAATATGTAACAAAGTGAAGGAAATTAAGGGCTGGCCACGAGATTGGCACAGTACAATCCTTCATTTTCTCTCAAAAAGTAAGACGTAGGAGGATGATGAGTTATTAGACTAATTGCTCATGCAAGTTTAATAATTCTGAAACTAATCATAAAAAAGTACTCTTTTTGAAATGTAGTTGGCTGATTGGGGCAAGTCTTGTTCTGCAAAAACATGATTTTAAAGAAGATGCATTTTTCTGGACACTTTTCAAGGGAGAAAGACTAAGCAGGCAGGGCTGTCGCTAACTAGTGTGTTCAAATGGGGTTTCCAGGTCATTTTGCTGACAAAGTGGGTGAGCCATACTTTGCCGAATAAACACCCCTAGATGAGAAAGAACTCCTCGCATAGCAACATAGATTTTTTCCAGGGGGTTTCACACCCGTCAATCCCCTTTAGCGACAGCCCTGTAGACAGGTGCATTATAGAGGGAAAGGACGAGGAAAAAGATAGAAGAGAAAAGCCGCTTACGTCACCAGCAAGCGACATTAAAAGATAACTGGAGGAAGTTTTGCTGATGCAGATGATGAGGCGGCAGTCTGAGGAGGGTGGCTTGCTCTTGTAGTGACCTGAACAGTGCACTGAGTAACAACTGACGGAAAGGAAGGAAGTTTTTCTATGCATTCTACGTTGGTATTACCGAAACAACTTTCCGAAGCCTTTGATGTAAGTAAATGAAGAATATCACTTTTTCTCTCTTCAGCTATATGTTAATGTGTTTATAAGAAAAAGAAATCAGCGTAGTCTTGTTCACATTCATAGCAATTATTTGGATGGAAATGTAATGAAACACAAAGCGTTAGCCAAATTAATCAAAATATCGCCTGATGTTCATGATTAAGTTGGATTAGCCAGTTATCAATATCTCCCCTTTAAAAAAACCACAAAAAGCATCTGGCCATTATCATTTGATCTTGTAGCAGTTCTTTTCTGGTATTTGAGATATGTTTCATTATGGTACTAACTAGTGCAACCCTTTGATATTTTTTCGTTAGTTTAGTATTTTGCAGTCATGAAGTCGCTTCAGAAAAGAGAAAAGTTACAAGATCCTGTACTAAGATTTCCTTATAACGATCATATTAGCTCATCAACTGATTTACTCAAAAGGCAAGAAGATGTGCTGTGTTAAGTCTCGTATTAAGGAATTCTTTGAATAGAAACCTGCAGGCAATGAATAATCTGAATCCATCATTTATGAAAATATTCTTCAAACTCAGGTCTTCACACTGTCCTTTCAGAAATTCTCATGACTTAAAGCATTTATGACAAAATCAAGTAACTTTTGGTTCTATATGAAATTGGCTGAAAAGTATTATAATTTGAACTTATGGCATCTGAGGCTTTTGGATCCTGTTTTAATTGATCCAGTATCATTCATTAACAACTATTTGTTATAGAATGAAGAACGAATTGCAGATAAGGAGACAAATTAAATATAGATTCATTGCTATCTCTCATAACTAACTTTGCCTTACAAGTATTTTCAGAAACATTTATAAAGATACTTCAAAAAAATTAACTTTTTTGAATTTTTAAACTGTCAGGTTTTGAATTGTAATTTCAGTTGAATGAATGTCATAGCTTTTGAAATAGCATTGCACAAATTTTCAAACCAACAGAAATTGGTGCTGCATTTTAAAGTGATGAACATCTAGATTTTATCGGCTCTCTGCATCAAGGCAGCCCCCCTATGCATATATTCTATTTCAAAAGAGATGCAGAAAGTATTGTACCTAAGTTATTTGCTAGAGAAAATGTTAAATTAATTTAGTTACTGACAATGATTGATCTACGTTAAAGTTACACTACTATTTTCTGCAGTTGTTTCAGAATTTGCTTGTGATCCAGAGGAAGATTCTGTCACCAAGGCAAGAGTTGCACCTTCTGTGATGTCACTCTTCAGAGGTACTGGGGTAGCAGTGATTGTATTACTGTCATTTGTCAATGAAGCAGCGGCATCCAGCTTTGGAATAATTACAGGTGTTGAGTCAGTTGATGTAGCCATGAGGGGTGCAGGGAAACTCGGTGTTCCGTACCCTGGATGATCAATTGACTGAACACTTGACACTGCCTGTAACATCTGTTGTGGTATCAAAGTAGTACTGGTAGATGAAGAAGGTGCCATTGACTGTCCAGGAAGCTGGCTTGTTAGCAGCGGAGCTTGCATTGACTGAGTTGGCTGGTACCCAAGATGTAAATTAGCTAAGTTCTTTTCAATTTCTATAAAACAAATTATATTTACTGGCTTCAATTACTTTTAACTTTGCATAAAATACTTCAAACTTCCAAATGCTGGAAATTGTGGAACTTAAGCCTGATTTACACGAGACGAATTTTTTCGTGCGAAGCGAATTTTTCGCCGCGAATGCGCGAAAAATATGCGCAGAAGTGGAGATTAGAAAATTTTCGCAGCGAATTCGCAGCGAATAATTCGCTGCGAAAAAGTAGAAACCATTCCTACTTTTTCGCTGCGAATTTTTTCGCCATGTAAAATAAACCAATCAGAACAGCAATTGAAGACATCTGACACGAACCCAAAGGAAGGGCTAGGCCGAATGGTGCTACGCAATGTAAACATATCTAAATCAAAAGTTTGCAAAACGACAGAAAACTACGCAATGGTTCAAACAACAACATGGGTGAAGAATGAGTAACCTATGACTAGGCCTAAACAATGCTGGGAAAATCCCGCACCTATAACATAAACAATGGAATGGGACGTTTCTAGCAACAGGCGTCTTTGGTGCAATAAACGATAAAAGCTCCTCATATGTAGTTGGCGACATTCGAAAGTAATTATTCCTGACAATGTAAGCGTAAGTCACTTACCAAAAGATGAAACTCCCCCTTCTGCAGATGTTCTGAATAAATTTTCCTAACCAAGTACCCATTTATTTGCTTTTTTGCTCGCTTTTTTTCAATAACAACAATCTTCGAACAGACGCCATTTTCTTTGGCATTATTCGCGGCGAATTCGCAAAAGAAATTCTGCCAGTGGAAATTAAACTTCGAATTCGCAGCGAATTCGCAGGAGAAAAATTCGTGGCGAAAAATTCGCTTCGCGCGAAAAATTCGTCTCGTGTAAATCAGGCTTTAAAGGGACTTAAATCTAACATTATTTGTTCTTCAATTGTTTCTTTCATTATTTTTATCATAAGCTCTTTCATTGGTTCATAAGTTTGTTCATAAGTAAGTTAAATCTGTGAACACAAATTCAGTGGGTTAAAATGTAAATACCTAGTTTTAACAAATATCTTATAATTAAAATTTCGATATTTATTAAAAAAATTGAGGATTTTACTAATAGTATTTAAACCTGTGGGATGTTTAGAGGGAGATCCATCTCCAACAAGCGATACTTCTGTAAATCCACCTTCTGTCTGAGATGTTGGTATAATTGGGGGTGACATCTTAGAGCTTTCATCACAAACTGGAATTCTGTGCAAATATCCATACCCAATTCCACAACCAAGACTAAAAAAGTAGATATAATGTAAAAAAATCAGACCTTTCATAGAATAAGAAGGTGGCAAAATACTAGGAGACATTTCTTTAGATCTATAAGACTGGCTAGAAAGCAATGCTGTATTGAGTAGAACACATTTTCAATAATAACTTCATATTTTGTCAAAGGTTCTTACCTTCCTTCTCCACCCCATTGTGTATTTGGTGTTATAGTTACCTGTAATGATATAAGATCTTCTATCAGGCCTGGCATAATGACCAAGCAATCATAGAAAGTGGGCAGAGCTCAATGAAGAGCACCAAAGTGTAATATAATCGAAAATAGAATTGTATCATTTTTTGCTTTTGTGAATACCTTCTTAAAAAGCAACCATTAAACCTTTGACACATTGAATGAGATAAAGCAACTAAGATGCAAACAAAGTTGTGCTGATAAAAAACTATTTCTTTTGTCTGCTTCATAGGTTTTAGAGCAAAGAACAGATTACAGTGAGATCTTGGGGGAATTGAGCTTACTTACCTCTCGGCAGCCATCTGTTTCTGAATTATAAACATAGAATTTAAGTGGCTTTCCTTCTTGTCCTTCTATAAGTGTAAAAAAATCCTCTGCCTGCAAAAGATATATACATAATTATATGAATTTTCTAAATATCCCTTTTTGTCATCTAGACATAATATATCCTTAAAAATTGCAAGGCACCAGCATAAAGTCAGATACCTCCACATCTAAACATTCAAAATTCAATGAAAGTATATTACGAGTCAAGATTAATAGGCAGAGTGCTCTAATGCCAAATAGACCATCTCTGTATTCTCAAAGCGATAGTGAAAATCTTTTGTTCTCTAGCTAGTTCCAATCCCTCGGGTGGGCCACACCAGTGACAAATTGATGGTAGACAGAGGTTATTAGACAGTTGTTGGTCTATAGACGTGCTGTTCCAAATTTTATGCATAGAACAGAGCAGGTCTAATCTGCTACTTCAACTATGATGGCAGTTATATTAAACTGTGACAAAATCATAATGTTCTTCATACTTAGAGCATCGAGTCATGATAAAATGGATAGTTTATACCCAAAATAGCAAAATCTGCTGAGTCACGATTTTTGTGCTTGTGATTGGTTGACCTGAAACTAGTCACATGTACTCACCTCATACTGATTAAGAAAACAGTTTCTATTAATAGAAAGTTGTCAAAAATGGATGCCAATATCACATGAAACTGTAGCAATTATGCCGAAACCAAATGACTCATTAAAAAGAAAGCCTATTTACCATGACTCAATGCCTTAAAGCATGTATAACATGGTCTACAAAAAGGAAGCATTTTAACGCTCAAGGCAGTAGTCTACATGGCCAGAATCTTATATTTATTATACAACAATATAAATATAGCAAATCATATAGCAGGAAATATTTTGATGAGTTTACCTCATGTAAAATTGAGTCAGCACCAATGATATAGTCTGTATTTGACCTGAGGCCTGCAATATCTGCTGGTGAATTTGGTTGCACATCCTTCAATAAATAACAATTAGAGTAACAAAATGTCAAAGTTTGATTCATATATATAAATAAAATTATTTTTTTGACCATAAGTTCATATAATATTTCAAGATCCATACATTCTGAGAAATATATGAGACTTTAGTTGCGTTCATTCTAGCAAATGCAACACGATATACTGTCAGGCCTGGCCATTTGAGGAGAGCCATAGCTCTTGCTCCTCTCCAGGCTCTTCTCAAATGCTGGAGGAGAGCTACAGATTGCTTTCCTAAATTGCTCTGAAAAGCAAATTGCTCTTCTTGAAATCAATTTTTCCTTTGTTTATATTCTTATGTATCTAGAAATAGCTCACCTGGAAATTACTAGGAGAGCTATTTACTGCTCCACTGCTTAAATTCTTATGGCCAGGCCTGTACTGGGCATGGCAAAAAAATTATCATGATGTTTTCTTTCAATCTTTATTGAGTTCAAAAAGGTAAATAAATGGCACATACCAGCACATGCCAAACATTTTCATTTGCACCTTCAAACGAGCAAAATCTGATACTGACACCTATAATCAAAACAAAATCAGTTTCACAAAGTGAATTAGAAAATAACTAAACTAGAGATGTATTGGAAATATGCATTCAAAGGAACTATAACTTTTGGGAATAAGAATGAAATTGGTGTTTTTTTCTATGCATGGAGATGATGAGATTCTTCAATCATACTTCACTAACTGTTCCTGGGAATACCTTATAAGCAAAATAAATAAGATTCAATAATATGTTTATGATTGAAACAATACATTACCAAGTAGTCCTTGTCCTCCCCAAAAGTTGCTTGGTGTTATGCTAACTTCTATAACGTAAAACGTAAATGTTTTAATAAGAAAATGTTATAAATAAAACAGATTTGGTATTAAAACATTTTATTAAATCTTAGAGATAATATGTAATAATGAAAACATTTTTTATTTTATATTCTTCTACTTACAAAAGTAACCTCACTTTACAGGTAGTTACTATTGGCTAGCCTGGTGACAAGTTTAATAATAATAATAATAATAATGATAATAATTGAATGTTTCAACAGGATAACCTATCAGTACAATTTATACTGTTATCATTAGAGTCCTGATACTTAATAAATTAATGGTAAAAGATCTAGAGGTTTGGTAAAAGGTAAAAGATAATGGTAAAAGATAAGACATAAAGATAAGATAAGTAAAAGACAAGACATAAACATAGAACAAACCTCTAGTCTTTCCTGTCTTGCTACTAAAAACAGTCATTTTTACTGGTTTCTCTGCATTTGATTTCAGAATATTTTTCAATGCATCATTATCTGTATCCTATGGGGAGAAAAATACTATTATAAATTAAAATGAATTTTTCAGTATCTTCATTGCCTGGGACAAAACATGCCAATGTCGATTGTCATTACCCAGTTAATTGTATTTTAAAGACAAAATTATTTTCATTTGTGGTCATATATTGAATTGAAATTAACATACCAATCTAGTGTTTTCTACCATGACAACAAAATCAAAAAATGGTTCCAGGCCTGCCTTGTAACCAGGAGAGCCCTCTTGGACCTGGAATGAGAGAATGTATGAGAATGTCAGGCCTTACAGGTTAGGGGGCCTAAAATATTTCAAACATTTCACAAAAGAGCACAAAATTAAATAACCTACAAGCAAGAACTGCAGAGCATGTTACAGATTGCAGGGGCTAAAACGTGTTGGGATGGGCTTAACATGCTAAAAACCAAGAGCAGAGTGACTTTTGGTATGACTTTCAGTACATTTTGGAGATTATTGGAGGGGTTGAAGCCCATGTAGCTTCCCTGCTTCCACGGTTCCTGCCTACACATACCAAAGATAAATCTTAAGCAGTAATTCTCTTCCTAAAGAGTAAAGGGATAATATCTTCTTACCCCAGTTTTAAGCATAAATGTCAATTTCACTTCATGGACAAATTTAAGGACCAATCTTTCCATAACTATGGTTTTATTGTATAATTATATTTATTACTATATTACTGTAAATACATTTTACTTTCAGATATTTTCCCACCTTTTATTTTTAAACCAGGCTGGAAACAAGCTTTGGACTTGAAGAAACGACGAAGACGATGAAGAATGATGAAGAAACATGGAAAACTTACTGGTTTCTTAACTTTGGTAAATGATAAAATTAAGGGATGATTGAAATGTAGGGCCTATTTGGTTATTGCTGTTTCATAAACTACATTTTATTGGAGAGGGTGGTTGCACGTTTCTTGTATCCTTGAAAATAAGCACTTCCCTTCCTATAATGGCAGAAAAATGCTTCAACAGCTCGAATGTTTTGAAGATACTTCAAATAGACGTTAAAGATCCTCTAAAATCATTACATTTTTTTGATGAAAAGTTCATCATATTCTCATTGCTGACTTTTTGTACTAAACCAAATCACAAATGTTTGGTTGTTTGTCAGTAAACCATATCGCGCCAAATGTTTGAAATTAATCTTTGATACCAAAAAGAAAGAACTCTGCTGGAAAAAACTTCAAATTCTGAACAGAATAGAGCGCAACTGTTATTTTCTGGGCATAAATTTCCTTGAAATGATTTCATGGCCTAAAACATCTACTACTTGAGCATGCATGAAGAGGGATGTTATTACTTTACAAAACAATACAGATGAATTGTAACTTACCCTAAGAACATGGTACCCCTCAGTACCGCCACCAGGGACCTCTACAGCCGATGAACCGATTCCCATTGCAATATAATTATTCAGTATTTACACCATTTAGTCCCCAATTGACTTTTGATTGAAAATCAATCCCTTAGCCTCTGGTTGAAATTGTATTTTAAAGTTTATTGACTACGTGTCACGTTGTTGTAGACATGAAAACTGTGTCATGGGTTTTAGGAATTCATCTTAGCTGTTAGGAAAATGAACATTTCCAAAAATAGCCCCTTGGAAGCAATGACAAGTAGGAGTTGGACACGCGGGTTAAACCGCGCATAACATGGGACCATTTAGAAGTCCTTTTTTCCCTGTGATTGGAATCACTTCCATGCTCCCAGCATGCTGCTCTTCCTCTTATGACCATTCCCTGTTCTGCAAGATGGCGGTGAGTGCTCCTTTCACGTGGATTTCCAACTCGTAATAAAATCATACCTTTTCCTTACTTTCACATTCTCATAGGTACCCCCGATTCTTTCATTGCCTGATTCTCCATAATCTCCAATATATTTCTTTTCTTTATAGTCATTTTTTCGAGATAGCTTAGTGCCTTTCTCCGGCCGAATTCACAGTACATCATTTTTGCCTGTTACAAACTTACTTTTGACAATTGGTTTGAAATTTAGAGCGCTTGATTAATGCACGTAATTGATTTCAACCTTGAATACAGTTGGTATAGTTTTTCTTCAAAACAGCATTGGTGTAAGAAGAGAATTGAAAATTGGACTTAATGTTATTTCTTCCAGACTTTTGACACCTGATTCTACAGATATCTTTAAAATATCTAGATAAAGGGCTTCTTCTTCTACCTTAGCAATAAAATATTTATAATATAGAAAATCTTTTCAGCCTTTGTAAATTCTAAAGATTGTTTCTGAAGATGATTAAGAAATTGTTTCAAGGGAAATCAGTAAACAGTTTGTGTCTGCAACGATGAGATATGAATCCTCAAATAAACCCTATCAGAAAGTATGTTTTGTAAAATAAGCCCCTGGGATATGATCAAGAATTAGCCGCTAGTATGCAGATGACACCCATGGTAGCTCTGTGCACACCTAAAAACTTGATACATTGAATTTAAACTCTAATTTAAATTAAATGTATCAAGTATCTAATGTATAAATGTATAAATTTTTTCTAAAGAAAAGATTGAGGGAAATTGACTGAGCTGACACACCTGACAATTTCATTCAGTTTTTGTGTACCATCAGCAGCTGTTGGGGCACCCAAGATCTTATCAAAATTGGTCATACTATGCAAACTGGATTCATGGTAACACCAGTGTGGAATTTAATTACATCACATCTGCGATATCTGGTGTGGACTGACAATTCCCTACTCTTTTTCTGCCGTTTACATGTGTATATCTGGCATCAGGGCTACTTTGATTCCTGCCTGGCTTAACAACCTATACCATGGGTTGAAGCAAAACAGTTCAGTTCATTTAATTTCATCTCAAAATTCCACTACATACAATAAATTCAAAGATTAATTACAACTACAACTAAAATGCAAAAATAAAGAAGGTAAAGAAAAATTACTGTATGTAAAGGAATTTCTTAATGGAGAAGCTCTCTCAAAGGTACTTATGACATCATAGACTCTTAAGGGTAAATATATTATCTTTGTAATCATGGCTATTTCATTCTTTCAGGCCACAACTGAAAAAGAAAATGTTATGCGAGACATACGCATCCAAAAGCTATGTTTAAACATTTGTGTTGGAGAGAGTGGAGACAGACTTGTAAGAGCTGGAAAAGTACTTGAAGCCCTAACAGGACAAAGTCCTGTCTTTTCCAAAGGTAAACTATGGCTTTGCTTTTTTAGGACTGGTTGAATTTTTTTTCTGAGTATTAGCACTGAGACTGGACCATTTACTTTGTCAAATTGAAATGGTGCAAACAATTTTCAAGGTGTATCCTCATATGATCCCCATAACCCTAAGGGCTTTCATTTGGCTTGAAGTTCAATAGCCGGGAGAAGTCTGGAAATGCGATCAGGAATAGACCTTATTAACACCATGTGGTTTTCTGATGCAAGAACATTTTTGATTTCAATAAACTCTACTCTAACTGGAAACAACATAGCCTACTCTGTTTCTATTTGTAACAGGCGACAATACATTGATTGCTGAACTATTGCTTGCAGTGCTTGAGAAAGTTCTGTATGATGTTACTATTCATTTGTAACAGAGCAGAAAAATTGATCTGTTTAGTCAGATCCCAGTTTAGTAAAAACAGTCTGGGTTTTTACTAAATGCCTTAGCACAGATTTTAAAACCTGCATGACATATATATTTGCAATGAAAACATGCCAGATATTTTCTTCTTGTCCTGGCCTTTTGACACCCCCATTTTATGACATTTTGCTCTTGCCTTGATTTGAAAGATATTAAAAAAAAACCAAAACTCCCTATAATTTGAAAACGATGTTGATAATTTTAAAGCACCATCTTTTTAAATGGATTTGCATCTCTCAAGAGCCTCTGTGCTGCCACAGTCTGATGACTAAATAAGTCCTACTTTGCCTGCCAATGATGCCTATTGAATATTTGCTAGTTGATGCACTTCATGAAAACACTACCAAATTCTGAGGCAGGCAATGTCTTACCTTCTATTAATCCATTGCTATTTAGTTTTGATGTGCTATTAGTTATATATTCTGTCCTGATTAGATTTAGGCATGTTTGGAGGCTTGTGTATTTGATCGTATATTTGAACTAATAATGCTAGGACTGTATATATATATATCAAGTTTATCTCAGTTATATACTATATTAGTTGGGTTAGGTTTATATGTATATATTTATCAAAATTTCATTATATTTTCCTTTAGCAAGATTCACTGTCAGATCTTTTGGAATCAGAAGGAATGAAAAAATTGCTGTACATTGCACTGTTAGGGGACCAAAGGCAGAAGAAATCCTTGAAAAAGGATTGAAGGTTTTACTTTTAGTTGCATTTTAAATATTGTAAACTTTGCTTAAGTTTAAACAATCTATTGACTGATCAAAACAGCCATTAACTCTTTAAGCCATTGTTGAAGGCTGCCTTCTGCCATGATTGACTCCTGTGATCATGTCTAGGTGCGTTTCTGCAGGACCAATTCCTTATCATGTGCATCCCACCCAGGCTTGCATATGTATGACTTTTTGAACTCTTGTTTGTATGACTTTTGTTTAACTAACTGCTGGCTTTTTTTTTCTTCATCTTGTAAATTCAACCTACATCATTTTCCCTGAATTTAAACCAAATTTTTAAACATTCACAATTTTTTTACAAATTCACACAATAAGCAAACATTTTTTTAGCTGTATGTTCTGTTCTGTTCTTTTCTGTTCTGCACGCCGTACTCTGCACTTCTAAACAGTATAGAAAATGACATTTATCTGAACTTGAAGGTTATTTGTGATGTTCTGTTGTTTAGGTAAAAGAATACGAGTTGAGAAAGGGAAATTTCTCACAAACTGGCAACTTTGGTTTTGGAATCCAGGAACACATCGATTTAGGGATCAAATATGACCCAAGCATCGGTATCTATGGAATGGATTTTTATGTTGTTCTGTCTCGCCCTGGAACACGTGTTGGAAAGAGGAGACAACGCAAGAGCCATGTTGGTTTTAGCCACAAAATAACCAAAGATGATGCAATGAAATGGTTCCAGAAGAAGGTAAAGCTCTTTCATGTTTTTTCATGGCATATGAAATTGTTATGCATTTTCTATTAGAATGCATCAACAAGGGATGCTGAAGCACATTTTAGAGTGGGGGGGGGTGCTCTAGACAAACTGGCAAACTTTTATGCAACCATTAAGGTGCCAAAATCTTCTGTATATAGATATATATATATATATATATTGCCAAAATCTCATAGAAGTCAAATTTACGTTGTATGTACAGTTTCATCACTGTCATCGTTGTATGTACAGTTTCAAATGCATTTTTCTTTTATTGTAGTATGAAGGAATCTTGCTGCCTGGAAAATAAAAGAACATAGTGATGCCATTAAATATTTCTCTATCAGAAATTTTCAGTTGAACAAGTTTGTTTGTTTTTTTGTTTGCCTCTTAAAATATGGAAAACTTTGCAAGAGATTTGTAAGTGATTCCCAGTATTTTTTCCTTGAAACATATCAGAAGCATTGGAAACTACCCACCCTTTCCAATTCTCCTTGCCAATTTAACAAAATTTCTCCTACAACAAAAAGCCTGTAGATTCAGCTGTGTCAAATACTTGAGATCAAAACCCTCCTTGTGTAGCTGTCAACAGGATTGAAGAACCGCCAACTTAATGGAATTTGGCAGCTTAATGGTAAAAGCATGTAGACAACTCTGAAAATCTGTCATACCTGAAAATATTAAACTCAAGTTGCAATTTTATACTTTGATGTTTGCCTGGTCCCTTGCAGGAGCCAACTTTAGTAACATGCAAAAATGTATGTGTTTTTGCATAGGATGGGTAGAATTTAAACATCAATGCTTTTCATCATCTATCCAAATTATCTGTGTCCCATGTAATTTGTGCTCCCAGTGCTATTCTCTTCTCGTGCTCTCTGTATATTCTGTCCTTCCTGTAGTTTTTATTGCAGACTTTCGCATCACACAGCTTTAATTGCTTATGAAGTATTAGCCTATGCTGTAGACCCCTCTCCAAACGAAGATATCTTCGTTACTTCTTTATTTGCTTAACAAAATTCTCCATTTGTAGCTAGTAATGTTAGGGAGGTAACCTAGAGGATATGTTGCTAAAACCCTATTGAGGTAGGATACATATGCTAAGAAGAGTGGGTTGTGAGAACAAACTTTTATTTTTGTTTTGAAAGAAGTTATTTGAGTCTTGAAAGCAAGAAGACCTTCAAATGTATGTTTGAGAATTAACACGTTCTGGGAAGGAAAGATAACTTTCAGGATAGGTTTCGTGAATTTGCCAAGAGACTTGGAAGGGTCACAACTAAAAAGTTTTTGGTTATCCCGACACATATCAGTGGATATGTGTCTGGATGGTAAAATAACTGAGTGGGAGCAATGTCCATGGGAGTGTCTGTTTTAGGGGGGGGGGGATGTTAACAACAGAATTGTGGTCTAAATCTTCGGAGAATGAAGAGCTCAGATAAGTGTTATTAGGGCAATTAAGAATACTTGTCGACAAGGGTTGGCAACAAAGGATTGCTGCCTCTACCGATATTGCAAAAAATATTTACCATAAGCGAATATCATAACAAGCAAGGCACAGTTACCCAGAGCTAGAACAAGTTACTAATGATACTGAAGATGGCACAACTTTGAATTATTTCAAGAACAGAATTTACTATATTTTGAAAGGTTTTTTCTGAAGCCTCTGATTTTTTTCTTAAAGAGACCCATACTCATTACATAAATTTGCTTTAAAAAACAGAAGCATTATGATATATAATCTAACAGGAGCTTACATATTTCACAAAAAGAGCTAGACAACTGGGCAGCAAGATTTGCAATAAAAAATGAAACAATAATTATTTTACATATTACATTAACATAAAAAGTAGTCATTGCGTCATACGCTACAAAAAAATTTTCACAAAGTTCCTCCGAGAAATAATGTATAACAGTACCTTTACAAGCTTGAAGATAATAACATTAATATTTTCTGTAAATTATTCATAGAATTAATGGTAACAGTCTTAACAAGGGCAATAAATTTATTAAAAAACTAAAAGATGTGCAAAAACATTTTTTTGGTTTGCTAGCTGCACTGCAATTTTTATGCCAGAATGCTTCTGCTACTTTGCTAATATGGACATCTGATGGTGAAAGTGCTAATGTGGTATAAATTGGGGCTGTCTATACCAATGAATCCATGAAACTCCATCGCTTAGTTATAGCTAGCAGTGCCATTGATATAAAATAATCTATAATGATGCAGATATTTCTGGCTTCCATATTTTCTTATTAGCAATATTGACCACTGAACATTGACATTATTTTTATTGGGTTCTGAAGATAACAAACCCATTGACCATCGCCATAATTCCTCACTTTACAACCATTGTCTAATTTTATTTCAAAAACTGGTTCACTTTCCAATTCTTGCAAAATTATTTTCTGAATGTCATATCCAGTCACTTTAGCATGTATTCCTTCTCTGCACCCTAAAGTTATGTGGGCAGTACACCCCTTCTCAATTGATGGATGGAGAAAATCACTGCCAAGGTTGTTGATGAATTTTTTATACTTTTCTTGCACATGATTCATTTGATAGGTTGCTGCTGGCTCATGAAGCTTCATTTTTTTGTCAAAAGCATTTACTAATTCTTTTAACTTGTCTTCACCTGGGGTTTTAACACCATCACTTACAGATTCTTTCTCACTCTCTGGAACCATGGGATCAAGTCCTGCATTCAATTCTTTTTCTAAAAATGAGTCATTTTTTCCCCAAAGCTCTAAGGCTTTACATGACAGCCTGACCCTTGCTCCTATTGTCCTAGGGGTTAAATACCACCCAATTATGACAATTTCAGTTACCTGTCCCATAGCGTCATTAGGTCTTGATTGGTAAATGTAATCTTTAGACCAAGGGCACTTTCCATAGTTCAAGAAACATGCAGTAACATGATGCAGTGGTTCAGCTGATGCAAGATAAACAGAACAAAGGTTCAGTGCCCCAGTTCCTGATTGTGAAAAATCAAGCTCTGTATCCAGTGCAAATTCCTTTATTTTCAATAACACATTTGCCAAATCAAAGCCTCTCTTCCGTACATACTGTGAATCATCAATACCAATAAACCACCCATAGTATAATGGAACCAATGGAACTACTTCACTTGCCTCCAATGACTCTGACTTGAAACCATGATAATCCCTTTTGTTTGTGGTGTTTTGAGTATCAATAGTATATACTGAATTATCTTCAATGAGAACTGTTATGTACCCATTGTTACGGCAGACTTCTAGCAGAGGCTGAAAGCTTTTAATCTGCAGCATTTCATTGCCTAGAAAATGAAAAGAAGTTGGAGAGGCTTCTCATTTAACACCCAAAATTTTGATAATCCAAACATATTTTAGAATCAGGAGGAATTTTGATAAGGCAAATAAAAGAAGCATCTTAAGCTTTACTGCACACAGAGGTGAGTTTACATGCTTAAGATTTTTTGAGGAGGTACTATCTCATTCATCACAGTTAAATGAGGAATAATTAGGGGGTTAGCTATAGCCATTTTCTCCTTGTGTAGCTACCAAACCTGACAGTGATCCAAACATGACATGACAGTGATTAAGTCACCTTTTCTAAAAACAAGTCATGTTTGCCAGGTTAGATCTGTTGATGAAGCAAATGGCTTTGTTTGGATTTTGGTCACTGATGACACAAAGAATATTTAGATGTGCTACCTGTCAACACTAATGGCTATGAACCTATCAGAGAGAAAGCTGCTGTTTAGATCCAATTGACAAAGATTTTATCTTACCAAAGTATTTCTTAGCAGCCAAACTGCATTCTTTGTCTGAGTGGAGAACAAATTCCTGTGCAATCTAAGGTAGTTCTAAAGTTAGAGACCATCAAAGTCACACACATTTTGCATAGACACACGTATTTTGGTCCTTTCTGCTTGTTTGTAGCCTACACAAAAAGCAGGTTAAATTGCTGTTGGCTATAATTTCATAATTGTAAATTGATTTCATTATAGAGAGTGGAATCAGAGCAGGAGAGAGCAAAGTAAGTTTTTCTCAAGAGTGATCTATGGGGTAACAGTTACACTATGAAGTGCTGCTTGATCCTATGCCTGGATTCCTTCCTCTGCATTTCTGGTTCACAGTGCTGTGCGCTTTTGCAATCATTTGTGCATGTGCACCAGATTAATTATTATATTATTATGTACTGTTATAAATTCTTTCTCAATAAAAACAAAAATAAAATTGTTAAATTATGTTACTTAATATGTAAATTATGTTAATTCAGAATTCTAACCTAATAGTAGTTTTTAAGTAGTCATTGGACATCATATGCAGCAAAATGTCATATAGAAGCATCATTAGTGAAATCTGTGCAAAATGTATACCAGAATTTATGTTATCTGCGCAAAACACAGAGAATGCCGTCTGGCTTAGCAGTAGAATAAACATGAGTAACATAAGCAAGAAGACCAGACTGAAGTCCAGAAAGGATATTGCTGGTTTCAAGGAAGGTAAATGTATTGTTTGGATGTGTAATAGTGAATCTTTGATGTGCTCACAGAACTATAAACAAAGTCATTGCAGCAAATATTGAAACTTGCTAATGGATGGATATCCATATTTATGCCTCCGAAAAGCTCATTATTGAATTTTCGTGCTCAATCTTTCGACTGAAACTGTGGTTCCCAGCTTTGTTTGTGACTCTTGAGAATGGGAGCTTAAAGGGCCTTAATAGAAATTAGTAAAGACTGTAATAAAGAGCAGTGGTTGAATTGATCTTTCTGATGTTTTACGCAATTCCTTGGTCCAAACCTATTCTTGAGATAAATCTTCCGATTCATATAGAAATTGGCCCTACATATTTTCTTTCTGAAATCAAGGATCTCTTCAATTATGATGGCTTAACGAAAATTGCAGGTACCGAATAATACAACGACATGCTTCCCATCTTCACAAGCCGATCTCGTCTTGTTGATGTAGTATTGGTGTGCCTCTTCACCTTCAAAAAGTGGATCTGCTTTATAGTCTGTCTGCAGAGGTATGTCATCATCGATTTTACATACCAAAGCGTCTTCTTTATAAATCTTACACAGTTCTTCAATTATAATTGACCATTGATCTCTCGCTTCAGATATTCTCAGCAAGTATAGTAATTTATTCTTTTTGCAGAATTCGATTGTTTTTTCACTTTTGTGAGGCAACATCTAGGCTACCTGAAAAGATTGTTTTTTCTCTAAAACTTGTTTTGCTTCGGTTTCACTGCCTTGTCTTGGAGACGAGGCTCCAGAACAGAAGCAAAAAATGGTTAGAAGAAGGGATAACTGTTTATAATGCACTGTCCCACCCACCCCCTGTGGCGCACGCCCTGCTTCCTGCATTCAGACACTTCATCAACCTGACAACACTGGACCGGCCACGTCCCCCCCCCTCATACGTAAGCACGGACTCGTCTTGTAGCATGTATAGCGTGGACGGCACAAGATTATTAAGATCATGGCAACCAGGTGGGGTATCGCTGGAGCTGGCAAAATATCAGTCGATTTCTGCCTAGCCTTGAAAACATTGCCAGAAACCGAACATTGCATAAAAGCTGTTGGTGCTCGATCTCTAGAAAGAGCCAAAGAATTTGCTGCAAAGTTCCAAATCGAAGTAGCTTGCGGGTCGTACGAGGACTTGTTTTTGCGTGATGATGTCGATGTCATCTACATCGGTACGATCAATACGACTCACAAAGAATTATCGATATGTGCAATGAAGAGTGGCAAGCATGTTCTCTGTGAAAAGCCTGCTGGAATGAACTCATCTGAATTAGACGAGATATTCAGTGTTGCTAAACAAGAGAGGAAGCTTTTTATGGAGGTAAGCATTTTGAGGTAGCATGTAGTAAAAAACATACAACAATTGATACCCTCTTATATACGTCCCCTCATTTGAGCCCCCTCTTATATACGTCCCCTCATTTCAGCTCAGGCCAGTAAAATTAATTTTAGTTACATTGGCCGAGAAGGGGCAATCCGCTGGCTAATCCACATATCTTCTCTAAGATCCAGAAATACTTTGCAAAATCTGAGAATTGATCTTAAAAAAATTAAATAAATTCGGATTTGGATGAATTCGGATTAAAAATCAAATAGGATGATCCGGAGCCTGTTTCAAAATCGAAAATGAAAATGAAATCTGTTTCAAAAACGAAATTGAAATCCCCAAATTTGTCAATCTTTTCAAGGATGTTCTTAAAATTACAAAAAAGTATTTAAAAACACTGAAATTAATTTTATTATAAATGTTTTGAAATATTCTCAGCTTCTTGATATCAATTTTCAAAATCAAAATCAAAATGTGGAAAAGTTTTTCCACATCCTAAATAAGTTTCAAAATCTTATCAAGTCAAAACCAAGGAAAATATTCAGAAGCCTGCAGTCAAAATGGCACATTGATTTTATCCTAAAAGTGGTTCCAAGGTTACAGACGAGACAGGGACCAATTTTTGTTTGCACTGTGAAAATAAATAGTCAGCGAAATTGAAGAAAGAGAGCCTACTAATAAATTGTCTGTTTCCTAAATTTATTTTGGCAAAAAAGACTGAATGAAGAAAAGGTATCCTGTTTCGAAAAGAGAACAAAGATTAGGTCTGACCAACAATGCAATAGGCAAAGTTTGGCAGTTCAACAACGAAGCGTTTTGATAAACATAGGAATTGCAAGAGAGCTGAGCACCGAAGGGGAGGAATGACTAATGTAAGGGAGTCAAAAATTGCTAACAAGAGTGGATAGAAATTCACTAGCTTCTTTTACCTGTACAGTTTCAGCTTAGACAGCCTCCAGCTTTGATGAACCACAAGCTTCTAAAGAAAAAACATTATTGTTAATTATTTGCAAGTTTGACTGCAATTTAAACAAATGACGGTTGAATGTTTCCAAACATTGAGTTTAAATCGTAATTAAAACTGCAGTAAAGGTTTTACGCAGTAAAGAAATACCATCATGATTAACAAGGATGAAAAATGTTTTGAGCCAATCAGACTGTTTGTTTACAATTTGAACCAGCCAATGGTATAGCGTCAAAGACAATAGAAATCTGAAGAGAAAATAGCATCAAATCAGCTGCAACAGTAAGGCTCGCACCTCCTATCCAAAGCTGTGGGGAAAAACCGGTGCCACAAAAAGTTAACGCTGAACGCAAAAATTGTCATTATTGAAGTGCTTCAGACAATTATGCATAGCAAAGGAGTATATCTAAAACTTTGTTGTCCCCTTTTTTAAAATTTGGTCGTTAACCAGAGATAAGTGATGAAACGTTAAGCCCATTATTGCCCTGATTGAATCTGCTTATGTTGGTTATGGTTGGTTGTACTCCAAGAAAACGGCATCATGTCATTTTATTGAAAAACAGGTCATTTTACAATTTTTTTAAAGGTCGTTTATAAAATTTAAGCAGAAAATAAACCTTGAAAAATTGTGCACATTTTACTTGTTATTTCAAAAATTACTTTGTAAGAGACTTTGGAAAAAACAGAAGATTACGTTTTCAAGAAATTGATAAAAAAGCAGGTAAAATAAAAAGTACATGTCATAAAATTTGAATTTTTTCCATGCTCGTAGGCTGTTTGGACAAGGTTTTCCCCAGCACACTTGGAAACATTTGAAGCATTGAAAAATGGAATCATTGGAGATATTATGGCAGTCCAAGTAACATTTGGTATCTCAGTTCTTGGTTCTATTGACAGAGTGACTAATCCAGGCCTTGGTGGAAGTGTTTTAATGGATATTGGCATATATTTGATGCATTTTGTAGATATGGTTTTCAGTGGGGATGAACCCATAAAAAGATCCACAGTTGGATTCCTTGCTGATTCTGGAGTTGATTTATGTAGCAGCACAACATTTCTCTTTAGGGGAAAGAAGATTGCCCAAGCCATGTGTTCAGGAAGTAAGTTGACATGAATATTAAGCCAATTATATAATTGTTTGAATGTGGATTTTGCATATTGATGTTTTTATTTCTAAACATTATCCCTGGTTTTTATTTTAAATGCACAAATAATACTCATAAAAATGGATAGTTATTTTCAGGCCTTGAAAAAACAATTTTCTTCCTGGAAGCAAAATAAAAAATTCAAGATTTCCTTTGAAGCTTCGAGAAAGTTTCCACCCACTGAAATTGATATTTCATGTTGCTTGATTTGTTTAAAAATTTGTCCTAAAAACAAACTGTCACACTAAAAAGAACTAATTGTTGGTCCTGCAGTCTTGAACATAGCTATTTGAAACAGGAATCATTTTGTTTATACTGTATTCGATAATCAAGGAGAACGTGATCAAGCACGATACTCATAGTTTGTTTTCAAGGTTAAAGAAAGTAGATCTGAAAATCTATAATAACTTTGATTAAATTTCATATCATATCAATTTCATACTAGCAAACTAAATACTTTATAAGTATTGATATATTGATACATCTTGCTCTGGGTTTCATGTTTGCTTCTCATTTTTATCATCAGTTCATACAACATATAAGAATAATATTTTATTTTTCAATGGTTAAAATAAATGTTTTAAATCAGGGGTGGTGCTAGAGGCAACTATTTAAGACCAAAACGCTTACATTCTATAAAGCAAGTGATGTATGCGAATGCCAGTAGGAAAATACGAATAATAATGGACACATCCACACAGGTTTTGAGGCATGTTCACCTTCAAAACAATTGATGTAACAAGATTGGCTGTCTTTAAGTGTTTTTACATATTTATAATGGCTAATGTATAAAAAGGAATGAACTTTGTTTGAGCTTGCTGGAATTAAATTAGTAGCTGAAAATCATGCACGGAAATATGGCATAACAGACGCTTATAATACCAGATTATTGAAAGCTAATCTTTGTTTTTTTAGTAGTGCAGAACAAAAATTATACAGTATGTATGTATATCACAAGAAAACAGCATTCCGTAGAAATATTGTAACATGAATTTAATGTTCATATTAAAATCAAGCAATGGAGATTTCACGCTAAAAATTTTCTGGCAAACATCAACAATTTCCTGCAATGAATTTGTGCTAAAAATTTCCTGGCAAACATCAACAATTTCCTCCAATGAATTTGTGCTAAAAATTTCCTGGCAGCGGCGCTGCCGGACATTTTCCAGCCCTGGTTATTTTTTGAGTTTTAAATTGCACTGTCTCACCATTTAAATTTGCTTTTTTTCAAATTGATGCTCTATTTGCTCAGAAATAATTTTTTGAGACCATAACTGACCAATAACTAACTGTCTCAGTTGCAGATCTTCCAAATGAAGGGATTATTATTGGCACTAAAGGAAGGATCATATTTAGGGCCCCATTTTGGTGTCCTACACTTGTCACCATCAATGATGTAGACAAAAGCTATTCATTACCTGAAACATTGTTTCCAACAAACTTTGCTAACAGTGCTGGATTAAGGTAACCAAATTTGTTAATAAACCTCAGCCTCAGAAGTTGTGTCTCTTTATACCTTTTTTCAGTTGATAAAATTTATATATATAAATATAGTATCAAATATGTTTCCTCAGGTACTGAAAAACATTTGAACCAGATCTGAATTGAAGTCAAGGCCAGTTTACAAGAGTGAATAATCCACAAGAATAATGCTATTTCGACCACAAAACTTTACTCCTTCAGTATTTTTACTTGTATTTGGCAGAAAAATTGTCCATAAAAGAATCCTTGGACATTATCACCCTATTGTTTGAATTTTCTTGTCAGCGTTTTTGTCAGTATTCCTGTCAACAATTAAAAATTCAAACTAGTTTGATTTAAATCCTGGCAATACCCAGACAATATAAATTTCAATTCAAGAATGTGCACAGTTGCATAAAGAAGTGTTCCATGTTTATGATTTGTATTAAGAGAACCAATGGCTGTGTCCAGACTCCATTATGAAGATGCAGAAGATAGGGCGTTTTGGAGAAAAATTTTCCAACCAACCAACAAAATAGTCACTTGGGCACATCTCTCTAGCATTAGCTTGCTTTTTACAAGAATCAGATATCTCCAAGATTGAGTAAATTTCATTGATGTGCAAATGAAAATCCAAATGTTAATAAAGTATGCATGTGCAGATATTGGCTCTGAGATGCATGCACAAATTGTTTTTTTAGCTTAATTTCTTTTTTGTTGCCTAATGTTTTAGATATGAAGCCGAACATGTGAGGAAGTTAATCATAGAAGGAAAGATTGAAAGTGATGTAATGACTCACAGCACAAGCAAAAGAATAATGAGGTACCTGGAACAAAGTCGACAGGAAGTAAATAACTGAGTGACCAGAACCAATTAATTTGACTTTTTATAATTTAATGAGTTTTAGGATAAGCTACAAATAGATTTAAATTTTGATTGACCCGGCAATAGAATTATTGTACCAGAAATTATTTAGGACATATTAAAAATTTTGAATTTTTTCTCTAGTTTCTTTTTTGCTACCAGGGTACTTTAAGGTACTAAATGTTGCTTTCTTTAAAGGAACTTGCAATTAATCTATGAGAGGTGAATGCAGATTTCAACTGATGCATGCATGCCTTGTTTTTTATTTTTAATCATCCTTAACCATCATGAAGGATCAACATCATCATAGGGGATGACTACAGTTGTGTCATTAGAGTGCGTGAACAGAATGCTCTGAGTTGCAGGGACTCACTTTCCAAATTTCTTTCAAAGAATTGTTTGGATTCTGGAGTTAATTTTTTTTGCTTTAGTTCACTTTCAATTTTCTGTTTTTTGTATCAGAAAATTGCTAGCTCAAAGTAGCATAGTTGCTAAGAAAATGTGAAAGCAAAAATGTGTCAAAATGTTTCATGTTTCCTAAAGTCAGTTTTAAAGTAGTATATCCTGATGAAGCTGTTCATTTGTGGGGAAGACAGCCAAAGTTTAACAGGAAAACAAGACGTTCACATTGCTTTTGGACTGAATTTACTTCTTTTCTTGACAGCAATTTCAGAACTATATGAAAGTTTGCTTAATTTGGGAACAAATTTGTTCCATTCAATAGGTATCTACAACCAAGATGATCCACAACCTTTTTGCTATTTAGGGAGCTGTTTTAATGTTTTTAACTGCAGTAGTTATTCAGTTATAAGCTGCTGCTTATAATTATTTTTTGGTATGTTTTGCTGCAGTTTATAATCAAGGGCGGCTTATAAATTAGGGCTGCTAAAATTATTTTATCCAGACCCTGCCATGCTCTCCAGCTACTTTAAAGCTGATGATGGTAATGTTGAAGATTAGGAAAAAATACTTCTAGGGGCCATTGAGAATCCCATGCTGTTGGTTGAACTTCTAATATCTATCTTTTTGTTTAAGCACACAATAATCAGTTTTTGCTTCCATCATTCCAAACCAAGATCTCTACATAGTTTTTTTATGTAGCTTATAATCAAGGGTGTCTTACATTTTATAATAAAGGGTGGCTATAATATAATCAAGGGTGGCTTACATTTTTTGATAAACCCAATTTCCTGTTGCTTATAGCAGTGGACAGCTTATAAATAAGTATATATTATAATCAAATAAATACAGTTTTTCTACAATTTAATCAATACTTTGATGGTTACTTAAAATGGCAACGATGACATGATATAAGTTAAAGGCATTGAGTCATGATAAATAGGCCTTCTCTATAGGGGGTCATTTGGTTTCGGCATGATCGTTGCTGTTTCACGTGATATTGGCATCTGTTGTTGACAACTTGCTATTGATGGAAACTGTTTTGTTAATCAGTACGAGGTGAGCTCATGTGTCCAGTTTAAGGTCAACCAATAGCATCGCAGTCATGAAAATTTTGACTCAGCGGATTTTGGCACTTTGGGTATACCCAATCCATTTTATCATGACTCAATGCCTTTAATTATATAGTATAGACATAATTAGCATCTGTTAATATGATAGAATGGCAAAGTTACATCCTCAAAAAGCTATTTCGGAATTTTGTAATTCTGTCCTCATAACCTGAATGAATGCTGCTAAATACCTTTAAATATCGAAAATCAAAATGATTTGATTGGGAACAGGCTCATGCTTATCAGATTTAACTGATTTTGCACATATAAAGATATATTCATTGGGTTCTTTCAGGTTATGGATTCAGGAAACTTAAATTGACTCAAAAACTGACATGAAATTTCCCAGTGAAAACATACAAAAAAGAAATTTTCAGAATCATTTTGGAAGGAAAATCATGTTGTCATTTATCATATAAATAAGTTAGCTACTTGGTCAAAATGAGGATCCAAACACGTGCTTAAGTCTTGTACAACGCCAAAAGGATTTTAATTGCTGTTTGTCTTTTTATAGTTTTCTGCAATTGAGAAAAGTGCCTCCAATATGCAGGAAGATGTCTCAGCTTTCCTTGCATTTTATGAATTAAATTTAGTTATAGGTAAAACAATTCTCTTCCTTGGGTTTATTTCTTCAGCATACTACCAATCATTTCAAATTACAACCCTATTCAACAAAGGATAGCCACTGCTAATTTCATCTACACACTACTTATCCATTTCTTTTAGTTACTCCTTGCACATTTACATCTTTCTTAAAGGATTTATATTAATGAATTTTCCGGCTTGCTTTATATTTGCTCCCCTGTGTACTTTATTGTAAAGTTGTGCTGAACGCATTTAGAACTTTAACAATAACTTTGATATCAGAAACTAACAAAGATCAGGAATGAAATGGAATGTATTTAAAATCACTTTTTAAACACAAAATAATACAATAGGACATTGAGGTTATCTAATATTTGGTGGTTGTTGTTCAACACTAATTTGGCCTAGGGTTTTTATCAGTGACAGCAATGTTTACTGAACTAGGTACATATATATCATAGATTCAAAAATGAAAATGGCTTTGAAAAAACAAACATTTGAGTTTGCTTTTTTCAGAGCCATTTCCAAGTTTTGTATCACCAAACGATTCAAATATCTTTGCGGACCCCTTTAAGTTGTCTGAGGTCCTTCAGCCAAAACAAGTATTCTGTAATGACATATTTGCAAAAGATTAAAATAAATTATGTATATAATAATGCATTTCTATGAAAGTCTGATTACAAGCTACTAACTTTGTGTGGGTAAAATTTTGTGTTTTAGCAAAATGAAAAAACCCAAAAAAAATGAAAAAACCCAAAAACATTGAAAACACTGACATCATCATGTGACTCCTCATTTTCTGTTTGTTCAAGAGGCCAATATCTTAAAATGTTTGCATTCATTGCTATACTATGCATTTTCTTGAAGAGGTTCAAGGGTAGAAAAAATTGCCTTAGTCTATCAAACATTTTAAAAGTATCAATTCATTCAAAGACAAAACGTTATGCCATAGGCTGCAAAAAACATATTTGAATTTTGCCAAATAATATTCATCAGATGAAATTGTGATGGCAACCATATCATCCCAAGCCTCTATAACTAAATCGTATCCAAGACATATTTTGAGGGATTCTTTGTGAAGTAAGGTGCATATTCTTCTCACAGAAGCATTAGATCTTGGAATGATTCTTCATCAAAGTTGTGCAAATTTTGCAGAAGGTTATTCGAGTTTTGTCCTCCAACTTGTTGAGAAGTCAAGCACAATTGGCTTTTTCTTTTTAAAGTCAAGTAATATGGCAGGTACATTGAATGGATTGAAGGATGAAAATTCTCTTGATTGCTGTTTATTTTGAGAGCTATCTAAGGGATCTGTAGAGAATGTTTCTGTATTATTTTCCATTGAAGCTTGTCCATTATTTTTTCCACTCAGGACACTAAAGGCATCATGAAGAAACTCCCTTTGTAACATTGTATATGAGTTTGCAAATCTTTCAATCAAGTCATTTAGCAAATTCAAAACAACATCCGCGTCAATTGGGGACAAATCTGGAGGCTTGCCACCTCTTAGAAGCAAAGCTAAGTAATTGTAGATGTTAGAATAATTTGGAGTCATGGTTGGGTCGCTAGCATTGCTGTCAGTCTCAGGCTCACGAGCAGCAGCAGTCATGATCTGGGGAATGCATTCTTCAGCTTGTTTGTCGTCTGGCTTCTGTGTTTTCTCAGCAAGGGAAATCCAGGCATCCACTGGAGTGCTGTCCAGGAATTCTGGATACTTAACACCAGTTTCCAAAAGTTGATAGAACTTTGTGTAGTTTTTAACGTCCCTTATTTGCTTGCTACCAACGTGTTTTGCTACAAGATTGTTGAAAGTACTAAATTTACTGTCAAGGGCCTCAACTAGCCTACATCTCTCATCAAAAGTCCATATCTCCTTTCGATCTGAAAAATCTTCTTCCAATTTTGGAAACTTTCTTGTCATTGCTGTTTCATCATTCTTAAGAGCCTTTCGTTTGCTCATGCCTTTTTACTTTGATTTATCAAAATTTATTAGAGATTATTTCGTAGGACCTCAAACCACAGTTCTTTCTCTTATGATACGTTGATATGATCACTGATGCTGTTGACAAAATTGAATAGAGGCCAATTCCACCGCAGGGCTATCTCAAAGCGTTGGCGGGCCTAAGAAAGAGAAGGAGTAGAGGAAAATAACCAGTAAACAACTAGGTTTGTGAGAGTTTTATACAACTTCTAGGCAAATTAAGCGTTTTGAAATAGAATTGAGCAATAATTTTTGTAGAGCGTAAAAAATATTTGCAAAAATATTGCCCATTTATGCCAGAAATACGCACCAACCATGCATGCTGAATGTGAGTTTTCATTGTATGTCAGGAACACTCGAAAATTTCCACGAGAAACTGAAGAAGAGTGGGCACGATTAACAACGGTGCTTAAGACGAGATAAAATTTTTTGATTCTTTTTAGGAAAAAATATCATCCTTAGCCAAATTGACATTAAATAATTGATAAATTTTGAAATATTTTCCTCCCAATCTAGATGCTTATAGAAAGAAAATAAAGATATGCAAATACACTAGCATCTGTTGAGTCGACAGCAAATATTTTGAAACCTTTAGGGGAGGGGAGGGTTAGTCCAAGCCCCCTGCTACACCCAAGAGTGCATTACTTGTAATTTTATATCCAACGTGATGCTAACTACTGCGTGCTGGAATATAACTAATTTTTTTATAGCAGAATAGTATAAGTAAACCATCTGTTTCCCAGGCTGGATTTCATGGCAGTTTTTGAGGAGATCTCAGGACTGGACAGGCTATTACCTGGGAGTACGAGAGTGCATTTGTGAAAATCTTGCACACTTGCGTGTGCATTAAATTTCCCAGTGATTCTTGAGTGTGTGCATATTTTGTCTTAAAGGATTATCTCATGCCCGGCACCAAGAGGAGAAAGGGGGCAAATTGCCCAAGGGCATTGCGATAGGTCTAGAGCCTTATAAAGAAAGTCATTCTATTTTAAGTATGGAACTTAATCAAACTTAACAGAAGCATGCCTAAGAAACAAATAAAAAAGAACCTGGTCGCAAAAATTTTTTGGCCATGTTTTTCAGTTTTACCCCAAGGTCACCAAAACCTCTCAGCAGCCATGATCTCCATAAGATCATTTGATTTAGAATGAAACACTTTTCCCCAGGGGCAAACACTTTGTCAAATATTGGGGGGGGGGCAAGATGAAATCACATTTCCCATTGTTTTTAAACAAAAGACCATTGTCCTCTAAAGTATTAGTGGCTTGGTCAAAGCCTAAAATGAATTCGTAATTATAAAAACTCATTTGATGAAACAGTTGGATCATTGCTACAAATAGCAGGCTGTACCCTGTCCTACATGGATGTACAAATAACAGGCTCTATTTAAGAGCAAATAATTTGTATCAAATTTACATTAGATTTATAACTATAAATTTTTCCACATTTTCTAGGTAACACTGCAGGAAAGAAAAGATTGAAAGATGCTAAAGGCACATAATTTTTTAATTGGCCTCTTTGTTGTGACTATTTTTGCAGTACTACTCTTAACCTTGTCAATGACAAAAGAGCAACATGGTTTTACAGAACCTAAAAGGATAACAGACTGTATAACAATAAGCGATTCTTCAGTTTTGGAAATGAGAAAACCAGATGATGATGTTTTAGAAAAACTCACTCCACACTTCAAGCTTGTTGAAAGTGATACAGACCCATTGCCGATTTCGCCTAAATGTAGCAAAGAAGTTTTTCTAATAGTGCTGGTAGTAACTTCACCAGATGGTTATATCAGACGTAATGCAATCAGAGGAACTTGGGCTGAGAGTTTTGGCAAAAGCAGACATGCAATGAAGAAGGAGTCAAAAGTTGAAAAAGAGTATGGTATTGACAGTGTTGTTAAAGTTGTCTTTTTGGTTGGACATACACCCAATAAACAGGTAATGGATCTTGTAAATGCCGAAGCTAAGATGTTTGGAGACATTGTTCTTGGCGGCTTTCATGAAGATTATCGCAACCTCACAATGAAAACACGTCTTGGACTCAAATGGGCATACTTCAGTTGCAAAGCAAAATACATTCTTAAAACTGATGATGATGTGTTTATAAACACATTTCCATTAGTTGAATGGTTGGCAGAGCAACAGAGAGAGAAGTTTTACAGTGGTTGGTGCAACTTTGATTCTCCAGTTGTAAGAGACCCAAACAACAAATGGTATGTCATTCTTTATTCTTGTTCAGTGATTTTTACTTTCACACTGAAAACACACTTCTTGACTAATTTCTTTAAACAATATTTTTCGAATCATATTAAATGAAACTTGGCATGAAGTTAATGATTTATCATCATGATATGTTGATATCATGTACATCTTTCAGCTCAAATACTTCTTAGCATTTGTTTTCAGCTTAAATTGTAATCCTTTTAATGTATAAATTGTGTATTCTCTGTATAAATAAAAGAAACTACCATCAAATTCTTTCACATTGACTTAGCTAAGTCAAAATGGTTAGAACGATAATGAATTCTTTAACTCTTGCTCAGATCCCCTTCAGCAAGACATGAAGGGTATTGCCATTAAGCCTAATAACAAATGGCCAAACATTATGGGCTCACAGAGCTTTGTTTATACGCTGTCTGTTGTCCTTTTTTGTTTTGTTATGGAAAGAAAGAATCAGAAAATAGCCATAGCAATAAAGAACTGTTGTGAAACAGGCAAATCTTACCTCTTAGTATCAGAATACTCTCACATTAAGGAGATAAAAAGCATTAATCGAGCTCTGTATATGATTTGAAAGTTACTGTGCAGCTTTGTCACAAAAATATCTCGTTATGTGAAGCATTTTTACCTAAATTACTTTAAGATCATTAGCAATGGCAGTGAATTTCAAACAACCTTATTTTGTTAAATCAGTAAGGCATTCCTACTACTGCGAGGGAAAATCTACACTGTTAGAGTAGATTTGCCCTCAAAGTATTACTAATGCCATACATTTTTAACAGAAATAGACTTTGGGAAGGTCAATTACAGTGACTCTGTTGAAAGCTTTTCTAGTTCCTGATCTATTAAAATTCATCCATGTTAATCGGGACACAGCGTTTGACATAGTGACTTTCAAATTATATCTGAAGCAAATAATGCTGTTTGATCTCCTTTTAAATTCTAGAGTCCTAATACAAAGAGGGACCGATTGTGCCCCAATTCAAACCAGTCTTTAGTTTCTAACATTCTCTTCTAAATAGTGATGTGTCTGGTTTTTTTGGGGTGCAGAGCCCAATTTTTTCATTATTTTTTTAGAAGGTGTCAACCTCTCATTTTTTGGTAGCTTGTCATTCAAGTTTTCTCTAGTAGCTGACATAGGAGAAAACTGGCTTCGTCTTTGACATCATCATATAGTCCTCCCTTAATGGCTGATCAACCTTAGTTAAGAAGGTCAAGGAACATCACTGGCACATCACTGGCCTCACTTCTCTGCAAAAAAAAATCCTTTTCCTGTCACTCTATTATCTTCTTTATCACAGTTTCTGTGCTCTCTTCGTTAGCTTCTTATGTTTTTAGAACTAAAGGCCAGGGCCAACGAAGCCACGGGGCAGAGTATTGTATTTGGCAAAGATTTCAATATAATACATGTATTGTAGTTTATGTCGAACTATCTGGTGCTGGTTTTTTCTTTGACGTTTTATCATTAAGTTGTTATTATTATAGTCAGCTGCTATTTTCAATAATTTTGTCTCCAAACTTATAGTTTTCAGCTCTGATTTTGGCCGTCAATTTGGCGTTTATGGTTCTAGCTTGGTGTTAATGCTTTGAGTCATAAATTTTCGAACAAGTTTAAACTTCATAGTATAAGATATAAAAAATATGGATAAAGAAAATAACAATGAACGTTAGCCCCGATTGATAGTGCAATGCACCTTATTTTACAGCTCTGCCTATATGAGATCGGACACGATATGACAGATCGATGAACATTGATTTTCACTAATAGTTAAACCGAAGTAGCATACAGTTGTGGTCACTTCTATGTATATTATGAGGCAAAGTGGCCAAGGAAGATTTTCTGTGACCATCTAGAGTTTATTATCGATGCATATTTTAGATGATTCAACAGGGCCGGTGAAACCTATTTGATAGCGGAGGACCAAATATTAAGATTACCATGGTTGGTGGTGAGACACTATTAGAAATATTCTGTTCTTGGAATGGCTAGAAATTGCATGTAAACTAGATTTTAACCGAAAGAAAATCCCAGGGAATACTTTAAAGTTTTTTTTCATCACTAGGTCCCATAGTTTATCTATTTCAATGTTTACATGAGATCGAAAAGGTTTTGCAAAGTTTCAGAAAACCAATGCACTCATCACGCGTACAGTACCAAATGCGTTCATCAAAATGACTGAATAACCTTTTTTTATTAAACTTACAAATTTATGTAAAGGGTAAGAATGAAATTTATTTATATTATGTTATAATAGTGTTGGCCCATACAAACACCATGTTCGTTAAATATTGATGTCGTGGCTAGGAATCTCGCTCAAAAGTTACAATATATGTAGCTATTAAAATGCTTTGTCACTAAAATTCTCTTTTTATTTTTAAATTATCGGGAGATGGGGTGGTCGTCACCTGCCCCCTAGTCTCCGCCATTGGTAAGATATGTTTTAATGTAGAGCAAAAATACTTCAAATTGGTACTGTTTAAAGACTTGTCACGAAGTGCTCGATGCCGTATAGGCTAAGCTGTACACGCTTTGGGTGTATCGAAGAGAACAGTTATAATTTGCTACTCACACCTAATGCGATCATCGGGCGTGATTATAATAGTTGCCTAAAGATTTCTAGCTAAAAACAATAAAAACTGTCAAAAACTTAATTTTTATGAGGTATGTGTATCTCGAATTGTCATTTGATCCTTAATTCTGTATTGATTTTAAAATCAAACTTATCCTAAAGGCTTTAACACTCATATTTTAATCCGATTTATTCATATTTATTCAGATAATGAAAGTAAGATTTCCAGTTTTTCTTAAAAAAAGGCTAACCAACTATTTTTAATTTGAGTTTATCTTTGTGTAGGTTTGTTTCTACGGATGACTATGAAGGAACTAATTACCCTGGGTACTGTCTTGGAGGAGGTTACGTCATGTCGGACGATGTTCTTGGAAGAATGATTAAAATGTCATATGGCAGAAAGCTTTTCCCAATGGAAGATCTTTACGTTGGACTGCTAATCAAGAGCCTTGGTGATGTTAAGCCTTTTGACAATAAACAAGGATTTGATTTGGTATTTGGTGGTGCTGAGGGGTGTAGGTATACTTCCCTGTATCTCGCGCACCCGGTCCGGCCAGATGACCAACTAAGAATGTTATTAGAAGCACATTTTGCATTGCAAACCTGCTAGGGTGCTTTAAATTTCTATATTTATATTATATTTAGTATGAATCAATCTTACATTATATTGATAATTATCAATCTATACTAATAGTGATCATCTCATCTTTAGCTTTTTAAGTATTAGGAATTTAGCTTGGTTTTTTAATATATTTGAAATTTTATGATCACTTTTGATGTACTTTCTTTGCTATTCTTTCTATCTATTCTTCTCAGTAGTAAATGTAACCTAAGAAAGGCAGATGAGTGACATGCTACTAGGGGAAACTGATTTCTGTTCTACCCTGAAAGCTTGAGATTGGAAAGAATTGTGCTAGAAAACCTGGCCTTTGAAATAAGATTTGCAAGCAGTTTTTTTGGCGATCCAAAATTCAAACGAGCAAACGTATTTAAGCGTACTGAATCTTTTCGTCGGGCACATTTCTGACAGGCCAACCGTCCATTTCTCTTATGAACTAGAATATGCTAGATTCATGTTTGTTATATAGAAAGGAAACTGCACTAGCCTTTTATAAATCGAGGTAACGTTAACAATGGGAAAGAAGCATCTGGAAAATTCTATAACCCAACAGTGCTAAATAATCATGAAAAATACTTTATCTCGTATTCGGGGATAAAAATTTGGAATAATATCCCAGAAAATATTTGAAGATCTCTAGTAGAAAATTTGTAACATTCAAGAAATTGCTATTAGATAGCTATCAAATGTTATCTATTTACTATTTTATCATATTAGCATTCTACCCTATATATCATCCTATTAACTAATATATTTATTCAAATGTTGTTTTATTGGAAACGAATACGGCATATGCCTCGAAAGCTCTTTAGAGTTATTTTCATACGTCCGTCAGCATTTGTTTAATTATCCATGACGAACTTTTCCAACAATCTTATTCTATCTTTAAAATTAGTTTCTTCTCAATTATTAGCATCTTAATATTTATAAAAACAGTAATTAATTGCTCCGAAAATAAATATTAAAGGCAATGTGTCCATATAAAGCAAGGAACTCTGCGGGGTTTTCAGAAACATGTGGTTTTTTATGTCTTTGCCCCAGCCATTAAGCCCAAACTCCAGTGAGAAAAAAGTCAGCGAAATGTGAAAAAGTTCGCACGAAATACGTCTTGAGCATGCGCAGTTAACTTTTGTTGGGATTTCTCGCGAAGAAATTCTCTGTGAAAAAAGATCGTAAAGTATTTCGCAGCGAAATTTCACAAGACTTTTTCTCACTCGTTCTGTTTATCTACCCTGCTGCGAGGTTAGCATTTCATGTGAGCATTTTTGCATCGCAAGAATACTGACCAATCGCAAGCCGTTTTTTGATGTTACTTGACAAGTCCTTTTATTTGGACACATCTGCGATAGGCGGAGGAGCATGTGGGACGCGCACAAAGGTCACAGCGTACAAAATCACTGATCATGCGACATGCCGATTGTATCATATGATAACGGTCTTCTGGAAGCTGATAATACTTGGAACACATTGTAACTGAGCGAAGGGGATCTCTTCAATCTAGAACCAACTCTAGATCCTTGTCACTCGGTAAAGCTGTAACGGTAAGTTTGGTTTGCTCTTTTGCCTTTAATGAAACATTTCCTGTCATATTTCCTCAAAGCAGCTTGTTGCGTTAATGGCAACGCCGGAAGCCGCTAGCTTAGTTCCGCCTGCCCAGACAGGAATCACCGTAAGTGAACAGAATTTGCTGCAATACACGGTGGAGGTGGTAGGCATATCCTACCTTGGCTGTTTGTACGTTAGCCTATTGTAAACAGGAGACTGGTGAATGAAATACTAGTCTGTTAACCTCATTTCCATTACCAGATTTCTTTTTTCATCCTGATTGTTTAAGACTTATGTTTTGGAGTCGAACGAATTCGATACAAGAGTAATAATAGAACAATTTGCCTCACGAAGTACTCTCTTTTGTTATAAAAACACATTTTGGACGAAAACCGAGGGTTGAGTTGCCTCAAGAAAAAGAACAAAAAACTTAAGAACATGCTCAGGCGAATACTCGGATGGGGTAACTAAGCCTAATTGTGGATGGGGACATGCCATTTTGGTTAAAAATTTTGGACCCATATGTCTGAAAAAATGTCACCCGTAATTCCGAAAACATTATGAAAGCTATACCCATAATTTTATACAAAGCAAATATCATTTTTAAAGCACAACAAAATCATCAAACAAATTTTGCATGTCCTTTGCCAAAAATCTCAATATTACACATATTTAATACTTTCATTTCTAACTGGACATTCATTTTGTTAATGCTCAATCTCCCTCCTAATAATTTTGCAATATTTGTATGTTTAGCACGATAAAGCTGTGTTTACAGATCATCTTCATTTTAGTTTTTCACTATTTACGGAACTGATGATCCAACACACCATACTCTATGTCAGCTAAGATCTGAAAAGAACCGTGACTGACTGTCAAAATGAACAAAAGTTCTGGCCTCAAAGAAAAAAGCTAGCATCCTTCCTTATCCCCTTATGTTTTTAATCCAGTTTTGAAGAAACTAGAAATTTGATCTTAAGAAAAGTGGGTGGACACGTCCACCCCAGTCCACCCCGTGGCGCCGCCCCTGTAAACAGGAGTGAATTGATTCTTAAGATCTTTTTAGAGTATTCTTGCAGGAAAGAATTGCAAAAATGTAGCCCCAATTTGCTAAGGTAGCTTTATTACGTTCAAGACGTGGTTGTAAGTTCCTTTTTCACATAGCCTGGAAAACATGGCGGTCGTATGGTCAATGACCGTGAGGAAGGCCAATAGAAATCGAATTAAAGTGCCATTCTCGAGCCCTGTCTTATTTTTTTCTTGGGAAGGTTTCCAAAGCTTATGGATATTGTAGGGAGGTAGACCTAACCAACCAACCAGACTGGAATCGACGGGGTGTCCGCCATATCTAAGGTCAGAGAGAGTTTTTTCTTTCTTAACAAGAATATTCTAACAATGGAAAAATTAGGTGATAAGATTATTCTTTGAAAAATTCTTCATCGGAGTACAAGCAAGAACAATGAAAAGATACAATTATTCTTGTTGAGTATTATTTCATGTAACGGGGCCTTAAAACGCATTGGCTACTCTGGGGCCCGGCCTCATTCTCAACCTATCTTTAGACGGCATAAAGAAATGAAACAAGACAGTTGTTTCATTTCACTATCTCTTTGTATTTCACAAAAATATTCATGTAGCTTCTTGTTGAAAGCAAAAGCTGGGGGTGTTTGGTTACCTAGAGACTAAATGGTCTTGATGCAGGTTTAGTTTCTTGCTACGTTTGTTCCGCGCCTGCTTTAAAGATTCTCTTTAAAGGTACGCTCACAATTCTTGTAAAAATTTGCCTTGAGAAAAAGATTACCAAGTTTCCTGGCTTATTTGATTAAAACGTTTCATGATATATAGCTTCACTAAGCCCTGTGTCTTTGTATTCCTTCAGATGAGTCATTACAACAAGCTTCAGAATAATCACGATGAAGAGCTCGGTAATGAAGTGAATCAAAATGCAAATGACTGGCTCAAGTCACGTGGCTCATCGGAAAGTCGTCCCCCAAGTCGACCTAGCATTGGAACAGAAATCGCGTTCCACAATATATGTTACACAGTTCCTGCAAAAGAGAACCGAAAAAGGGTATTAAAACCTATTTTAAACAACGTAAGGTAAGCAAATATTTAGTTTCTGGCTTGTTTTTCTCATCATTACTTTGGGGTTATCCATGGGTGTAATGCTAGGGGGTCTCGGGGGCTAAGCCCCCCTTGCTGATTCCAAAAATTGGCAACTTTCTTCTTTTGCTATTATTTTTAGCAACATTTTGTGCAAGAGCCCCCCTTGTAATTTTGATAGCACTACATCACTGGGGGTATCACTGAGATTTCTTGTGCCACGTCTCAAGTGATTGTGTCACAAGTCATAATGACCAGTCCTCTTATATTGGTTTTGAATGCATGGTATGATTTTTTCTCAGATGCAACAAAGAAATCAGCTTCCTTTGCTTAGCTAATTTCCAAATTAGGTCACAAACATTAGTAAGCTTTAGTTTAGTTAACGAATTTGATATTTGACAGAAAACAATGTTTCTAGAATCGTTATCGATTGCTGTTTTTGATTATGTTCATGATAAATCATGATTGGTTTGTTTCAGTGGCCTGATGAAACCTGGTCTTCATGCAATACTAGGACCGACTGGCAGTGGAAAAACGACGTAGGAAATTATGTTTCTATTCTTGTTGCATAACTGCTTTCTTCAAGTGATGAAAATCGCTTCCTACTCTATTCAATTGAGTCTTACTTCCCACTCTATTCTATTCAAAACATATTTTCAACTACTAATTTTGTTAATGGCCACACCTTCCCTCCTTTCTTTACCGTTCACTATCCTTTACTTCCCTTCTTTCATTTCCTCCCTCTTTCTTTTTCATCATTTCTTCCTTTTTAATGATTCTTTCTTTTAATCCCTTCTCTCTTTCCGTAAGTACTCGAATAAGCCACAATGTTAGATTCAGGAAAAGCGATGCTTAGTCCCATATTGAAATTCCTCTTTGCAAAGATTATCATATCATTGATTGGGATTAATAAGAACAGGGATTGCAAATGAAAAGTGTTCCTGATAGTATTTCTGTCAAATTCAAAATAGGGTAGATAATGAAATTATTAAACTTCTTCTCAAATTGGTGTTATCTTTAATTATTTAGTCTTTTCTTTTAATCTACCGGCTGCTGCTACAATGAAGGCTGTGTGTAATTTCTCTATCAGGGGCAGGATATTTTTTAATATAGTTATATCCTCAAATAACAAACCTGCTTTGCTGTGACAAAAGAAAGCTTTCCTTTTTGGGAGTTTTGGTGTCGCTTACATGATTATTCAACAGGAGCCTTTCCATGGTACCAATGAATTCCTGGCATGGTCATAGTCGATTTCAGTAGAAAGATGAGCAGAGAAAAAGATAAAATTCCGCAAAAGACGGAATCTAAGAGAGCTAAAATAGGGCTACAGAGCCCAGAGGATGGGTGCCATGGAGGAAGGATGGGGGTAGTGGGTCGGGGGCTGTTATCCCAGAACGTTTGGATTTGACTTGAACGAAAACTGGGAACAATAAATCCGCGTCCGAGATCCCAAATTCTAAACGACACACACAGAGGATTTTCACTGGGAAAAGCTTTAAGTAATGACAATGCTGACCCGTGTCAACCAGAAAGGGAAGTGATGAGATAGAAGGGTCAGAAGGAGAACATCCTGTAGCACATATCGAATTTTTGGGCTGAATTTCGATATTAATATTAGGGTTCCTCTTCATTTCTAGAATTTCTAAGTACTAATTAGAACGTGAAACTAAATTAAAACAGGCTCTTCCTCCATCAATGTAATTTTTTCTTCGCTCCAAAATCTACGAACAACGCCAAAACAACATTGACACAACCAGAACACACGGTGATAACAGCATAACATGTTGAAGTCTGAAATCCTATACAAAGATTCATATTATTATATATATATTACATATAATAGCAATTATTTAACAAAAGTCAATTCGTTTTCACTTTTATTAACCGCCGACAATTTGCAGCAAGTTAACTGATTCTGCATTTTTAGTGGTATTTGTAGTTTTATTTCAATGTATGGGGGCAAAAGTAAAAAGTATCATTGGCAGTGGCGACACTTGACCTTCCAGACAAAGGGGTGGAGGGCCATCGATAGAAAAATTTACCGACGAACACATAGGTGGAGAAGAATTTAGGTGCTATTTTATCCACTAATGTGATTTTACAGACCAACTAAGGATTTTGTAGACAAACTGAAGATTTACCGACGAATTCATGAAGTATTGGAGGGTGTTAAACCCCCTACACCCCCCGCTAGTTACGCCCCTGATCATTGAACACGGTTTTTCCCTATTTGTTCAACTTATGGGTAAAGAGATTTTTATCTAGAGAAAAATGTGCGTATTAGATGCATTGGTTCTCCACCAACCTTCTGGCAATCTTCAGAGTATAAAACGCCGGGCCAAAGATTGAAAACTCTAAGCTGGGAAGTTTATATACTGTAATATGTTCAGCGGTCTAAGGACTTATTTTCAGATTCAAACGAAAGAACATCGACAAATTTCTCAGAACAACAAGATGTATATCGACGAAATGCTTTTACAAGTAAATCGTAATTTTAGACTAACCGGAGAACCTTCACAAGCGCTCTCATAAAACGAACTGAGCTAATTGTGTAAAAATCTAAATACATAGTTGTGCGATATAATAGTATAGCTCAAGGGACAAATAAATGATGCGTGAAGGTCTATTTAAAATCTGCAAGGTTAATAGGATTAAAAGATATAATGCGGAGAAAATACAAATGTGTTACTGAGTTAATTAAAAAACGTGAACGTAGAAAAAAAGCAACATGAGATTCGAAATAAACTTTTATTAAATTAAAATGCTGAGCAACACAAACAAGGCGTGGCGGTGCGGTCGCTGCGAAGCATGATATGTGTTGCAAGGCAAAGCACAAAGCATTGTTACAATACACCCAGCTGTGGATCGAAAATAGCCTTTCACATGAGTGTAAAGGTCGCTCAACCAGTGCCGCTTGCCTATTGAAAACACTACCAATGGAGTTTAAGGTCAAATCAATACGATTGAATAAGTTATATAACTTTTATTATATAACTTTACAGTCAAACCTTACCAAACCTCCTATTGCCCACAAAGGCTTTCCCCCAATGTCATACAGACAAATTCTTCTTTAGAGTAGATGTTTATATGTTTTCCCGCTACCCTTTGTACCATTTTTTTAAACTTTATTTAACCCCAACAAATAACACTGCTTTTCAGCGGCTTTTAAATCTATATCTACCGCTTTGTAAAGTCGCTTGTCACTGGCAAATGTCACTTACTGCGCTCAATATCAGTGAAGAGGGACCATCGGTAAGGGAAACTTGTGTATCCATGTGTTGATACTCCTTTTGGCCACAGAAGCTTTTCCCCCAATCGCTTGGAACCAAATTCTATTTTAAACTAGATATTTGTACCTCTCTTTCCCCAACCCTTTGTTCCAGTTTTCTAACTTCATTTCCCCTCTCCCGTCAAATTACATTGCTATTCTGCCGCTTTTAAATTGATATCCACTGATTTGCCGTAGGCTCTTAGATGTGCTTGCTGGTAGGAAAGACAAGAAGTATTTAACTGGATATGTTTTGGTTAATGGAAGGAGACAACCAAAAAATTTCAGACTACTTTCAGGCTACGTAGTTCAGGTAAATGCCAATCTAGCATGTCTGATATTTATTTTCCGTCGTATACAAACAGGGTAATGATTAAGCCCCCATAAACGGCTTTTGCCCCCGCAAACGGTCAATGGGCGATTTTTCTCAAAAGGCCCAAAAGAGAACAGAAATCATAATCGCAAGCAACCAAAATTGATAGTTTGTACTAGGCCAATGGGAAAAGGTTGGTTACCCCTCCCCCTAACTCTGACCAATCATACTTATCTGTTTCATCCAACTTTATGCTGAAATTGCAAACAGTGCAATCCCGATATAACGAACTCTGAAGGGAACAAGAACTTACTTGTCTATTTTTTCACATTCCATCTGGTACTCCCAATAAAGTTTTTTTAACGTCGCTCATTGTCAAAGTCTTATATGTATCAAGGTGCTTATAAGTGTCAATGTACTCATCCGCTGTAATTTTTGCCGCCATCAAACTTTTATCATCTCGTGCTCTGAGTCTATCAGCCAGTGCTTGAAATGTATCATCAGCCGATGACGATATTGATTGCCCCCAAGAGAAAGTGATAAATGAACGCCAAAAATAATTATGTATGTATAACAAAGGAAAAATATATGAAAAGTTCGTTATATCGAAGGGTAATTATGATGAAGGGACCCAAAATTTGGTTCGTAATGTCGATAGTTCGTTATATCCTGGGTTCGTTAAACCCAGAGAATTTGTAAGAAGTTTGTTAGGCAGAATCCAAGGAACCAGATATCAGTTCGTTATACCGGGAGGTTTGTTATATCGGGGTTCCACTGTATTTGCTGCCAATTATTTTGTTAGCGGAAAAATGATTTGATAGATCTGAAACCCAAATTCCTCGATCAATTTGTCCCTCAGCGTTATTTTGACTGTTTAAAATATCTGCATGGAGAGTTACTGTTCCCCGTCCTTTCTCCTTTCAGGTAACCCTATGTAAACATCAGTAAAAATCAGCAAAGTCCACCCTTTCCACCTCCGTGGAGCCCCACATTGATCAGCCCCTGATTTTCCATAACAATTTGTTACGTATATTCTTGTAATGACGTCACCATAATTATGAATCTCCAGGATGATATTATCATGGGCACTCTGACAGTCAGGGAAAACCTGATGTTTTCAGCATCACTTCGTTTGCCGCCAGAGTTCAGCAAAGAGGATAGGAGAGCCAGAGTTGAAATGGTTATTAACGACCTCGGACTTTCAAAAGTCGCAGATTCAAAGGTATGCATCATCTTAGTATTTTCTCGATATTTCATCTTTCGACTCCAGGACAGAACGGGGGCAGTGGGGGTGATCGCAAAAATTAGGTACTTTGCTATTCAGTTCAATGCTACTAAGTTTGCAGGACACTTTAGGCTCCGTGGTTTTAAGGCTTAGTGAAGTTTTTGCAGTGATAAATCCAAAATGTGCAGTGACAAATAAAAAGCTGTATAGTAATCGATTATCTTGAAGGCAATCATCAAGATTTTTTAGATAGAAACTAATAACAGACAAATAAAACACAGCTCGTTTTAATGTGAAATGTTGTAAATGGAGGACACTAATCATTTTTGCCATTACCTGGAGAATGAGCATTATTTTAATGGAAAGTGAAGAAGTAGTTGCATCTGGAAAGGTGATGCAACATGGAACAACACTGCTCAAGCCGTAGGATGTCGCAAATAATTTATGAGGTCATTGTTTACGATATTTATCAGAATCAACTTTTGTAATCGTCGTTCGTTTTCCATAAAAGGTTGGTAATGAAATGATAAGAGGGATTTCGGGAGGCGAAAGGAAAAGAACAGCCATTGGTATGGAATTAATAATATCTCCAGATGTGCTTTTTCTTGATGAGCCAACTACTGGATTGGATGCTGCCACGGCGTCATCAGTCATGGAGCTGCTTGCCAAGTAATAACCTTAATATAATATGTCTTGTTATATATGCAAGTGTATGATGTTCAAACTTTTAGTTATGAAGTCTAAACTCTTCGATTGATTTTGGTATTCTGTAAACAAGTATACTCACCAGGAAGCTGAGTTCTTTCCTAATTAACTGAAGTATATAGTCCTCTCTAAAGTTTTTTTGTGATTGGAATACCGTCACCCTACTTTTATATCCTCTATAACAGCGTGGAGAATAACAGGTGAATTCCTCACAAAAATTAACTGTTGCTTCACAAGTTACACCAGGAGTGTTTGTTTAAAGGGTTAAAAATAGTTTAACAGTTTTTTGCTAATTATTGTGGTTTTTCTAAGACGTAGAGAATTTGGATTTCCTTTAACTTTGTCTTAAATTTTCAAATAGCGTTTTGTGGACGGCATAGGCCTAATGTAGATTTGCTTGTTATAGTGTCAGTTCCAAAATCGAGTTATTAAAGCCTTTAGTTTCGTATAAAGCACTCTATTTTGTTCAACCGTCTAATCGCGGACCCAATGGGAGTTAACTTGTTAGGTGTTTCAACTGGCGAAGTCCTTTGTGTGTTTTTGTAGGAATACATACTGTAGAAGATTTAAACCGTTAGCGGGATATCCATGTAGTCCTTAAGATCGTCCGTCGTTTTAATGCTTGAACCAAATACCATGTCAATATAGCCATTTCCTGTCATAACATTAATTTTGACTTTCAATCTGGATTTCATCTACCAATGGTGAATCCTGCCAATCTGGATGTCATCTACCAAAAACTGTTGCACATTAACAAAGCTCACCTTTAAAATTGAGGTTTGCTGTTTATATTACCTTTCCTTTTATTGAATGCCCGTTGTAAATATCTAGTGTATTTTTCTCCATAGACAAACTCGAAAAGGTCGTAACGTCATATTCTCAATTCATCAGCCCAGGTATTCTATTTTCAAACTTTTCGGGTCACTTACATTGCTGTCACAAGGAGAAATGGCCTATCATGGTCCATGCAGTGATGTCTTGCCTTACTTCGAAAAAATGGGTAAGCACAACTTTGTTTTGATGAACAATTACATGCCAGTGACAAAACTTGTATCCATTTATTTTGCATGTGAGAGCCAGTTAGGAAATCAGTTGAAGCCAGGGACATATAAATCCGATGATTTCGCCGATGTGTTCTATCGACATCGTACATTCTTTCTTCGTGATTGTTCTCAAACGTCAATTTAATTGGCTCAAATAGCAATCTCAATTGTCCTAAAAGCTACTTCATATCTGCAAGTTACGTAGAGATAGCATTTACTTATTGGCCAATCAATATCCTCAGTTTAGTGATTAGCTGGTGTTACCGCGAAGTCAATTGATGCATACTAAATGGGAGGTTAACGCCATAGAGGCTACGAAATAATTACAAACTTTTTTGCTATGGAAAATTCATAGCTGCTATCCAAAAAAAAGTTGACTTTTGTGATCATGACTACCATGATAATGATTAAGCCCCCCTCTCAAATAGGCCACTCCATGGAATAAGCCCCCCATATTATGCTGTCATACTTTGAAAGAGGACAACTTTTTACAACTTCTTGACTATGGTTTTTTGCATTTCAACACATATATAAAGTTAATGCAATCTAATCTAAGAGATTTTTTATAAAGTTCACTTTTTAAATTTTCTGGGTAACCAATTTTGCTACTTTTAAATAAATTCTGCATATAAGGTCAACTTTTCGAAAAGCTCCCTTCCGAATAAGCCCTCCCCTATCGAATGTAACTTTACCGTAAATCCTCGAATTACCCCCCTGGGGGCTTATTTATTTTTTATATTTTTGAATGGGGGCTTTTCGAGGGGGGCTTTTACGAAGGGGGGGCTTATAAAATTATTGTAGACATCCAAGAAGACATTATTTAAAGACCTCAAATATTTTAGTAGGAATTTCTTAATGAACATTTAATTAATTATTACCAAAAGTATGAATTTTTGTAGTAATTCGATAAAACGCCGAAGGCAACCTCAGATGGCAAAAATCAACAAATCGAGGGGGCCAATTCAAGGATTTATGGTAGCAGTGGGGGCGTATTCGAGGGGGGGGCAATTCAAAGATTCACGGTATATCTCTTCTGACTTTAGGTTATACTTGCGAGATGCACGATAACCCTCCAGATTTCCTGTTGGATATTCTGGGACTGGAAGAAAGATCAATTAAAGGTATCTTGAATGGCTAAATGAGAGTGACTTTGTTATGACGTTGTAAAATCTATTTTCAGAATTTTATAGATATAATGCTACTGATAAAGCATTTAGTGCTAAGTATAAAACAACTTTTGAATCTAGTTATTTGACACTCAAATGAACAATTTATCGAAAAATTTGAGCTTATAAGCCAAAAAACTTAACCGACGTCAAGGCAGTTGATGTAAATTCTTTGAAAAGTTTATAGAGTTTTCAATAATATCGAAATCAAAATCTGTTTGATGATGCATTTTCTATGAAAGGCAAACAGTTGTTCTGGAAATTTAGGCCCGTGCTTTTCGAAATAGCAAATCAGGATTACAAATATCTTTATTTCCTCCACACATCTATGACCTGAAAGCTTACAACACATTGTCTGGGTATCATATGTTTGATATTACAGAAACAATACTTGGATTTTTATATGGGTGAATATTCAAATGGACAGATAAATGTGAATTTAGATAAACTCTTATATGGCAGATATCGATAGAACCAGAATGAGAAGGCATCCACTGTCAAGAGATAAGTAGCTTATAAAAGAGATATGAGGAACTAGATCCTTACTTGAGATTGATCTAAAATCCCAATGAAATTGGTCGGGGCTTCCGGCAAGCAGATCCATTACATTTTAGCATCATTAAAAGATGTTTGAATGCATTTTCGACAAAATTATATTGAAGGGCCCCCTTTTCTATAAGAATCTTGACGACTTGGCTACGAGAGATGACTATTCCTTAACGAGAGGGTGGGGGGGGGGGTTAATGTCGGTTCATGTAAGCTTCATTGTATAAATGAGGCTATAAATGGTAGCTTATTGCTTTAAATGGTCATTTTAATGTCGTTTCCATGTAGCACTGAAGGCTATTCATGAGTACAACTCAATTGATTCAAAAGAAGATAGAGAGAAGTACATTGCGAGTGCCAAAGGTGAGCCCGTCACGGCCAAGTATCGAAATACAGAGATGTATGCAAGTACGGTCTCAGAATTGGAAGGGCAAGTAGATAATTTGCTTGAGTACGAGGCTGGGAATAACAATGATGCTGAAAGCGATATACCTTATCCAACGTCATTTTTCACCCAGGTTAGTAATTTTCAAGCAACCTACAGCAACGAAATTGTTTCATATTTGTTTAGTGTCTACCTTTCCGAACTGTTATATCCAGAAATATTTTGACTTACGAATATTTTTGCAGTATATAAAATAGCGTACAGCTTTTTCAGTTTTTAAAGTTCTGCTATATTTCTCAATCTTTAGTTTAAATTATATTTTATCATATATTTGCATTGAGAGCTCTTGCAATCCACTACATTTTCGTCGAATCTCAATTAATCTTTAGTTTGCTGTCAATTCTGCAAGAAATGTCAAAGATACCATTCGAAACCCGAAGACTGGAGTCTCTCAGGTATTAACTTGCTGCTTAATCCAATCTACGTCAACATTTTGCAATAGTAATGACATAATGTCATTAAAAGAATCACTCATATAGTTTCAATCTCTTCCAAATGTTTTTGGAACACCCAGTAGCTTCCAAATATTAACCTAGAATTTTTTTTTATATTTATTATTTGATTATTATATTTTACGATGACCGAGGCCACATCGCTCTCCCAAAATGTAACCTCATGTGATGTAACTTTTTGAATATCAGGGAGGAATCAATGGGCAGCCTTGAAGCTCTGAATAAAACAAAACAATATTTTTGAACGTAGTTGGGAGGCTTTAGACACTTCGCGAAAATTTAATGTACTATTCCGAGGCGATTGACGTACTATACCGAGGCATTATAAACACACAGGCAGTGGAAGAGTTTTAAATAAAGATTGCCATTACATTACTAGGAAGTCCTTGAAAGACTCTTTTCCCACGACTCTGGTAGGCCTTTTGCTTTGCTGTCTCATTCGTGTCCTATATTGTCTCGATAGAGTTTCAAGGGAACGTTCGGAATAATTCAAGCTTTATATAAAATTTATATGTGAACGTGCAGCAGAAAATTGTTTAACGTCCACCAAGGCTAGAACAATTTTCAACGGACCCCAATCGATATTTGCATCACATGACCAACACATCACGTGATTTTATATTAAACATACAGCATGCAGTAAATAGTACTGTACATTTATATAAGTATTTCAATCGAAAATCATCACGGCATAAAGTGCTTTACTTTGAAGCACCCCTTATTTTCCCAGCGCACTAATGAAACTCCCCGCAAACCTCCTAGGAAACTTTGTAAAATAACAATTTTATGTATTGCCAAATTCGATCTTGAAAAACCGACAAGGCTTCATGGCAGTTTCATGTGGTTTAAGCACAGAATAGAGATTCTGTGGTTTAAGTCTGTGTCTAGTGTTTACCTACAACGTATTTAATCCTAAAATTTTGATTTTCTTGCAGATTGCTGTCAATATCCTTTTAGCTGTCGTCATTGGTCTCATCTATTTGCAACTCGACCAGGGGGAAAGTGGTTTACAAAACAGGTGAGGATTCCAGATTACAGAAAAAACATTCAGTGCTGTGGAGTCAAAGAAGGAGAACGTATATGGTATAGAAGGAGAAGTCATAGTCCACTGAAAAATCCCTGTGACTTTTTCAGGCCTTTTTCTATTGCCACTGTGAAATAAGGCGATTTGTGTTACTGGATTGCTCGAGGGCCGAATGGCTCATTCAGAAACTAGGGCTTGTTGTGCGTTAACTCCTTTATAATAGAAGAATGCAGTTAAACTCCTATCAACAGACTCTTCCTAATGGCAGTGGTCAAATAGATCTGACAAGAAATATCTTCATTCTGCAAGTAACGTCCTGTCAGCTAGCCCACCAAACATTGCATCGAATCGAATTGTCGCCAAGTATTCACTACATAGTTCCGTGGGGCACAACTATGACGTTGTTTATCGTTTCCACAAATGGGCTTACAACTTTAGAATGTTTGCCATTCAGAATGGAGTCATTTCTTGAAACATCGATGAATAGGTTTCGTATTAATTGATGACTTATTTCGTATCAGTATATTCTCCTTTTGTAATTTAGATAAACCTATTTATTACTAAAATTTCACATTTTTCGTCATTTGAGGAAAACGTTTGTTAATATTACTTTTGATAAAATTTAACTCAGTATTTCGATGAGGTTTGGCAGTAAATGTTGTACGCATTAATTTTATTCCTTTCAGGGTTGGTGTTTTCTTCTTTGTGACAATGAATATGATATTTGGTAACATGAATGCTGTTCAAATCTTTATCTCTGAAAGAGCCTTTTTCACGTATGTCTTTTGTAACCGTTACTGTTAATTTCTATGTGTGTTCATGATCATCTCGAACATTCAGCTATCAGGTAAGGACATTCAAAAGGAGTTTCAACCATATATATGACATCTTTCCAGGACTTTCAAAAGGAGTTTATATTGCAAATGACGATGATTACACACACGAGGACCTTTTTAAATTTTTGTCCTGAAGCAAGTAATCAGAGTCATATTAACATCTCCCTTTCTGGCAGAGAAGTCATTTAATTAACCGTGGTTCTTGACTTTTAGGCATGAATGTGCGAGTGGCTACTACAGGATTTCGTCATACTTCTTTGCAAAAGTCCTCTGTGACATTATTCCAATGAGGATAATTCCTGTCACCATATTTTCAGCCATTGCTTATTGGATGATAGGTTTGTACCTTAACAATACACTTAGCAATTCCAATCTTTCAATGATGCTCGGATCTATCCAACATTTCATCTTGATAAAATTTTTATTGTAATCTCTCCACGTAATCGCCAGTTGATATATAATGACTTTTATTCATGGTTTTTTCTATCTATCTTTTTGTTGTTCTTGTTGCTCCGAACTTTGTTCAGAGTAGCAACTGCAACCCCTCCCCTGAAAAAAGCTTAGTCGATAAAAGTACGTTATTGCACGCAGACTTTTATTTGCCAGAGATCTAGACTGTGTATGTTTGGTTTTTTTATGTGTGGTTATGCAGTGCTCCTATTCGCTGTTTCTTTGCATCATAATTGCAATAGTTATGATTCAAAGAATTCCATTTATTCCTTCGTAGGTTTACAGCATGACGTCATCAAGTTTTTAATCTTTATTTTGACTTTGATCGCGACGTCTCTGAGTTCCGTGGCAATTTGTTTCGTTGTCAGTTCAAGCACAAAAATGTTTGCACTAGCCAGTCTGTTTACTGTGCTACCGTACATCTTCATGATGGTATGATAAATTTTGTTATACTTGTTATCTGCGTCTCTTGGTTAATCTCATTTGTGTGCCAAATGTTGCTTCTCTCTGTTTTGCTTTGATGTCATCTGTAATAGGATGTTCATATCAGTGACGTATCGGAAGATAAACGTAATGAATTAAATCTCCTTCAGATTTTTAGTGGCATGCTAATCAACCTAAAGACGATGACAAAGTACCTGAGCTGGCTGCGATATCTAAGCATTTTCAAATACAGCTTACAGGTAATAGACTGGTCCCATGTTTTTTTTCAGAAAGATTCTTCCTGTATGCCAGAAGCATTTAGAATACTTCCCTTTTCGAACACTTTTATAATTTGTTTTAAATGGATCTATAGGGAGTTTTAGAAGTATTGGCTACCCGTTCTTGTAATGAAATGGGCGTGACAATATTTTAGGATAAGTTCATATAAAACAATGGGAAATTTAAAGTAATTGGTGAGGTTTATACTTGGTTTTTAAAAATATTTTTAATTTACGAAGATGTTTTGGTGGCGGAAAAGCCAATTAAAGTGCAGCATCCAAATGTTTTTTTTGCTCCCCCGCTTATTCTCATGGCTAACATATAATTTTTAAGCTTTCTTTACTTGAATTAAGGTATAGTTTTGTCATGTTTAGATCAATTATGTATTTATTCTTTAGACCCTTGAGATAAATGAGCTAAAGGACATGAAATTCAATTGTGGAAACATTACCGCTCCTTGGTAGGTTTTGCTGATTTTTTTTCAATAGTTGTCTAACAGGCAAGCCTATCTGTTGTATGGTAACGCAGAAATGGGGGCAGTGCTGCTGGATTTACAGAATTCATAACATTGTTGTTATATAGGAGTGAATGAGGATGCAGTAAGCGGAGGGTTCCTTGCATATTCGGCCATAAACATCAAGTACTGTTTTGTAAGTGTGGGTTTTGTCTGAAGAAAGTCACGAAATGGATGGTTGAATTCTACTTTAATTCGAGAAATTGGGGGGGGGGGGGCGGATGCTTGAAATGTTTTTTGGAGCATGGATATAAAAGGTTGCAATACTCCATGTTTCTCAAAACTTATCTTAACATATTTCTCGAACAATCTTAGTTTGGGCTATGATATAATCATGGTAGCAGAAACGTGTTAATTTGCATGTTAGTTATAGACTTGTACAGTTCCGTTCAGGGCTATAGCTACCACCTTTTTCTATCGTGCATTTTGCACTAGCTCGGTAGAAAACTGTGCTAGAAAATCTGTGCAGTCGGGTGTGAGTTTTTGATTAATTTGAATTGGCATTCATGGCAGGTTTCCTCTTGACACAACATAAGAGATATATAATATTAAGATTAATATTATTGTATCATCTTGCCCATATCAGCCAAGCAACTCTCGATTAGATGTTAAAAATAGCAGGCATTGCAACATTCTTGCCACATGTGCAAATCACATGATCCACGTGGGTAGGCTGATTTGGATAACGACCTGCCAGGGGTTCTACGATATGATATTTTATTATGAATCATGTCATATTTTGCTGTATCAAATTTGTAGGAGCTTTATAACCCCGGCATGTGATCAGAGATATTCTCGAGGGTCCAAATACCTAAAGTTGCTGTTTTCATGTTACTATTGGTCGTTTTTTGGTTTTTTTTGCAGTATGAGCGGAAATGATTACTTGAGTCAGCAAGGGATCCTTGCAAGAGACTTGTGGGACAACATTGCGGCTTTATTTTCTATAGCAGGTATTCTCCTAGCCCTGGCGTACATTCAGCTGCGAAGAATAAAAAAGGAAAAGTGATCTGAGATAATTTGTCACTCAATGGTATATATCTCAAAACATTTAATTTTAGTTTAGTATTATTTTTTCTTTAATTCAAAAGAGTTTAGATTGATTCTCAGCATTATGCTTCAACATAAAGTAAGATTGACTGTGCTTTCTAAAGGACCAGCGAGCCACCAATAGTTTCGTCCACCTCCACTAATTAGAATCCTCCTATAAGCAAATTTTTCCATATAAGAAATGTATTTCCATATTCATATAGTTTATATTCAGTCATACCTATATACATGTCTACATAATACCTATACGGTACGATGACAAGAGTTGATATAAGAAATGTATAGGCAGTGTTCTCGCAACGTCTTTTCGAGAGAATACGTCGATAAATATCATGAAGTAACTAGCCACTGATCAGAAAATTCTGTTTCAAAATTCCATTGCAAACCTGGGTAATCTTCATTTAGTTTACAGTCAGTCATACCTATATACATGTATACATAATACCTAAACGGTACGATGACAAGAGTTGACAAAAGATGAACGTTTTTTAGCTTTGTTGAAGATGAAGACTGTGCACAGACATTTTCCTACATCTAACTTATAATGCAATTTAGATTTGAAACGCTGTAACGCTTTTTACTAAAATTTGTGATTTGCAAACCCATCACTTCTAAAATTATTGCTAAAGACTGATTTACGCTGTAAATTTTTAGTTATAATGTATACTTAATAGTAATGATCATAATTATTTCTTTTTTCGTAGTGGTTGTATTTAGTATTGACCAGTGCTACTCTTCTGTTTGAATGTGCAATTTGTGAGAATAGATTCGCCTAGAAATGAATCATGGCTTGAGTAGTTCCTGAAAATTTTCTACACTGCGAAGCTCTTCATACACCTCCGCAAGACTTGAATTCGCCACGCGAATGCCTCCGTAGCTAAAAAGGTTCATCGGCTTTAGTTTAGCTTATCTGAAACCAATAACATCCTATCGGCAGAATAAGAAGCCGGGAAGCCGGACCCAAATGCGCACGGGGGCCATTGTCCCTTGCCTTCCCAGGCTAGGAAGGTAAAAAGAGAGTGAGACCCATTGAGATTTGGTGCCCTTGCAACAATCTGGCGATTTCATCAATATGAATGAGCTAACAAGAGGCTAGATTGTTACAACGTAAATCAAGTGGAGGCTATCTGAAGATGCTAGAAATTTTACCATGGTTTTTCAGTATTACTTCGAAGATGGATCCAAGTAAGGGTCCAGAAAATCGTGTATATCTATACCATGAGTTGGAGCCAAGCCTGAAGAGAAGAATAAGAAATTCTTATATCATAGCAGGAGTCTGGTGAGAAGCTTTTTTGAAAATAATTTTATAGAGCAGAGGACATAAAAAAAACTCATACCATCAACTAAATTACGACTCTTGGATTTGAGTTAGCCTTGTCATTTTCTTTCTTCATATTAGCCAAAAATAACCATGAAATTGAAAACTTCATTTAAAATTAGTCTGTGTCGAAAATTTCATGTTGTTTGGACCGTCAGGCCGCTTGCTGTGCTGGGATAAACCATTGGGTACTGGGGATTGGGAAGGGTAATTATGTGATAGGCTTTCCTTTAAAAAAATCTTTCTTGATATCACAAAACTTTCTTCATTCGATCATTAAACAATTCCACCTCCCCACACCCTCTGTAGCACACTACCATTCTATCCATCAGCTAATTTGATAGATTCAAGAATGAGGAAGAAACTCTAGCAACTGCACAATGCTTTGAAATTCTCACAAACAGATGATGTTAAGTTTATGGTAAACGTTTCTGACTTGATATTTGGTTTTTTCTACCTAAAAGCAAGTCTATTAATGGAATCAGATTAAACTATACATCATTCCATGGACAAGAATGTGGTGATTCCAATCATATCAAAATAATTGGCAAATATTGTAAAATAATACTTTTGAGGCAAATTTATTGCTTAAATAAGTGTACCATCTTCAAAAGTTATTTTGTACTCTTGCCTTTGAGGTAACAAAATCTGACTTATGTCAGCAGAAAGCACAGATCCTTAGCTACCAAAGTTTGTCTCAGATTTTTCAAATATCTCTCCCCTGAAAACTATACCCTGTCAAAAATTGGCAAATAATCTCTCTTCCCTGTCATAGCTGTATTTGGCTATAAAAGATAAACCAGAGCAAATACAAAAAATTTTGAGATGCAATGTGCTTATCCCACATCTGTCCTGGCAGTGTGCAAAGTTTTGAACCATTTGATTAGTGCCTTGGGTACAAAATAGCTTTTTTGTACCTGTATGTAGACGAATTGTAAACGGGATTTTACTGATCGCACTTGCAAGGTAAAATCGTAAACCACAGTGTAATCCAGGTCAAGTCACTTGCAGCTTTAAGATTGATAAGCCTGTTTAAATAAACACTGTAATTGGCTTAACAGGTCAAGAGATTTTCAAACCTCAACTAAAAGTTTTGATAAAGAAATTATGGAAACCTTCGTTTACATGGGATTTTTTCCAATTTCTGTTAGTTTCAAATTTGGTATCATTGTGTGCCTTGAAAGTTCGGCTACTTAAATGTGAAATAATCAAAAAAGGATGTTTTCATCCAGAAAACGTTTACCGTAACCTTAAACCATTCCTCACACAATGAATAAATGACCCCTGGATGCTTTTAAAGATATGTAGCGTGTTTCTCTAGAAACATTTGGCATTCAGGGCTAGATTTGTAATCCACCTTGTTTGAGTAACTCTCATGCAAGAATTCAAAATTCTTAGGAAAGGAAGAGAGTTTGTCCAATAATGTTAATACACATCCAAAATTTTTCCAAAAAAATAAGGCTACACATTGAGGGAATATGATGTCCTATTATGTGAATTTTATTTTTAGCAAAGGCATGGGCATTCTTGCTATTATTTTTGCAATTTTCTTCACTGACTACAAGTGTTTCTACCTTAATAATCCACTCACTCTACACTGGCTTTTAGCAAGTTAGAACCCCTTAAAAACTTTCCAGTGCTCCCAAACTGTAAATATGCTTAATCCAGTTTGATAACAGAACACCAAAAGAGCCCCTGAAGTGCCGTTTTTGTTCTTGTTGTGATATGCTTAACAACCTCAAGTGCAGATGAGTTTATTTAAAGATGTTACACAGGTGCACATCTTGTCTCTCCTGCAAACTAGACACCCAGAGAAACATTTGATATCTTTTGTATGCACAGTTTGCAAAAAGGAAGAAATAATAAAATAGAGGCCTCCATGAAAAGTTTTTTACATTAAGAAAATAAAAGTTTAGAAATATATTTTACTTGTAATTGGTAACTTTGAATTATACTTTCTTTAGAGTTTTATTCATTTGTGTAGATTGAATGCCATAATGAATGGATTATACAGATACATTTTTTTTAACAGTTTGCAGTCCTTTTCGTGAGCAAAATTGCGCGTGTGTGGCAAATCGCACATGTAAACAAATTTGCGCGTGCGATCGCACTTGTAAGAAAATTTGAAGTACAAACCTGATAAAATTGGTAAAAGGAGCAAGAAAGGTATAAGCCACTCGAATATGTGCAAGAGCAAAACTCAATTCAATCAATACAAGCAATAACAGATTTTGTTGCCCTTAGCAGCCATCTTTTAAAAGTCGTCGCCACTCTCCAAAGTTACAAGAGCAAGTAAAAATTGTTTCCAACAGCTACTTGCTTCCAGGGCCTAATTACGTTTTGACAGGAAATCAGTTATTACACTTAACATGCTAATGGCGACTTAGCTGAAATACGAGACCCTAAGTTGAAAGGAGCATTCAGTCAAAAGCCAAACATGACTTCCGAAAATTGGAAAAACCATATTGTGGTCAAAAGTGCGAATCAAGTAACAAGGGAAAGGATAAACAATCATGAGACCATGGGAAATTGATGTTAAAGGGCCTCTCCAGCAAAAAAAAATTTTTTTATTGACTAAAAAGGTTAGCATCTGGTGCGTGTATTATGACAAAATCATTGTTTTTGCAAAATTCCAGTTTAGAAGTTATAAGGCTTTAAAGTTGCACCTTTCCGAGAAAAAAAACGACAAAAGCCGAATCAGTTTGGTGACATTCTGACGTCACAATGTGCGGCTCTCGTTCGCCATGAATTTCGTATATCTTCCACCAAAGCGTGAAGGACTCACGGTCACGCGTTGATAACTGCACCGAAATCTACAGCAGGAGCTTTTTAGGATCGAAAAATATTAAATGTTTACAATCATTCTAAGTCTGCGTGTCGGAATGTGTCCATGCTGTGTCACGACTTTGTTTTGATCACCAAGCTATGGCTTCCTGTTCCAGCTCTTCCCTCGCGTATTAATCGAAATGGACACTTACGTTGTTCTCCAGAAACGATGAACAACTAAAGACTTCAGAATTGGTGTCTGAAATGCTCAAACTAAAAGCTGGTGGAACAGAACTGAGAGTACCATCACTTGCAGTGATCAATTTGCGAATCGTCGTCGTTCGATTCGGTTTGAGGCGAGACTATCCGAAAAGAAAGTAACGTCAAAATTGCGTCACAGCGTCACCAAACCGAAAAATTTTTGTCGGTTAATTAAATTAAATTATCGAAATTCAATAGCTTATATCTCACAAACTGTAAAAGATATCGAAAAACAAATAACGAATTTGTGATCAGCAGGTTCAACTTCTTTATAAGAATAGCCAATAAAATGCAAGTGCAAAATTTGGCTGGAGAGGCCCTTTAACAGAAAACTGCAAAAACACCTGTTTGCGCGTGTGGTCAAAAGCACGCGCAATTTAACTTGCGCGTGTGCAGGCGTGTGCGGGTGCGATTGCACGCGCTAAACGAAAAGGACTGAGTTTGGCCTTCTATTGTGTATTGTAGATTTCAAACTCTTGAATGCTCACTATTTACTCAATTTTCAGTTGTAAATGAATTCATTATTTTTCCTCTCTTTTATTATGGTTGCTTTATTCAGCTTTTTCTCTGTCTGATGGTGAAATCTGGACAAAACATTTGATTTAGGAGTGTTTGCAAAAATTGCCTTTTTATAGCCCTCAAAACTTCCACAAACCTTTTTCAAGTTAATTTTAGTGCATATTCCATATTTTTTAAATCTGCAATAAGCATCAAATTTTTAATTCTGAAACAAGTTTACAAATCTTTTGATAATCATTAAGAAACCATTTTCAGTCCTACCATGAGATAAATAATCATTAAGAAACCATGAGATATCACTACCCACCACATCCTTAATAGTTACCCCCTTCCAGATTTTGTTTAAATTAAGTTGATCAAACACAATAAAAATATAATGTCATAAATCTTTTTGATAAATTTTGAACAAAAAGGTAATAAAAAGTTTCCAGGTTTAACAAAATTCTGATAAATATATTTTTAGAAAAAATTGCAGGGTAAATTTACATACTCTTTTTGTCCCCTTTTGTAGTGATGACATCTATGGTTTAATAGAAATTTATGGTTTGAAAGAAATTTAAATTTTGTTCTCTTAGGGCTGGCTTCATACTTGGTGGTGCTGGTATATTTGTTCTGCTAATGCCATGGATGGATAGAGAAAGAGAAAAGAGACAGAAAAAAGAAGCTGAAGAATTGCAATTACTTTCTGAGAACAATAGGACTATTAAAGAGAATAGTAATACTGGAACAACATTAACACAAAAAGTAGAAGAACTGAAAATAAAAGCTTCAAGTCCATTGCCGTGATATGGATTGAAATATTGGAGTGTTGAATAAAGAAGTGTAAAATAATGCACTTCTTTAGCATATTATACTTAACTGTTGTTTATAACATTTCTGGATAAATTTTTACTGTCTGATCTGACCTTTTATTGACTAGTGTTTATTCACTCTTTACATTATTTTATTTGCTAGTGCATAAATATTCTTTTGATGGTTAAGAATGAAATTAATCCTTCAAGACAACTTTTTTTGACTTTATAGATGTTTGAATAAAATGATATTCCAAATGGAATGATAAATTTTAGTTATATATTGAAAGGATGTGTGGACATATTGATTAATGAACTTTGTTCTAACCATGGAATTGATGATGCTATTAGAAGAGCCAAAAGAAGATCAAGTTATGTTTATTTTGGTAAGAAATGGAGTGAGAACAAGTCTTGAGCAGACCCCCCAATCTCCCTCCCTTTAGAATATGAGCTGGCACTAGAACAGGAAGATGGAGGGAGGTTCATACAGAGATCAAAATAGAATACTTTGTAATGGAAACAAGGATATTTTGCCTGTTGTTCACAAATTTTTCGATATCAAATATCAAAAACAATTATTTTTCCTCAGCTCTTTATTCATTTTTGCAAAATAAGTGTTAAATATTTTTATTGTATCTACACTTGCAGATGAAAAGTATTATCCCAATGATTGATAGATATAGAATTATTGTTCTAGGTTGTAAGCCATCTTTGGCCCTTAAATTTAATTGGAGATTTATGATGTTAGGCCTTGAGATAGCCTGCAGCCCTCAACCAGTACTCTTTTATCATCATTCCAATTCTTATAAAACACTTTTCCAACATTTGAGTACTTTAGAGACTTTATGTAGTTTAAGCATTCTACACACTTTCAATAGAAGGAAATAGCAAGCCTGCCAAGTATGTGAAAATGATGATAATAATATTGAGAATTTGTATCATGAAACATTAACCTGTCGAAAATTCATCACACATCATTCAACGTAGAATCTAACTCAATTAAGTGAAAACTTAGATAACAGGAATTTTTAAAGGCAATGTTTTGGCATATTGAATTGCAAAATCCCTTCAAGCCGAAGAAATCAGGTTTTCCTTGTATATTTCCAGTAATTTACTCCAACAGGAAATTACTCCCAAAGTAAGGATGACCACAGACTTTTTCCTCCAAGACTTGATTTAGAATTTGAAAACTTTTAATTGTTTTCATCATGCTGAAGGTGAGAAGGGATATACTGCAGTCCATAAATGCAATCCAGATTTGTACATTTCTTCAGCTTGAACAATTACCTTCTAATTTTGAGTCATTGATGAGGCATTTTAGTTGTGTAGTTGTTCAGAGAAACATGTTCTGTTTGTAGCTTTTACAAAATGAATTCAACCTGACAGAATTTAAGCAAAAAAGATAGACCAAACAATTTTTCTCAAATTTTGCCTTTTTTTTTACAAATATCATTGTAGGAGTAGGTTCTTATACAAGACAATTTCTTGTTATTTTTTCCTTGAAATTGCAGATAATTGTTCATTTCACCATCAAGTAATTGTTTAAACGCAGATAGTTCTAAAATTGTTCTGACGATGAGCATGGAAATCCATGATTAAGGATTTCTGGCAACTGAAAGAAAATACAACGTTCAGTCACTGAAACATCTCTGGTGTAAATGCAGGTATGTAGAAAACCCATGTTTCCTAAACTGTCTTCTGTCATCATGATTCATTAATCACGAAATTGCCACTCTTGTCTACACATTGGACAAAGCTGTTGCAGTTGCTGCGAAGTCAACCATTTTAATATGCAGTGCATATGGAACACATGAGTACATTTTCCCCAGACCAGAGGACAGTCATCTCCTGGTGTTTTACAATCAGGACAGCAGCTATCAAATTGCATCCTGCAAATACCACAGTTTTCGTCATTTGCAGTCCAATGCCATGTTGCTACAGCTGTCCATTTCTTCACTGTGACCTTCATTCCCTCTGTTTTTGTAAGATATAAAGCGGATTTACTACCAAACACCAGCCATCATAGTCTGTTTACTGGCCTAAATCACCTTCAAGATACTGCGAAGGAGAATTGTCGAAACGTGAGCCACCTTAAGTGCGCGGAATCTCCATTTACCGTCCGAGAAGCGTTGGAGAGACAGAATCTTTTTCTTGCATTCCTATTAATCGATTGCTAGATACCTTACTTCACCTGATACCTTTTTATACATTGGAGGAAACCTTCATATTTTTGTGAAAGATTGCTGTGATATTGTAACTCCTGAAAGAATCGTCTAATTGGACGAAACGTTTAGGCCATCTCAGCACCATCACGATCTGATCGTTATGGCTTCAAGGTAAGAGGACTAAATTTTAATTTTAGCATCAAATAAAATACCCAGTCAAGTGGGAATTTTAAAAACCAAAATATTATCTGATAGATTTTGCCTTGTTTATTGATCACCGATTCTTATTGCGTTTGACAACGGATCAAATCAAAACACTCTGTCCAGTCAGCAGACCAAGATTCAGATTTTGCATCAGATTCGCCATAAGATTCACACACAAAGTCGTATTAAATACCAACTTCAAATACAGACGTATTATTTAGAAAATCAACATGGAAAGTGAGTTTGCCCATAGTGCTTTCAAATAATTAATTTTTATAGTGGCGGCTGAATTCCCTATTTTATGGGGTGTATCATGTGGTTTGGCCAGGCTTCATTCAAGAGGTTAATTTTGCGAATGGTGTCGTAAATGATTTTGTGCTATCCAATAGATTTTTTTGCAAAGGGAACTCAATTTTGCACAAGGACTGGTTCCAGACTCCAGTGTGCATTCCAGCATACACACATTTTTGTTAGTTGGCGTGAAAAAATTAAAATAAAGACTTGTAAACCAAAATTTTCGCTATTAATCAGTTTTATTTGTCTGGCGTACAATATTTGCAGTTTTACCAACTACTTATATTTTTGGCGTACCTAAACAAATGCCCTGTTAGACCTTCAGCGTACAGTTGTCATGAAATGCACCCTGGTCAAGACTGAATTTTTGTCAGGAGCATGCCCCAAAATCATAACGATCACATAATTTTGGCCCGCCTGGCCTGGACTATTTTTGTGTTTTTGATAAAGGTACTTCATTTTGGGGTAATTCCCGATTGGAGTCCATGTAGCTTACACCAGATATATGCGGTGTAGACTAAGAATTTCCTATTCAATTTCTATTTTGTTGGCATATATCTGGTGTGAGCTTTACATAGATTCCACTCTGAAGGGTAATTTTAGTTTGAATAGCTGGGCCTGAGCTTACGTCACTGCCATTGCCAAGTTTTATTATTTTTAGAAAATTGATGAATTTATCAATCTACTTGAATTTACCATGCCAAACTACTTGAATCTCATTCCATTTCAAATAAACTCTGTAGCACACTTTCTGTTTCACACAAGTCTAGACCAAGGTAATCATGATGTCCATACCATCGTCAATATATATGGCAGGTTTTTGAAATAAACAAAGATATTTATAGAAATAATAGAAAGAAATAATAGAAAGAAATAATAAAAAAATATAAAAATAAAACTTGATTATCAATTAGAATGGGATACTTACATTCCCTCCCAAATCACTAGCAAGTTTATGAATCCTATCTTTATGTTTACAAGGGCTGTTCAAAGGTTTCTGCCCACTACGTAGCAACTTGCAATCCAAGAAAGTCAAACTGCATTGATTGTTGCTCAACTATGTCAGCTGACCATAAAAAACCAGCCATGTTTTCCTTGGTCTAAGATTTTAGTCAATCACATCTAACAACAAGGTCCAAATCTGCATGCTCACAATTCAGTTTTTAAATGCAAAGAAGAGAAACTAGGATGCCAAGTTTTTTTTCATTTTTGAACATTTTGCAAGTACATTTCATAAAATACCAAGAACACCTATATATTCTAATGTCAAATGGAAATTTCATCAGCCACCATTGTTGCAGTTGTAAATATAGACTTATTATCCAATCTAATTAAGAAGACATTGTAGGCCCTATTTTTTGAAAATATGTTGTCTTTAGATTAGGTCTGATATTGCTAAGGAATAACCTCAGAGATGAAGTATATATATAATTTTTGTGTTTTTGATGAGTTGTTGTCTATCATAACTTAAGTCTCTTATAACTAAGGTTTAGCTTTGTATGAACAACATTTTCATCATTTGTAGTGATGAATATGCAAGCTCTGAAGGGGAAGTCAGGAAGTTTAAAAGCTATGTTCAGGTGAGAGGATAAAACATATTTTGATACTCAGTGTGTACGCCTGCATTGTAGGGTCTCACAATGAGCATATTGTTTATTACAGTCCTGGTAATATTAGGTGTGCAATGACAGTGCACGCTTCCACACATGCCTAAAATTTCTGAGGCATGCTTTTTATTGCATGTGCAGTTCCATGTTTTGATTTTCTCTTCTTTTTCTCTTTTGTTTCTTTACTATTTCTTGTTTTTTTTCTCTAAAATAATTTTTAATTTCTTTTGCAAGTGTTATCTTGATGTCATTTCCAGGGGGCCTTATAATGCTTTAAGGCCTGGTTTCTGTTACCCAGTTTTTGATGGTTACCCAACCAGTTTTCGATGGTTACCAGTTTACCCAGTCTCTGTTTTATCATTCGGCTTTTTTATTTTATTGAACCATTCCCATTTCTCCTGACCACTCCTTGGTGAAAATGGCCAAGGTGAAAATGTTGGTATTACCTGGATATTCACCCCCTCCCCACGCCCAGGCAAGAGGTCCACTTCATGAAAAGAAGACAAATTGTAAATTTATGGCCTACAGACACCTATTATTTGATGCTCTGTCACTTTGAAACTCAGTTTGCAGAATGTCAGAAACAAATTTATTACCAAATATCATAAAATAACAACGATAACAGATTTGATTCTTGACTTTGATTTTACTCAGTATAAATTCACTAGGTGTTTGATTAATCAATCTTGCAGAACTTTCTAGATGCTTGTAGAAGGGCTTGATCTAGCTTGACTGCCTCTACTTGCAAGGCCCTGCTTAAAAGTGTAATCTGTCATTCAATTTGTGAACAAGATGACCGTTAAATCTGCATTTTCACTTCTACCTCTCAGATGGTCTTCAGGCATACATCCCCAGTATTTAGAAAGATATATCTAAAACTATAAGCCAGGACTTTGTTGGAGACATGAGCTGTAGCCCAGGCCCACGCAAACCTTTGCAAAAAAGTTTGCAAGGGCTTCTTTCTGCCCGTGCCGTTATTCATAGCAATGGCCTCATTGAATACATCAGTCTCACTTCCCAATGTTGAACTACTTGCTGCTCTTTTTCATGGTATTTATAAATAACCATATGTTTATCAAAGAGATATATACACCGTTTTTGTATATACATCGTTATTGTAAAAGTGATGTATGTTCTTTTGATAAATAATATTAACAAGCTATTTTATTATCTGCTAAAACTATCAGTGCAACAGGGAATGAGTGTGCATGCAAGGAATAACAGATAGCTTAAAGTAGTAAGAATGAGACAGGACATTGTAAATAACCATATAAGCATGCAGATTACACCCTATATGCGAAACAATTTGGACCATATGAATGCGCATTCTAGTTTGTAACTGTGTTTTACGGAGTAAATATGAGAGTATGTAACAAAGACCGTATTTATGAAACATCATCCACTATGGCAGGGGAATTTCCTACACAAAACTTTGTCATTTTAAAAAATTTAGATAAGATATCCCTTTTGTCATCAAAGGAGTAATAATGCATACAAAATTATCTTCTTAAGATTATGAATGTTACAAGTAGGAAGGTAATATATTTTTTGCCATGTATTTACTCAAATATAAATAGATAAACAACAAATTCTGCAAGGCCAAAATAGCCCACGCAGCCAAACCAGTATGAGTCTTTTTAGCCCCTGTACTTGATTGCATAGCAGGTTTAATGTGGATGCTGATGAGGTAGTTAATAACGAGAAAGAACTGCTGCGTTATACAGGCAGATGGTGATGTGAAAGTAAATACATTAAACATCAAAATTTAGTTATTTTATTTAATATCGGAGTATCATCGTTGTATGGGACATATTGAGGATCATCCAGCTCTATAATCTGGGCAAATCGATGTTTTGTTTGTCTGTTTTCAAACTTTATATATTTACTGCAATTATGATTTCCCCAATGGTAATGTTTCAGATTCCAGTAGAGAAGCCCTCTGGAAGCAGAGAAGAGAGGGAAAAAAGAAGATCAATCTCTCCAAGGTATATTTAAAATTAATGTCTATTTTTCAATGATGTTCACCCAAGTGGCCAAACATGTACAATCAAACAAAAGTCAAGGTTGAGCAAAACACACTGCTCTAACTTTTACATAATACTAAATTTTTAGAACTTTTATTCATGTATTAATCACTGGATGCTGATATAATTTTTTGTCTTTTTAGGGATAGCAAATCTAGGGGTGACAGAAGAAGAAGAAGAGAAGACAGAAGATATTCAGATAGTGACGAAGAATATTATAAAAGGAAACGACGAGTTAAAAGCTTCCTCGACGAAAAGGAAAATAAAGGGGAAGAATTTAATCAGTCACCAAGGGATGATGGATCAGAAAGGGAATTACAGGAAAAGTTCACCAAGCAGCAAGAAAAGAGACGAGATCGTGGAGAAGTTGAGGAAGGGGAGATTGAAGAGGGAGAAATTGGGGACAATGGTGATAAGTACTATGAAAAGAGGCGTGATGGGAAAGACAGGGACCGTAGAGAAAGAAATAGAGATGACAGTCGTAGAAACAGAGAGAGACAAAGGGAAAGGAGAAGAGACTTCAGAGAAGATGATGACGATTATGCAGAAAGAAGCAGGAGGGATCGTAGGAGGGACCATAACAGGAACGAGGATGAAGAAGGTGCTTTAAAAAGTACAGGAGAAAATTCCACTGATAACAAGAAGGAAGAGGACAAAGTAGAAAAGAAAAAGAATGTAATGGATATTCTCACAAGAACAGGTAAGAAGTTTAAATGACGAATTTTATGTTGGTAGTCCCTAATGTGTATACATATCAGCTCAATGGTTGACTACCACAAACAAAGTCATACGAAAAAAAAGATTTTGGACACCTTTTCTATGCTATTTTCAGTGTTTAGATAGTAATAACCAATTGGGCAGAAGTAAGCTAAGCATGTTTCTAAGCTCTCTTCCACTGAATTATCGAAAATTCAACTGAGAAACTTGAAATGCAAGGAAGAGTTTTAGAACTTTTACTTACAATATAATTTTTTTTGTATTCCAATGTTTCAAGAGCGACAGCAGTAAGACTACATATCAGATCTAGTATTTTAAATAAATGGTTCGGCTCAGCTCAGTATTTGGTTTAACATAATTTACTCCAAACATATAATGTATGTTTGACACCGAGTTATATTGCAGAAAGGTTTCTGCTATAAATCTTCAGTCAATTTGCTTATTATTTTCTGTCCTCTTGTATTTGAATATAATTTTTTTGACGTAATACTTTTTTATCTGTATCTATTTCAAACATTTTAGGTGGTGCATACATACCTCCTGCAAGACTCAGGCTGATGCAGGAATCAATCAAAGATAAATCCAGGTATGTCATATTGGCAGATACTCACTATCGCTGTATCAAAACATCTGTTTTAATAAGCTGATCTTTTTGGAAGTGAACCTTTAAAAATGCAGGTAAAAAGCTCATGATCCAAAGGGACATCTTTTTTATGTGAGGTAGAAAGCCCCAAATCGGTATGAAATTCTTTGGAGGATTAGAGCTGTCGAAGTGGAGGACAAAGCTTTCTAGTTAATCAATTAACAAATGAATTGCTTATAAGCGCTACGAGACAAGTAAACCTGTTTAGTGGCCTTAGTAGGATGAGTGCATGAACACAGGGCCATTTGAAGGTCTCGAACTAGAATTTTACTGCTGATTTGAAAGGAAGCCAGGTTTGATGTCACGTGATGTCAAGAAATGTCACGTGACATTTCGGATATTTTTTGCTTTGGTATAGGGCATATCTCATCATTTTGTTTGCAATTTTGTCCTATTTTGAGCAGTGTTTGAAGTTTAACCTGTTTGCATCAACTTATGGAAAATCACGAACTTGAATATAAAAGCCTTTGGTTTATTTTATTTTTTCAGTGTTGAATACCAAAGGATGGCTTGGGAGGCCTTGAAAAAGAGCATCAATGGGTTGGTGAATAAGGTATGGAAAGGATAGCATTAATTGTCAACATCCAGCTTTATTTTCAACGAAGTAAATTCCTTAATGGTTGTACATGGATTCATTTAGAAGTTCCTTACAAATTATTATATCACTTTCAGTACAAAAGTACAAAAATGACTTTAATTAACATTTACTACTTAGTCTATTAACGATGCCATCTCGCTCTATTTTTTGATTTAAGGAACATGCTGCTGTTAGCCATTAAACTGCAATATTTTTCATAATATTTAGCCTCCTTTTATCCTTCACAACCTGATATGACTATCTCTACAAAATACTTTCCACGCACAAGGAAAGAGCAATTTTTGGAACATTTTTTCTTTTTTAAATAACCTGTGCTTCCTATTTTTTTATTAACTTTGATCTTTTGTCGTGATAATTAATTATTCCTTGGAGTACATGATTCCTGAAATTTTTTAGATTAACGTGGCAAATATTGCAAACATAATCCAAGAACTTTTTGAAGAGAATATTGTTCGAGCAAGGTGAGATTTCTTTTTGACACATTTGCAGCCAGTTGTTTTCTTCCGTAAAAACATTCCTTTTCTAAAAATTGTTCCTATATTAACTGATTCTATAAAAAATAGTATAAATCGTTTTAAGAGATCAGTACGCAAAATATGTCCAGGGACATCATTGATCCAAGAAAATTAAAATCAACAAATAGCTCAAACGTATCGGTAAATGCCTTCACTGCTAACATAGATTTCTGCAATTTGATACCTTCCCCTAATTTTTATTCCTTGGTCATATAATTCAAGCGGGAGTTGCGTCTAGTTGCCTAATGATCGTATTAAGCATAAAACTCCGAGTAGCCGCTTAGAAATATTTCTTCTACACAACAAGGAATGCACTACTATAAAGTCTGTATTTATATATAAACTTACAAAGTCTCATAGTGCTTTTGCAGTGATGATACCATGAATTTTCGCTTTTCGAATCCTAACACGTGACATTTTTTCATTTTAGAGGCCTATTTTGCCAGTCAGTAATGCGTGCTCAAGTTGCCTCTCCAATCTTTACAAACGTCTATTCAGCCTTGATCTCTATCGTCAATACCAAAGTGAGTTATAGGCACTTTATAGCCACTTTGATATTTTGAATATTATCCTTACGTATCATAGGGCTTTTTTTTGAAAGTTAGTATTTATTTGATATACGCTCAGTATTTTCTGTGTTAAGATCATACCTTGTCAAGCCGTGCATACTTCGCTCGGTAACAAGATTTAAAAAAAATACAAATTGACGATTGTAAACTGGCTGTGTGCAACCAGGACCGAGCAATAGAGCTTTGCCCCCTGTGTTATTTGGCCAGATATCAGATTGGCTTCACCTTCTCTGTAAGATAGTATATTTTCAATCAAATTCAATGGTAGTGGACCCATCACATGTGACGTATGAAAAATAATATTCTTTAGTCCGGCTTCAGTGACTGTTATACCTATATTATTGCTAAGAAAGAAACAGATTTTGCAAAAAGAGCTGTCTCAATTCAGCAGATAAATAAAATTTGCTTCTTAACTTAATTATTGTTGGCTATACTCTTTCAATAATTCAAATAAATTTTCTCAATACGATTCTTATTCCTTGCTTTAGTTTCCCAAAATTGGTGAGCTGATTTTACGCCGACTGATCCTACAGTTCCGGAGAGCTTTCCGAAGAAATGACAAAGTAGGTTTCTTTGGAAATTGTTGTAAAGTTTCTTTAATCAAAAAGTTAATAGATGTTGTTTAAGATAAAAAGTGGATTCAGACTTTAGGACAATCCCTTACTTTGCCTATGAATATTTGCATGCCCCTACCCTAAAGTCCTGCTTTTTTGACTTTCTTGCTGATGGGCTGACAATAGTTCTGATAAGTAATGCTGGAGGTAGGTATGATTTAAGGCTGTAACATCTGTGCAGTTTATGGATCGATTGAATTATAAGATTTTGTACAGTCGATGTAAACAGAAAATACTCGATTTGTCTTCATATTCTTTTGATTAACCTGTTCTGATCATAGCATAAAATTCATTCTTCTCACATGAACATTAGACTTGGAAATTCTTATGTCTTTGTTCTAGACAGTCTGCCTCAACAGCGCCAAGTTTATTGCTCATCTCGTCAATCAACAAGTTGTGAGTGCCAATGTTATCAATTCAATTATGTTTTCTTTTTTTGTTGAGATATATCTACCAATAATTGTATTTATTCCGAGTTAATTTTGCCGATTAAGGCAGAGTTAAAGCTTTTAACTGTTTCTTTTTAATGTAATTTTTTGAAATGTTCATCCACGCCACAATTTTTCTTTGAGCATGGAAGGCTTTCACATAATTAGAACCTAATTTAGGCCCTTTTACGAAAGGCATGCCTCTGTTAAAGGTTGAAAGTATGCTCAAACATAAATCAGTTTGGATTCTGTCAAGTATAATTTATTTATTAAGTAATCAACAAATAAAACGAATGAAAAAAAGAATGTTTAAGCCTTTCATAATCATTTCTGTATTCATTGGTTCAAGAGCGGCAACAGTCACATGATTACATGGCAGATTAAGAAATTTAAATGAATGATTCACTACTTTAAACATAAAATTTTTGTTTGATACTGAGTTAAACTGAAAAGGTTTTTGCAAGAAGTTGTATCATTTATTTATCAAGTATATAAGAATGTTTAAGTCTGGGTACTCATGCTCTTTTTTCTTGTCCATAAATAACTTCAGACTTTGATAACGTTCAATACAAGCTTGAATAAAACAACTAACTTGTACCTTAACGACTCTTGCGCAACTGGCATGCTTTGCGACTTTATTTTCAAAACCTTTTTCTATCATACTACACCAAATTACCAAATGCAGCATATTTCTCATCGCGCAAGAGCCTTAAATTAATCAATGTATTTTTGCTTATCTTTGCATTGGGAAGTCTGCAAAGATATTCTTCATAAAACTGTATTCTTTTTTCCTTTCTCAAAAGGCACACGAATTATTGTCGTTAGAAGTTTTAACATTGCTGCTGCAGAAACCAACTGATGACAGTGTAGAAGTTGCTGTAAGTTTATCTTTTTCTCACTTCCTCCCTTGTCGTAGTCATCGTTTTCTGCATAATTTGTTTTCTTTAACAAATGAAAAAACAATTTTGCGATCTTGGGTTATTTCAGCTAAATGTTACGACTCTTTCTTTGTCGTGATTGCTCCTGGTTTGCCCCTTTGCTCCTTCTGCTGTTAATGAAGAGAAAATATCGTTTCTTCTCTGAAAATTCATGAATTTCGATCCTTTTGAATTTCACCTGTTTCGAGCCTGAATAGTATTTTAAAATTCATTACTTTAGGAATCGTTCTTGCTTTCTTTGTCCATTTCATTAGGCCATTTCTATGTGTCCCAGTATTTTGACGTGATAAACGCATCTAGATGCTATACGCTGTATCAATGCATTTAAAACTGTATGGAGACTGAGGCTGATGGACCGATATTATCATCAAGCTTTGAAAACCTTTTTATATGCTCGTAGGTTGGCTTTTTAAAAGAAGTTGGACAGAAGCTCAGTGAGGTATCTCCAAGGGGACTTAATGGTACGCAGCGTTACATAAAGTTCGTCTCATGATTTTGTTATAGGGGCTACACCGCCTTTATCCAGTTGAAATGCCTTTTTCTCCCATGCCTTTTTGCAGCTTCTACGTTTTAAAGCATTTTTGACACGGGTGCTTTGTAGATTTAGATGATATGAAAAAAATAGGGCTGGCGCGGCTAGGGGTAGGGTGGGGGTCTGTTGCTTGTGCAACTGTTTACTAGTCATCTCTTCCAGTGGTTTTTGTTAAGGATTAAAGAGCATTTCTTGAAGGGAGTACATTAAACACGTGGCCATATTGGAGACAGGAGGACCAAGCTGACTGACTCCTTAACAGTGATGTTTGTTATTTGAAGACTTTGTATCCCGGGCTTTTTCTTTAGATGAGATTATTTGTCTGTTGCTTTGGGTGTCTGCGAATGGGAAGGTAGAGGTTTAACTAGTTTTTGCTTCGATAATATTTCATGTTTTGCTGTTCTCATAAAAATTCAACGAACCATTATATGCAAACACCAGGACACCCCTGCTTCTCGAGAGTGCATGTCAATGTTTTCCCTTATTGTAATCCCGGCAACTAGACTATAAAGTCTTATCGTTGAGTCAAGTCCATAAAGGATACCTTATTATTTTAATCAGCTGTGTTCGAGAGGTTGCGTAATATTCTGAATGAAGGAGAAGTCGATAAAAGAGTACAGTACATGCTGGAAGTGATGTTTGCTGTCAGAAAAGATGGCTTTAAGGTGAGCATAAAAGAAAAGTTAGATCTCAAATACAAATCTCTAGCCATGAATAGCTTTTTTGCTAGACCAGCAGTTCGAAAGAGAGAAAACTTGCTTCGAGCCTTCGGCTACTATGGAGATTGTCTCAGCTAAAGAGTTTTTGCACTGAGAGTGGGCAATCTCAAAGTGCCAATATGAAGGATTATAATCCTATGCTAACAAACTAAGAATTACTAAGATTGCATAAAATCTATACAACCACTACAGGATTAATTGAAAGATGTGTAGGATTTATTGAATCAGCATCGCAGGATTATTTGTAGATCTTGAAGAATAGATAGGGGTGCGCACACTTGCTAACCCATCACTGCAGAACTGCAGCATTTATACCTTTATTCTACTCACAACCCTATACCACCATCGTAGGATTAATTTTAGGATTACTTGTCACCTAGAAAACTTAGAAGGTCGATTTGATATTGCTGTACTTTACCTGCTAACTTTTGTGTCTCAGCAAATGAAAACTATGTATCAAAATAAACCGTCGATTACTTATATAGCTTGTTTACATCTCATTTCCAAATGCCTTGACAGTTTAAAAATATGCCCAAGTCATATGAAAAATACATATTTGAATAAATGACATGATTTTTTTAGTGTGACTTTATAAAGCTAGACCATTTTTGCTCCAGAATAAAGCTATGGCTTTCGCCTTTGTAAAAAAATAGACATCAGAGATGCATTTGTTTTTAATACAAATAGCAACGGCACCAATTAATGACAAATGTCGAAATTATTTGTGTGTTAGGATGACTTCAGGCCAGGACAAGTACGGTTTCCTTTATAGTAATATTCTTTTTGTATAAACTTTGATAGACATGCTGTGCAATGCTTTTAAGTATAAAGGTGAGATGTTTGCGACTTTTCTCTTATTCTTGCAAGGATCACCCTGCAGTGATAAAAGAGCTCGATCTTGTCGAAGAAGATGATCAAATCACGCATTTGCTGCGATTAGACGACAGTGGTGCCACTGAAGAAATACTGAGTACGCCCTTCCCTTGCAAATTCCTATACTCGCATATTCTTGCATAGTCTAATGAGTCAATTTTCCATATCTTTCTGAGTTTTCTTTTTGAGAAGGTTTATTTAGGAGATCAAGGTACTACTTTTCACATTATTGTAAATAATTGTTGGTGCAGTATATTCTCTACAAGTCGGACCCCAGATAAGGTGAACTCAAGTTGGGTGGGACAGATCGTAGCTTTTACATTTGCTAAATGGGACAGATTTTTCAGGTCCCGTTTGAGTCCCACTTTATGAGAGTGTACTGTATATCCATTTCTGCATACTTAGCATTCACATAACGCACAAGTTTACTCAATTTTCTCTGTGAGATTTACGAACCAGTTGCAGAAATAAGTGGTCATTGAAACATGTTGTTTCAAATAACCTTCCGTTCTGAAGTAACGGTTAACTATCATTTGTTAACGTTATTTTGTTTCAATGCCTCTTTTTCCTTCAATCGTTTGGGATCACGGACCATATGGCCTTTCTTAATGTCAGACAAAAATGTATTAACATGCAGCAATGATTAAACAAACTGCTATACAAAGTTCTACCGAGCTATCACAGTACATAAGCATGCGATGGGTCCTAGGACATTCGCAGATCATAAGTGAATGATTGGATATAAAACTGTCTAATATTCATTTCTCTAAATAGGGAACCAATCAAAGTTTTAATTCTAAAAAGGAATTATGTCCTTGCGTGCAGGTCAATTCATAGACTAATGGAATGGAATTTTCAAGCAGGATTTGTCTTTGTTGATTTTCCTTGGTGATCAGATCTAGGCCTAACAAGATCAAAATTCAATAACCTTATAGGTTTCTCACCTGTTGTCTGCAAAATGCTAAAGTTTCAAGAATCTAGATACGCACAAACACTGTTTTATTGCTTTTAAGACATGTTTTAAATGGTTTCTTGCTAGATAAAACTGCCATAACAGTGCTCTGACTTTTTACTTAAACTCTTTTTTAGATGTATTCAAACATGACCCAGATTATGAAGAAAATGAAGAGAAGTACAAGCAGATCAAGAAAGGTTTGTGCTTCCTTTTCAAATTAATGTAACAAATCAATGCCCTATAACACAGAAGTTTGCTCGATTACCATACCGTTGTAATTGAGAGGGATTTTTCTCTCACTGAACATTAATGCACCAGCGTGAGACGGACCAAATCGGGTTTTTAAAGAATCATTAAAAAGTTCTGTTTGAGTCTTGTCTTCTCATTGAAAATTCCTATTAACCATGGTACTTTTAAAAGGTATTAGAAAAGATGTTCATGTTTTTACTTCTATCCTATTTAATGGGTGCCAAAAGTACGTGAGCTAGATTTTATGGCAAAGGTCGGGTACCTGACCTGAGTTTCCATAATGTTATTCTTTCTTTTTTAATGTACTTATAGAAATCTCATGTATTTTTTAACATCTTATTGCTATTGTTTTGCATTAGTCCTTATCATGTTGGTCGTAGGATTTCATTAGCTGTAACTTAGCTATTTTAACATATATACGAAAGTAAATAAACTGATAGTAATAATGATCATAACGAAATTATGTCTATTCCTTTACCATTCAGTCTACACCTTTAGGGTCACAGCTGAAAAGCTTATGACGTTGTCAATTCCAATTGATCTTCTTTTATAGAGATCCTTGGGGAAGGCAGTGACAATGAGTCTGGTGATGAGGGTGATTCTGGTGAAGATGATGATGATGATGATGATGATGATGATGACGATGAAGAAGCCGGTGGAGAGGGGGCCGAAGATGGTATGTATTGATCTTCAGTTTTTTTAGGATATGACTTTAGCTATAGTTTTCCCATTTGATATGAAAAAAATTTATATTTATGTCTTATTTTAGACTTGTTATCTGTAAGATATTCGTCAAACAGATATGTCATCAAAACTGCACTCCATGCTATCCACCAGTTTGGTATGCACATTGTGTGAACTGATGTTTAATTCCCATGCCGTAATGGAAGTGCAAGGTTTTGTATCATGGAGTTGCAACTTAGAGCCTATTCATTCCAACAATACCTTATAGCAATTACTTGTGAAAGTAAATATAAATTTGCATCAATCGTATTTTCTTAGGTGAAGAGAAAATGGACATCATTGACAAAACAGAAACAAATTTGGTCGCACTGAGGCGTACCATTTATTTAACGATCCAGTCAAGGTGAACCTTTTTCCTTTAAAATTCTAATTTTCTTTTTTTCCCAATTTTCTCTGAGTTTTTCAATAATTTTGCTCGAAAAAGACATTTAGACTCTGATTAACACAGACTCTCTGGAAACGATTCTGATTTCTGCTAAATCAAATTTTTTTTGTTTGCCAAGCTAAATGAAATGCAATTGCTTGCTTTTTTATTGCTGCATACAAATTTTGATTTGAAATATTTTTATGCCCCTTACTATCTTCGTAGTAGGCTATTTTGAGTTAATGAGCATAAACTCCTTGTCCCTCTTTTGTTACCTTAAAGTAGCCGTATGCTGGAAGATATTTTCAACATTGCCTCACCGTAATAGTTTGACTAAATCCTCATCTCACAGGCAAGCACCGTCTTTGGCATCGAGTTTTGAATAGCCCCCCTTTTTGCTTTCAGAATTCGGAAATGCACCCAGTCAATCACAATGTCTTTAAAACGCTTCTCTGCATGTTATCACCTATATGCAGTTTCATAAAACTTGATTCAAGATATTCTTTCTCCAATTAGCTTTCTATGCAGGTTTTTTGGTCAAAAGTTTTGCATGTCAAATACGCCCCAGTCTAAAGAAAATAGAGTCATGAATAGCTTTCTCTCCACTCGAGTAAGCTCCCCCCAAAAACTTTCTGCATAGAGTTTTCAATAAGCCATCCGCTTACCTAAAAGATTTCTGCCTTAAAATTTTTTTTTCCATTTTTTAAGTCTTGACTACGAAGAATGTGCCCATAAAATGATGAAAATGAATCTCAAGCCAGGACAAGAAGTAAGTTTCTTCGTCACAATATTCCAGTTATTTCCTCTTTGATTTTGTCGATATAGTGATTTCATAGTCGACATAGTTGCCACCGTCTTGAAAATATAGATCAAAGATCTGTGCACATGAATAATATACCTTACTTACTCGGGAAACTTGTCTTTGAAAAACAAATCTCGTTTGCCAAGATCGTCATAAGTTCACTCTTTCTCCTTCACTGTAAACTGTTCATCTAGCTGAGTATGCCTACTTTTGTATATAATTTTGGCTTGAATCATAAGTCAATAAGATAAATTGGAATTCCTTCCATTCGTCTGACGGTTGTGCATGCGTATTTCATCGGCTGTTGGGGCAGTCAGTGAAAACCCACTCTAAACGGCATTAACCGTTCTTTTCTTCCAACTTACCCGGACCTTCTTTGTTATGTTGCAAATAACAGGGAAATTGTCAAACTGATTCCTTGAAGGTCAGGTTGTAAATTTTCATAACAGAATGACACTTTGTTCAAAATAAAAACAGAATGAAACGGGTTAAAATGTACTGCATTAGCTGGCAAAATTGTGGTTGAGAGTTTTATAGAGGCTTGCTCCCAACAAACCACGCCCCTACCACCTTTCGAAAAAATCCCTCTGACGTGAAAAATGCTAAAAGCTTTTCAGTTGCATTTGAGATATAGTAGAATGAAGTTACTTCAATGTCTTGTTTAACAGGAATTAAGATATGGAGGGCGTCACAATCCTATATCTCTTGAACTTTTTTCCTCGAGCTTTATAAAATTAAAGAATCAGCGCTTTATTTAAGAATAAATACAGCCTTTCGACATCGCAGTCGTTAGAAAGTGGACATTGCATTTCATTCGTGAATTGTCATACAGTAAGCCGGATAATGACCTTAAACCTCTGACCTCATTCGGAGGACATATCGTGACCTTCGTTGTTTTGCTCTGCAGATTTTTCCAGCGACCTGTATGTTATCCCTTCTTCATTTCCGGGACTAATGTTTGATGACTTATGGAGCTTAAATCGAAATTAAACCGAAGAAATACAAATGTACTATTAACTGCAAAGAATGAGATTTCCGTGCACGAGACTAACTATTTCCTTCTTTGTGATTTCCGTTCCATTTGTAAAGATTTTCTGTTGATTTATAGTATCAAGGCAGCCCGCTATCGGTTTATCGGATATAGCTTTAGACAGGCATTAGTCAAAGGGATCCTGGAATTGGTAATTACTTTATGTTTGCCTCGGGAATGGTCTATTCGATTCTTCAACCCCCCCTCGTGGCGAGTTCTTTTAAGGTATATCGCTTATGATCTCAGTTTTGTTTTGTTTTTTCATGCGAAAAATGAATAATTTTGTTTTTCTTCACCTGAAGTTTTCCTAATTTTCCCGCACAAGCTTCAAAATCCAATAATGAAAGAAACCACACTTTTGCCCAAGTTTGGGTCCACTACACGTCTAAATTAGACTACACAAATTTTGCACATTGTCAATAGAATCCCATCTGCCCCGTTCCTGTTTTGTTTTCCTAAGTACCAGGACAAGCCTTCAAATCCAGTAACGAAACCACACCTGTTCCCAAGGTTTGGTCCACTACACCACTAGACTAGATTACAGTAATTGTGTACATTGCCCATAGAATCCTCCACTGCCCTGTTCCGATCAATGTTATTTTATTGAATGTTAGGACCTTTGGTGTCCAATTAACTCTTATCAGTACGAAAGTAGGCCTTACTTTCCAGGACGCGCATAAGCCTTAATTTGTAATTTGATACCAGATTTTTTGTTTCTACTTGTTTCTCGCTATTTTAATGGGAAAGCTTCACGAGGCCTATCATTTTTCCGGGAAACTAGATAAAATATATTTGGACTTTGCTTTTATACTTCAGTTCGTTTTGTTGCGCGATCTGTATTTGAATGTGTATTACACAATCTTCCGCTCTTGAAATATCGTTTTTAGAACCTCTGACTCGCGTTTCAATGATATTATAGTCGACAAAAATTTTCGCGTTCCTCCACACTGATATAGATGAGAAATGGCCTAGTCTGTTGGATTGGCCAAAATTCCTTTTTGACCTGGTTTCAAGGGCGCAGGTAGGAATTTCAAAGGGACAAGCAAAATAAGAAGAAAATGAGCACTAGGTAGGCTTATGGTGCAATTTTTAGCGCTCAAGTCTTGGAACCAATTTGGGTGGCTATAACCCATCTTCTGGACTTCATACCGTGAACATGTATATCAAGCTTCACCAATTTCAAAGGTAATCTACCAGGTAGGCCCTTACAAAAGGGACAACTTAGATCTTAATAGGGGTCACTGGGACCCAGCGCACCCTTCTACATACGCTTCTAGTTTCGCCAGTATAATGTAGTTTTGTCTTGAGAATATTCGGACCAAAGCCGGGAAGATCGTGATAGCTCATACTTATCTCTGTGTGATAGCTAGAGGTTAAGTCATGAGTTACCTTTATCGATAATTCCTTGACATAAGAGACGTATTTTCCAAGTAAAGGTTGAGATAAATCATATAAGACAAGACACAGAAGTGTCTACGATAAAGAACACAGATACTTCATGTAGGGTGACTTTGCCATCGCCCCTTGTCTATCCGGTGTTGCCACCCCTCACACATTTGCTGCTCGTTGCACCTTGAGATAAGTTATGGAACCATGGAACTGGATGTTTACAATGAAACATTTGTCTGCGGATTCTCAGTGTAATCATCAGTAATGAAATTTGTGCGTCAAATTTTCCTCTAGCATGAAATTTAGATGCAATGGGGTTTATATCTGTATTTCTAAAATTTATAATGAAACTAAGAAAGCATGGGATGAATCAACTGTAGGTGAATTTATGGCGAGGAAAAAGGTAATATATCACATAAAATGGAATAAAAAAAGAAGCCTTAAAATTCAATCAACGATTGGAAAAGAGATAAGCCTTGGTAGAAATTTTTACCACTGCTAATACATAAATGTACAGTAAAAGTGTTACATGACCTACAGTTGCACTCAAAGTTTATCCAGAGATTACATTTAAAAGGATAACTAGTAATTGAGACCCTTTCTTTTCGAATAGTAAATTTTGCCATTCGATTAAAGATTTAGCTTTTAGAAATAATTGCTGCAAGGATAGATTTATTAAGATATTCACTATATTAAACATGTTGATCGCTTATATAGTAAATAATATAATGTTAGAGACAATTCTTATTTTCAGAGACCATATGCTTGCAAATTCTGCTACTCAGCTTTGTGCTTGCAAATTCTGCTTCTCATATGAGAGTGTCGTCTAATGCCAATAGCTGCAAAATTGATACTTGACCCCTAAGGGATTGCCACATTGGCCAGATTAAACGATCGGCCACAGATCACGGCTTAGGATTTAACTAATACGCCCATAGTGCATTTTTTATGTCTAATGCACTTAAGGTATCGTTTAAATCATTTCGTCTACTCAACAAGCATTATTTGGGCTAGGCCTTATCGAGATTATTCTCAAGTATCAATCCACGATGTTGCTTCCCTGTCAGCACGTGGAACAGTCGTTAACCTACGCTAATTGATAGGGACTTGTAGAGAGGATTTCAAGTGTGTTAGGGTATTGGGTAACGAAGAGCATGAGAAACTTTCACAGAGGTCGTGTTCTTGTCTGTATTGCACTTCTAAGCTTTTGCAGATATTACAAAAGCTAGACGTAGCGTAACCTACGTTCCCTACAGAATAATAGCATCTCTGATAATTTTTTCCTCTCTGTGAAAGGTTGTCCCTCGTAGAGCTTTCTGTCTTTGCGATCACCAAAAATCTTCTATGCAGAGTGTTAGAAACCAGATTTTGTTTACTTAACGACCTCGTATATACGTTGACACAGATTGAGAATTTGAACATCTCGAGGATCATATTTTTGGTGGTTAAGTGAATACGGTTTGAACCCGATATTGATGAAAACTGCTATATATTAATCGAGGATCATGGAATTTGTCGCCTATTTCACGACTAGATATCCTCGACCATAGGTTAGACTCTTTGGATTAGGCTTATCCAGTGATGAAATTCTTCGTACACTTCCAGAATTTTGGAAATTAGAACTCCAAGACAATGCATCAATGCTTATGCTATCCATTCCATCCGAATTTATTTTGGCTTTATTAATATTGAATGTATTCTGAGATCTTTTTGGATTGTCTGAAGTGCATTCCACAGGACTCAATTTTGGCCCCTTTGTTTGGGAATATGTATAGTTCATTCTTGTTCACGACAAATGCAGCAGTAATGATCAGTTTTAGCAATTTATTCCCCTTAAGTTATTTGTTTTATTACTTTTGTTAATTGGTATTTTTGGTTTTAAAATTTTGACTGCAAATCCCCGTACACCCTTGAATCGTTGTGATCAATTTCTTTATTACTTTTGACTAAAATAATCAATTTACATGCCAATAATTTCATATTAACTAAAATGGTAGCAAAAAACTAATAAATGATTCCTTGATATCCAAATTCCATTGCAGCATGAATTCTGTTTGATGATCATCGACTGTTGCGCTCAGCAGAGAACCTTCGAGAAGTTCTTCGGTCTTTTAGCTCAGGTATGTTGCTCTTGACAACACTTTTTTGACAGAGTCATTAATTAAGGTTTGACGGAGTAACGTTTCTCCCAGAGAGGTTGCTCTTTGTGCTACCTTATATAACTATATCAAATGTAGCAGTCGCCACCTAAAACTGGAACATCCATTAATTTCAATTCGTATAACTTTCACAGAGCCTTTTGTATGACACCCATTTTGAAGGTGCCGTTCACCCCAAACCTTTGCTGTATACGTGAACTGTTGGGGAGATGGACCAGCATTTGTTTGAGGAGATGAATAAAATAATAGCCCTAAACAATAGGAAAACTGGACTCGTCTCCCCAACAATTAACTGAAACGCACACTAGCTAGTTTTGCATTGCCTTTTCGAAGCAAACGTTCATTAATTAGAATTTTCCGTTCTGAAATCACAAAATTTGTGATCTTCCTGAAGTTAATTGAAATCATGCAAAATTGCATGAATCATATGAAATTACTAAACAAAGTATGAAATCGTTAGAGACCTTAATGAAATAACATATGGTTTAACCAATTCGCGAATTTGGTCGTTGAATCGCGTGGAATTGAACGCGTTGGCATGATCCTGGCATGATTTTGGAGCAAGGGTGCAAGCACGGACCTGTATTTTTGTGGGAAGCACTGCAGTATGGCTACTGAAATCGAGCAAGATAAGCCAACTTGGAGTTGATAAACAACAACGACGTGCGGAGATCATGCGCGCGAAAACACTGCAGCGCGAATCTTAGTCAAATGTTGTTCATTCGGTCGTCAGTACTTCATGGCTTTGACAGTTCATTGAAAATTACAATTAAAAAAGTTGACATTTTTTTAACCGTTTTCGCTCATTAACTATCCCAATGCAGTTAAGACAATATGTTACCATTTGGAAGATAGCATAGTTTCATCTTCCTCCTAGAAATAATAGCAAAGGGCCTCTTTCCCCTAAATATGTGGTTCAGTGCTTCAGACGTCCCTTGCGGATCTGGCCTCGTGTTGGGTCGGTTTAAGGATGTCTTCGGATCGGCCAGTTCCTCAACCCCAATCATATTATAATATTCCATGACGCTAAAGATGGGCGGCCTCGAGGTTGGAGCTTTTGAATATGGGAAAAAGTGGAACATGATTTGGAGATTATTTCTGTTTACATATCGCTTAAAGCGAAAAACAGATATTTCCGATTTTGTTTCCTTTTCAGATCAGAATCTTTTGCTTGGATTAGCACTCTAAAAACATTGGTGTCAAACTTTATCAAGGTTACGACTTAGTGGTCCCAATTTGTGTAAATCTTTTTATAACTTAAGATTCTGTTTGCTCATAGATAAAGATTTTGAGTTCCATCGTCATTCTTGCAAATAACCTGTGTTAATCTAGCACATTTTTGTGTTCTTAATTTCAAGAGCAACTCGTCAATTAATTCACTTCGTGGGTTTTAAAACCTGCGGGTAGTGGTTATGATTTTGGAATTGTTTTATGGTGGAATACTTTGGTTGAATTATCTTCTCGAGTGTAAATTCAAGTGTCAAGGCCATTGTTATCCATGAAAGCACCTCCACTTTCAACATCTTTCTAATCTCGCATTTACCAAATAGTGTATTATCGCCTCGCACTCGAGGTCTTATTTCAGAATAGTTCTGATACCTCAGAAGAGTTCTATTACATCTGCTCAAACCCGTGCAATCTTTTTTATAAAAAACTGGTAATAGCTAGCCCGCACTCCGATCAGAATACTCTTCGGAATTTTGCTATAATGATACAATTTTTCTTCGAATGGGAGCCCGAAAGGTTTTTCGGCGATGGCTGCACCCTTATGACACACAACACACACATACGATGTTTGAACCCAGTAGATTTTATTCGACCATTTATGATAAGTGGAATAAACCAATGCTTTTAATGGAAATAGTTCAACAATTTGTCAGTCGCCTTGCTGCCGTTGACTCATTTTACTTTGTTCCACATAATTGATAAACCATATATTCGGGTCCTTACTTTACTAAGATTCTTCAAGACCTGCGCCCTTAAATGTTTTGCCCGCCCCTCCTTTTCTGTATCTATAGACCACACATTGTCTATATTTGTTACACGTGTTTCCAATCTCTGCAGCGAATGACTGTTTTTTACATCAAGCATTTGATGAACAAATATTATGCGTCTCAGCTATTTGTGTATAGTGTGTGTTCTTCATCAATTCTGGTTTGGGTTATTTTATACTTAACTGCTCAGTCCATTTTCTTTTCTTTTATTCAACATATATTTAGAGAAGGTGTGTGGCTACTTAGGTTAACGGTCATTAATAAGTGACACAGCTTGATTTATTTACCCAACCCCTCATCATTCTAACATCATATTTGATCACCCTGCTCCATTGAATATGGGATTTGCAGTCACCAGTAAATGCCAGTATTTTAATCGAAAATGGAGGCGTCCAAACTGGATCCTTTATTGTGCATGTGTAAGATTTCCCTCGCCCATTTCAAGGAATACATGCCCTTGTTCCAGGGGATCAGTCACAGCGTTTTGCACAAAATTAGTTTTTCGTTTGAGGGACGGTTCATGTTTGAAGATGCTCAGTGTTCTGTTTGTTGTGAGCCCCTCCAAGAATAGGGCTTTTGAACCTTCAAACATTATTTTTCTAAGCCTCTTTTCTAACGTTTTTTCATCTGGTGTAAACAGGTATGTATGTTAATTGTATAGAGGGAGAGGGGTAGGGAGTCACGTCGTTAGTCCCCGCACCTATGAGAGTCTTGCGTTTGAGCTTGTAGGTGGACCATATGGTTTGTTTTTCCTCCAACCACGCGCCGGCTAGCCATTGAGACTGCTCCCTCTATAAATTTGGTTAGCCAGTTAACCGTTACGTCAGAAAATCAAGAATTTATGTGGATAGTACAGCAGGGAGTCATTGCAACTGCTTCTTCTGCTCTCTTTCTGTATGGATTTAGCCCCGCCTTTCGGTTAACCCCATTCAACCTTCAATCCCAATACTTCCGTACTCAAAGAAGTCTGCAACTCTGTCTTGCTTCAAAATTGTGCTGGCAGATTGCTGTCTTTTTCGACAAACCAACACCTCTATTACTCGCTATCAACTTTGTATGGCAGCAGACAGTTACAAATTATAAGAAAATGAATTTTGACCAGTGACTGCTCTCGTGCTCCTGTGCATTAGCATGTTAACGTATTGCGTGTCGCCTGCGTGCGATCCAAACTGGTGACTAATTAACTGATAATGCAATGACCTACTTAAACGATGCAACAATTGGGTAGATAAACAGAACTTTATATTTCACGTGATTTGTCAAGCAAGCCCTGGCCTAGCTTTTCTAATTAAGTTCTACCCATATTCCTTTCTCAATATCACTTTTCGATAAGAATAGCTTAACCAGCTAATCGACGCGTCATATATCTCCTCCACAACTGACATAAATTACTTATTTCGGGTGATCGAAGCCACGAGATTGTTCGCACTCCGCCTTTCTGTGATTTGAAGGCTCTCTTCAGCCTGTTTGCATTGATGGTCCTCTCGGTCAATGCTAAGACCTCTGAGAAACAGTCACTTATAAGGCGATTTTTCATTCATAGTCTATTGTTCTTCTTCATCTTTGGTGGTAGGTCACTAATCTTTATAGACTCTGTGGTGAAGTCTTTTTGGCTCAGAAAAAGGTCTATAGAGGTTATTCTCTCTAGATTTTTCTGTTTACTAAAAACATGGCTTCTATCATGTCAAGCTTTCAGTATAAAAAATCTGTAGAAAACAATATTGAATAGACCAATAGGATGCGTCTTAGAGAAAATGATAAACATCGATGTCTGTAGCATTAACGGGTGCCCAGTAAACTGGAAGTTACTGTTAGGCCCACCGCAAGCCGTGAACCCTCTTTCATTAGATGTTCAAAAATTATCACTAGAGCACCCCCAACGTGGCTGGCAGTCAAGGCTAAACGTATAAGAGGACATGAACGGCGAAGTAGGCACTGTAGTGGGGCACGAAGGGGATGACCCCAAGATTTTGCTTTTGCTCTTTAGGAGGAGAAGGTGTTCCTGTTAGGTCAAATGCCGTTCCTTTCTAAGTTACAAAGTTAGACGCGTATTGATTTGCGTTCCAAAAAAATTTGGTTTAAGCACAAACTTTCGTAGAAAAACTTTTGTAATATGGCGGTAGATTCAGGGTAATCAAACCTTCCGCCTTTTTAGTAGGCCTAGTTACCGGACCTTACGAAAGGCAGTAGCCTGACGCAGTTGAAAACTTGATTAAGGTTTGCAAAACCTAGAGACCTACTAGTATTCTCGAGACGGAGGTACTCGGAGAAAGGAGGGATGTACAAGTATCTGGTGTATCTGTACAAGTATTTTTTTTATTTCGTTGCGCCATTCATTTCTGAATTAGGTTCTGTATGGAATATTTTCAAATATGTACTATAACTTCAACTATTCCTTGACTCTTTCTTGGGCTTGTGGAGAATGAGGCCTGTTATGACGCCTCTGCTGTTGTTGCTGTTAATATCAGGAATGCAAGTCAAAGCTATCCAAAAGCTTTATTAGTAGTACCTTTTCGATTAAAGAATATCTCAAAATGAAATAAATTCTGAATGAAACTAGTAATTGAAATTTTTTAAACTTTTTAGGGTCCCTTTCAATTCAGGGCCTGGGGCAATCTTCCCCTGCCTTCCTTTTCGGCGGACCAAATTGAATTAATTTGCCAATATTGTCTCAGAATCTCTCAAAGGATCACATTAAATCCTCTTGTAATCCTGACAGTTGACCCGTCAGCTGAAAGAAAAGCTGTTCAAATAGGCAACATTCGCCCTCAATTCGGTACACTTCCAGAAGATATCTATTAATAAGTCAATCCAAAATTGCTTCTTTGGATCAGCATATAATTTACGTCAGTCAACACTACTTTGAGATGAAATCAGGTAGAGCAAATAGGCAGGAGAGAGCGCTAAAGTGCACTGAAGAAGTTTTACAGCCGAGAGTGACGTTCACGATTCTTTATTTGATCAGTTGATACTGGAGTGGCGAAGAATGCTTGCTATTCTCTCGAGTGCAAAGATCTTTTTCGAGATTATTGTCTCTTTTTAACTGCCTGATCCCTTTCTTAGATTAATTTTCTCGAGAGGCCCTCATAAAAGAGCTGTTTTTCAGCGAGTGATGTGAAAGTCTGTGCGACTTATCAGCTTTTCCAATCTTTCACTTAAACCTCCGTTTTTGAAATCACCACACCGAAAGACTTAAAAGCCTTCTATTCACGTACAGTTAAAGCCCGCCAAGAAAAATTTCGAATATAAGAGTTGGAGGCTGATGTTTTCAAAGTTATGTTTAAAAATATAATTTGAATATATGCAAGGAGCAGTTTTACAGAAATTTCGTTTTCGTTTAATTCAGCGTTTTGAATTTAAACGTTACTCTGTAAAGACTGATTACTTTCTGCCAAAACGATAACTTTCATTACTCTTCAAGCTGGTCATGCTATTTTCTTGATCTTATAAGCAACTCACTTTTTCCAAAAAATCTCATCCGCTATTATTTACGAAACTGTACAGTCTGATCCGAAATAATGAGTATCTTGTAAGCGCGTTAACACGGATCAATTTAGAAGCAACACATATTATCTTGCTCACATTTCAGCTTTTTCTGCCCATTTAATTGTTTAATTGATTACTACCTCGCAGTATCAGTATTTATCATTTAGTTCAGTTGTAGCTTTTTATATTCGCCAGAATGACTGTATGTTAATGCAACTGTATAGATTGTTTTGTTGCAAGTTATCAATTCAGCCAATTGATACATTGAGAGGTCTAGAACGAGCGGAGAACGAATGACGCAGAGACAGTAGACAAATTATATGAAGATTTCGGACTTAACTATTTATAGGGAATAGAAATCAAATGCTACAGATGTTGGGAAATGAATTGAGGCATACACCCATCGTTTCTTGAACTTCAAACAATCCTAGAGTTCTAATATTTTGCATTCTTCAGTTAAACACACATGTTCAATTTATGGCCTAATTTTGAATGTGCCAGCATTTTAGTCTAAGAAGCAAATTTTCAAATGCCAGTGCTGTCAAATCTTCTACATTTTTGAAGCGACTTTATCTGTCTTTGGGCTTAAAAAAGTTGTACAATGAATTTTGGAAGAATTTCCAAAAGGATACTATAAATTAAATTAGTGTATTCCACTTGTTCTTTGTGATTTCTGTAATATTATGCTTTCCGCGTACGGAGAGTTTTCGTTTGCTCAGTATCAGTATTTGTCAAAGTGGTAAATGACACTGCAATCAAATTTCTGTCTAAGTATATGGAAATTTCAAGCACAGCTGAGAGCACTTCGAAGTAAAGTCATGTTTTGCGCCACGTTCAAGGCGCCTTCTTATGCCTCTCTTCCTATTCAACTAGTTCTAGGCGTAGGTCATAGCAATAAAGGCATGCGTGAATTTGCCAATTTTTTCCCTTTCTGTGAGGCTTTTATCCCTCTTATCACATTACTACCTTCTACTTATTTGCATTTTAATTTCCATTGTTCGTTTCCGTTTACATCTGAAAATAGTAGTTCATAAAGTGAATTCTGTTGGTCGTTGATTCTCGATAGTCAGTCGGCGTGCAGCTCTGTGCACTTTACTATGCCTCAGTTACTAATAAGTTTCTTTTGTAAAAATATATACAACATCTTAACTTGAAACGTGACTTACGTTAAGTCAATTCTAGTAATATCCTTGTAGCCATTTTTTTAGCGAAAAGACTTGCGGCTGTCATATTGTTCATTATCAACTCTATCGTAGATTATTTAAACCTTTCTTCGGGCAATTTCTCCTTGAAGTTAGAAGTGGTCATTGAGAGGTCATCTATTTAAAATTGCTTTCAATTCGAAACAATGTTTGCTCCATGTGACAGGGTACAATCGTAACAATAGAAGGCCACGTTCTGCTCGCGACTGGTCTGTTGTTGCAACCCTATACTCAATCGGCTTAATGTCCTGTGAAACACATAACTGCCCCTTGGTCCCTATTGTGGTGACACATCCAATCCTTTCTTTCATAAACTCAAAGTGCTTGTTTCAAAGGTCCTTATCATACTCTCAAAATTCATCTTAAGGATTAGTTAATTCATCGACTCACTTGTATATACATTTGAGTATTACTTTGTAGAAAGACCTTATCAAAAGCCATGTCAGGATATTATTTTTGTTGTGTTAATCAGTGTGGATCACTAATGAATAAAATGACAGTGAGGACTGAGTATCAGACCGACACCTACTGCTGCAAATCTCTAAGATATAACAGGTTTCACAAAATCTTATGGTCAAATAGAGACAAAGAAGCCAACTTTTGACCAGGGAGCTAATGGAGACAAAACCCTACGGTTGGTTTGTTGCACAGGTGTAGCCTACTTAGGCTTGTTATATTTCGAAAGTATCTCGAGTTTTTTCTAAGGATCAGTTTAAAACAGCTTGTGTTTAGGTCTTCACCGCTGAAAAATTGTTATTGGACTAACTTTCTCGTCTCTTAGACGATTTTAATTGCAGCTTCTGAACTGTTTGTGATCTGCAATCAATGTTGAAGAACCTGCTGGTAGCTCTTATCACTAAGATACCAACAGACTGTCAGCCAGGCTTATTGGGAGAAGAAATAGACTTTTCTGTCGATTTGCTTTGAAATTCCAGCCTCGTTTTTTGAAATTAGTGAAAGAGCAATAATTATTTATCATCGGTTAGCACGTTGCTGGATGATTTTATCGAATCAAATAAAAATTTATCTTGAAGTCCAGCTTTTTCAGGGACATTGTTATGAAATATCACCGAAAATAATTGAAAGACTTTGTTATATTTGGAAGGCAATGTAAATTAATATCTATTCGTGTGGATGCAGTTCGATCCAAATTGAAACTGTTACAAGACATTCGTGTGCTGTTAAATTAAAGGCTGCTCCCTATTACACAAGGGTAATGGGTATTCTGGTCTTCCTTGTTTAGTGTCTTTATCAAAATAATTTTATGTAACTGTTTGTTGGGGCGACGAAGGAGCGAAATCTTCGAATGAGTGAGGCAACCCTCCGTCCTGAAGTCAGTGAGCATGCGCAATAATAACTTCGTTCTGTGTGCATGCTCGATGACTCCAAGAGAGAGGGTTGCGTCACTTATTTTAAAAACTTTCTCTTGCTTGTCTTCTCAAAAAATACATCCCTTGGGCTGGTAGAGTGATTAGATTGGTCTGGTTTACCTTAAAAGGAGCCTTAGCAAAAAAGGGTTTTCCTCAAGCAAATTGTTTGTGTTTTTTCTTTGAAAATAAAATAACTCTTAGCAGTATCGTTTAATTTTTCTTTTAGTTGTCTCGTGAATATGGCCTCCACAGCATGTACAAGCTTCTCCCTAAAAAACCTAAGGTTTTCGCTGTTCAAGGACCATAAAAACCACATTCCATCACCTGTGTCTTGCTTTTTGACTTTGAGTAAAGAAATTTACTCACAGTACTCCTTGAAACTATACGCCATAATCCCAGATCAAACTTGCTCTATAGAGAGTTTTATTTAGCTAGTCAGTGTTATGTGCATAATGAATTCCTTCGAAACACACGTGGCCAAGAAAACTTGTTGGGAAACCTGGTTCCCGTTTTTTCTGTTTGCTCGTCGAACAAAGGGAGGCGGGCGATTGCTAGACAGTTTGCCCAGACACCCGCATTCAAGTAAAAACGGAATACAGGATGATAGAACCAGGCAACGAGGGATTGTTCATGTTTGTAGATGACATGCTACCAATCCTTAAAACAGATAAATAAATATGACCCACCCTGTCTGCAGTGTGTTGTTGATTACCTGCAGGGCTGAGTTGTTCAGGTGATCGTGCATAGGCCATTGTTTGCTTTGCTAAAAACCTTCTAATGTATGCATTAGTTTCGCTAATTACCTTTCAATCATCGCCTATTCATTAATGCAAAACTGGTACCATAATGTTGACTTTCCTCACAAGGTGAAATTGACCCTAAACGCTTTCTATTAGGAAAACACCCTTTTCATTGCCAGTTGAATATAGCTATCAGCTGGACTTGTAGGATAGGTTTCGTTGCTAATTTATGTATATCATAATACAGAGCAAACATTCCATTCTGTTTAAGTGACCTTGCTTTTCATTTTTTCAATAAATGCATATAATATTGACTTCCTGGACATGCTTGAGCCTATGAAAGATAACGAGAGAAATAAAGATCATGGTTCCTGGTCACATTACTTGTGGCACCACATTGTCTAAGAGAAAATCCTATACCGCAACCCGTTGCTAAAGGCGACAACAAAGTGTTAGAATCTGCCTTTTTCAAGTTGGAGAGTTACTGAGATAGGCTACTGACATAAGCTTTATGATGTTGATGATCTTTTTAAATACCGTGTTGCATTTCCACCTATTCTCTCTAGGCCATCTTTTTTGCGTCATGTATTGGGAGGTAATATAGTCCGATATTTTACCACAGCGCCTGAATTTCATTTTATAACTGATATTGATTCTAGATGATCAAACAAATACCTTCTTGAAAATAATAAGTCATTTGAATGATAATGCCATTCTGTTGAAGGAAGCATAAATTGTACATCCCTTTTTGGAATCTATAGGGTATTACAATAAGAGAATGAAGGTAGCTGCAATCTATAAGTACCAATTATCAGACCATATAGTTTTCCACGGTTAAATACATATCCTTACTGAAAATAATGAATCTGCTCGAGCTTGAGTACATCTTTCAAATAACTCACGAGTAACGATATAGAGCATTTTTCTTGACAATGTTGTCAGTTTGTATTTTGAGAAAGGAAGGGAAATTCTAAGTCTTGTTGCGAAGAAATGTTTCTTTTTACAGTTGCTTTCAACTTTCAAGACTTTTTTTTAGTCGAGGGATTTGCTATTTTCTTTGCATCCTCCCTGATTTACTCCTGTTGACTGTACGTCACTTTTCAGATAAATATAAATGTTGTGGATTTCTGAAGAATCAGCTTCCAGAAGCTCTTTGGGTGTTGCTTTTTTGCCATAGCGGAACAAACATCACCCATTTATATATACTATTGTAATTTAACTTCAACAAAACTGGACTAGAATCTTGCCTTAATGCTTTAAACAAATGTTTTCTATAATGAGCCTGAATTTTAAGAAAGTTTACACTTCCAATTGGCAATCAATGCAAGCTTTTCAACTCTTTTTCATTCTAGCTGTCAATTAGCCATCGATTAAACAATCAAAATTTTACTTTTGGTCAACTCAAATATTTTTCATCAATTAAGCTTTGAACAAGTTTATTTTTTGTCAGGGAGACGAGCAAGAGAAAGTCTTTAATGAGTGAGGCAACCCCCCGTTCTTGAGACAAAAAGCATGCGCATAGAAGTAAGTTATTATCACGCATGCTGTCTGACTCCGGGACGGAGGATTGCATCACTCCTTTCGCTTGTCTCCCCAACAAAATCCGACCCAAACATGGTCTTTTTCAGCGGCAGCAAAACTCCTTGTCCTGTTTTTGATCGGCAACTCTGCTCAATAGACTTTTTGATTGTTAAATGAACCTTCCAATATTGGCTTTTTGCGGTGCTCACATAATTTTTTTACAGTTTGGATACATTCAATGGTGTAGCAATGTTTGATTGGGAACTTTCTATGAGAAACCGAGCCATTAGGTGTCCAAAAGTTAAGACACCATAGTACTGAACCTGCTTTTTTGAGACGTAACTGCTTGAGAATGAGTCTTTTGATATTGGAACCTATAACGTGACTTGGTAAAACATAACTCTTTTAAGGAGCCTTTAAGAAACTTCCAGCACTAACTTCAACAAAAGATAATGAAATAAGAACTATCCTCGAGCTTATTTTCCCAAAAATGCATATATACAAATGGTGAGTGCTAGTTGTGAAGCTCGAGAAGTTAGTGTAGCTTTGTTATTTTGCTTTTTTGTGAAAAACTTTTATTTCTGTGAATTTTCCTCGGATTTCCTATTACCATTTCTAAAAGAATATTACAAATTTTGGTATAGCCTCGATATTCTTAAGAAATTTTCATGTTGTGCCTGAATATATTCTTAAAGTATTATTTTTTCTAAACTGATCTGGTTTTAAGGGAACATCGCCCGCCCTTGAATAGAAACCGCGCTTTTTGAAACGAACGAGGTTTGCCAGTCATGCTATTCTCTGTTATGAGCATCGCAAAGCAGCCAACTGCTAAAATTGAGACGCAAAAGTGCGAACTGAGGTTTATTATAAAAAGTTGGACGATTCTGACCCTGAATATTCTTATGAGCAGAAGTCTTATAATAGAAAAGATTGCTTTGAAAAAAGCAATTATTTCACAACATACTAACTTAAAGCTTTTTCTTCTGACACTCCTCAGAGTATAAAGCGTCAGAATAAGGTTCCGAAAGAAAAAGATGGAGAATATATACCCAGCTGCGGATCGAAAAAGGCCAATCAGAAAAACGCGAGCATATGACCGGTACAGTTGTCCAATCAGTACCGCGTGCCTAAAGAAAAATTACCACTGGAGTCCGAGAAAGAAAACGAATTCCTTCTTTCTACACAATGGCGGCTTTTTCTTTTGTATGTAGATCGATTCCAAAACTGCTAGATGAAACCTGGGTCTGCCAATTGTCTGAAGCATGTCGTAATTGTAGACTTGAGCAAAGTCTTGGTTATCTAGAAGATGTTGTCCGATGGCAGAATCCCTTGTTTTAACGGTGTTTCTAGACCCCAAAGAACGGGGAGGCTGTTCTCTTTGAGGGGCAGTTTTGATTCTTATGTGGGAAGGAAAAGAGTGTACTGCGAACTTCACCTCAGTCGAATTATGTTAATTGCTTTCACTGGTTGCCAAATGCTTCTTGGCCCTACCAATTTTTCGCAAAACGCTGCAACAGGTTTTTATAGGAACACTAACGGAAAAGGACATATGACTTTAATTAAACTGCATGACAGAACAATGGTCTTTCGAAACAATACTGAAATTTCTCGTGCGTATAGAGAACGTGAGCTGATAAGTATGTACTCTTATGAAGTATATTGTGGCAAGGTCGAGCATATGGGCTTGGTTCGTGGGGAAGAAAGTAGACACACTGAAAACAATCACTCTGAATGAAAGTGCAGAAACACTCTTATAAGATGAGAGATGATAAGACGGCTAGGAGATAGTCATAAAAGGGTTATTTTGCTAGACAAATGCGCATTCTCGTGACACAAAAATGATACTTGTACGACATTCTATTCAAATTAGAGCGACAAGTTTGTGACAAAGATGATTAATGGAGGCACACCGTATCATCTTGTCATTGACGTTTGAATAATTCCCTAAGATAGCATAAAGAAGTATGTGTGAGACATAATCATGCTAATTTTTGCTTATTCGGTCGAAGATGCTATATTTTTTACCGATAAATGGTGATAATACCTTTGTAAAGGCTCTTGCGCAACCCGCATGCTTAGCGGCAGTTGTCTTGCGCAACCGCATGTTTTGTATCTTCATGCAGTACGATATTAGGCCAGTGTTTTGAATCATATTTGCAAAACGTGCCGTTTGGCAAGAGCCTTTAATTACTTTTACTGTGCAGTGCAGCGCATTAAAAATTGTATAATATTTTTTTCTGGAAAAGCATCACAGCTATAAGAATGTGAAGAGGCTGACCAGAAAGAGTAAGCGAAACTTCCCATTATCACGATTTACAGGCATTTCTTATGAGAAAATGCTGATCACCTTTAGAATGCTGAGAGTTCATTAGATTGTGAACTAGTTGTTGGTCAATTCGAAGTTGGAACTTTTGATGTTTGGAGCTGGATCCTGTTTAATTTTTCAGCAATGACTTAGGAAAATAATGTAGTTATTTACTTGATTCACTACCTAACAAGAGCTGTTTGCGGATTCAGTGGCGAAGTGCCTTTTGAAAATGCTGGTACTCATCATATTTTGGCGGCATGCGGGCATCTGCTGCCCTTCTTGTAGGTGTTTGCAGCACTTACGTGTCAGCGACCTGTTCAATAGGTCGAGCCTGATTTTCGCATAAGAGCACTGCAAATATATGCTGACATTTTAAGAACTTGTTCATTTAGGTATCAAATTTTTCTTTTGCTTTTAACCATGTTTGATCAGCCTTTTCAAACCACTTGTTGCGATGTGCTCAGATTCCCATTAGCTAGCCTCGCTTTTGTTGCTTCAAAAATCTTTATATACCTTGCCAGCCTCTAGTTATTGCTCTGTTTGCCTAGACAGTCTTGATACTAATGTAGTCTAAGATCAGTGACGTCAGAGGTCGTGGTTTTGGTCTTTAACGTAATGCAAAAACCTGAATTATAGTTAGTTTCAATAATGAGACTGTTTCTTCTTCGTCTCATTTTGTTTCTTTGTATCGAATTTACTTTAAGATAGTTTTTATGATTGTAGAATCTCGAAACTGTATTATATTATCGTAGTGAGACCTTCAAATGCTTTTGTTCTTGGCATTGTCTACCGTTGAGAAAAATGTCAGTAAAATATATATCCAAAAACATAACTTTGTAGATACGATTGATAAGCACAGTTCTTTTCATTGTGAATTGAGCGAATCTAGTTCTCAAGGGAAACAAAGATAATTGTTTTGAATTAACCTTGTGACGCAGATATGCTTCATTTTGCACTGATAGACACAATACAAGCTACAATGCGCAATGTATTTTTCTTCATCAATTTTTTCCAAGTTGCAAACGGTATATGCTTGTAGATATTTGTAGCCCATTTCTGCAACGTTCCTACCAAGACGTTTGTTTGGATTTATGGGGGTTCGCTCAGACACTTTGAGACCTGTATTTATATATATATATATATTTGTATTCATGTTAAGGCTTCAAAGTAGCTTGTCAAATGCCCAAGTTGGTTCAAATGCCTGATGCTGCAGCACAAAAAATTTTGAACAATTCTTGGCGGTTCAAAACTTGAAAATGGCTTTGAAAAAAGGAAACATTTCACAGATACTACTAAAAGCTTTTTCGTCTGAAGCTCCTCGGCGTATAAGAATCAGTGGCGGACGGCAAGGAAGGCGGTCGCCCCCCCAAATATTTTGGAATAGAATGGTCTTGTGTTCTTAAACAATTGGAACATGTGATGTCATCTTATCAAAACAATAAGCTGGCCCCCCCCCCTAATATTTGAGCAAGTGTCCGCCCCAGATAAAACGTCAGAACAAGGGTCCGAAAGAACACGATGGAAAATATATATCTAGTTGCGGATCGAAATAGGGCAGTCAGAAAAACGCAAGCTCATGATCGGCGTAGTTGTCCAGTCAGTGCTGTGTGTCTATAGGTAAACTACCACTGAAGTCAAAGAGAAAAAACGAACTCCTTCTGTCTACATAATGACGGCTTTTTCGTTCGTATGTAGATCGATTCCAAATCTGCTAGATGAAACTGCTATTTTTCCTCGTGTTTTTTCGGACCTTTATCCTGACATTTTTACTCTGAGGTGTGTCAAACGAAAAAGCTTTAAGTAGTATGTTCTGAATAGTTTGCTTTTTTCAAAGCCATTTACAATAGATTCTCGCCTATAATTATCTGGGCCTACTTCAGGAATGGGCCTAATGCTGCAACACTAATAGCACCTTGATCCGGCCTTTCAAATAGACACATCCATCTTTAAAGCCAAAATGTTCAATGATATGAAATAGCTGAAATAGATTTCTTTGTATAAAAGTTTTTACAACTTAGAGTACCTATTTATGTGTCGTAAATATTCCCTGTTATAAAAATGGCGTAAATCGCAAAATATGGCCAACAATTCTTGCTTTACAAGACCCATGGAGCCAGCTCCTTATGTATGCTGTCATATTCGCAAGTTTAAAATGTATATGGTTACAATATTGAGGCTCATAACTGCTGAATTCAAATCAGAAGAGATGTTCAGATTCGTTCTTTGTCAGCAGAGTTATCTGAGATGCAACTTCAACAATATTTATACTTAGAAAAATACTACATGAGATTATAATCTTGTGTTTTTAAAAATTTTACGATACTGCAATTGCTTCTTTTCTTCTTCATTCCCAAAAAAACATTTACTCATTTTTTCGTTTAAGAATAACTTAACATTACATTAAAATTTCAAATGGATTTTTTTAGAATACCTAGGCATAAAAATTCGTGGATCCCATCTACCAATATCAAATCTTCATTTTTTTGCTAAAAAGGGATTATAAAATTTGAAATTAATCTATGCCAAAAGTCTAATTTTGTTTGCACTGCCAGGCAGCGAATTACTCTTCTTTTGAAATTTTTTCTCTTCTTATACATTTCAATGAAATTTTCCACTGTTGTTTCCACTCTACGTTACCGGTCGAATCTTTAAGAATATCTCAATATTCAAAACGTAGTATCTCGCGACCGAACAGTCAAAATGCCATGAAGTTTACGGTACAAACTAATTTCAACCCGACGATTTTAAATCTGACGTCAATTCTTGAAAAAGTTCTGCAGGTAGCGAGATACAAATTCGATGACGTCAGATGGGATCAACGTAAATAAGGAACTCTTATAAACATAGTTTGGTATGGTATATTTCCTTTTTGTTGTAATTTGTTGGCTTTTCTTGTTTCCCTTGCAGACATCCTTGTGTCCCTCCATGCATAAATTATATTTATTGGGTCATTTTGTCATTATTTCCATTAATAACCAACGTCTGTACCATTAAGTATTTATTATGATTCCTGTTCGGTGCACCTAGATTGTGTTTGTGTAACTTAATTTACAGAAGAAGATTAACTTATTACAGAAATGCGTTATTTGTGCTTGAGGAACAGTTCTTTCCTTGACAAATTCGTCTTCTGTAAGTGTTTTGCACAGCATGGCATCAAGGTTTTCGAGAATTTTTTTAATTTCTTAAATCCATTGCCCATTATTTTCATGTAGTACTTTGATGACTATAAACAGTTTTGTGGCACCCCATGGACGCCAATCAAATATGTATATTACCGCGTTCATGTTGAAGCAAATTGATCTGTTATAAATGTTGAAATCCTGATTCGCAAACGTCACAGTAGCTGTAATCCTATTGAAGTCTTTCACTTGCTGGCCACTTTGAGGACGTTGCGTGTCAGGAGCGCTGCGTAGCAGCCAAACGTCATATCGATTTGTACAGTGTCAATCAAGTCAAGAAGTGGGTGTGAAAATGCAGCTCTTTGTGTTGTTGAGGTGATTGACATTTCAATCAACGCATAATTTCGCTTCATAAATGACATGTCAGATTGGTATTTCCACTAGAGCTTCATCTCGCATTTGTGTAAGCTTCGCAGTGTGTTCGCACACAATCAGACTCGACTTGATCCGTACTAAGATTACCTAAGATTCACACTGCGTTTAAAATTGTAGACTTTTAAAGTTAAACGGCTTATTAAGGTATTCGTTAAATCGGTGTTACCTGGTTCAATTAGAGTTTAACGAAACTCTTATCGCTGCCTGCACACTGGTTGGCTACTCCATTTACAGTTACGAGACTGCTGTAATAAGCCGCATTCTGTTCACAAGTTTCTCTGCAGAGGAGGACAAGGCAGCCATCCAGCATCTTTTTTGTGGACTTCATTTTTAGCTTCTGTCGTTCTTTTTTCACCTGTTAGTTACCGCCATGGAGCGCGTCGGAAAGCCAAAAAAGCTACGTTCTTTCTTTGTCGAGGATATACTGGAATTAAATAGAAATGATAAATTTTGCGAGGAAGCGTCAGCTGATGAAAGCGCACATCAACGCAAGGAATCCAAGCCCAAACAAGATTTTTTTCCAAGCAGTTTTCGAGAAGATGTGTCAATTACGTCGAGACTGCCAAAATGCAGCATTACTGAGACCAAGGAACAATGTACTGAGAGCCTAGAGAGGAAGGGTGAGTCGATTTTCATTCTATCTAAATGTTGTTTTTTTCCTTAACTGTATTGCTCTTTCTTTACATGTTGCGTATTTTGCCATTAAGAAATAAGAATGCTCAAAGATCTTAACGAGATTTCAGGATGGGACTGTATTTGTATTATACCAATTCACTTAGCCGTTCTGCAGTTCAGCAAACACGTTTTACGTGAAGAGTGTTTGCTTTGGTTTGTGTATGCAGTTGCTGTCCATCCTTTTACTGTCTATTCAACAAACGCTAATTTGCCGTCCCAATAACTTCCACTATGCAAAGCTAGAGAAAACTAGCATTTTGCCTCTAAGTTAAGAATCATCAGTGATGAGACCACATCAGCCTTTGTTGTTTTAGATAGTGGCCAGCTTTCACTTGTAAGTGGAAGAATATGACCTAACTGGGTGCATTTAAACTTCCTGACCAATCACTGAATATTTTGGACTTAAATTCATGTAAATAAGCAAGATGTCACAGGCCTATATTTAATCATGGTTTCACTTGACTCATAAAACAAGGGGAAGCTCCTACTAGCTAACAAGGCCGTAAACATGCCTGTATATGGTTCAATATTGCTACTTTTCTGTCATTCTTATAATAGAGTTTCCCCTAATCTGGATAATGTACGGATAACAGACAGATGATTGCCAAATTTAGCTTTTTTGATTTTCTTGTTTACAAGTGTCTTAACGGTGTCTGTTGCTTATTTGATTTGTTCAAAAATATTCCGAATCATTTCAAGCAAACTAGCCCAAAAGCCCACATGCAATTTTTATTAGAACTGGGGAATATTTACCTTTGTTTTCTTATATTAGGCAGGCGGGCGTTGCTAAGCCCTGCTTTCGTTTTTAGGCGCTACTTAATTGTTTGTTGAAGAATCTAGATCGCTAGTTGCTCAGACCCGGTTGAGATCCAAGATGCAAAAATGCGTAGATGTTTTCTGACCTTCCAGGCTTGCCATTCTCTTGAATGTGGCGTGATAGGTTGATAAAGTGTTAAGCATCAACACTCGAGAGCAGCTACTCTCATTTTATTCTGAAATTAGGTATCTTTCCATGCTGCATCTTGCATTTCTGGTTTTTTTATAGTTTCCTTCGCTAAAGAGCCCCACATACTCTTAACAACAGTGACGTCACTATTGCAAAATCTCCTCTTAGTCAACCAATGCAGCTGCGCTCCTCAGCGCCAAAACACCCTTTGAAACTAAGCATAGATATCTAAAAGAATCGAATTTTCTTCTCGGTGTATAATAGTAAATGTTGGTCCTTAGGCAGTTCTGATATTGCGGCGTCTACTGAAATTGCCTAGAAAAGCAAATTTTGAGATTTAATGCATTTAATTTTCCCGCTTTTTATAGGTATTTGATTTGTTTCGCTCTGTTCTGCCGGAATTAAAACAGTTCTGCTGGTATTGTTTCTACATATGTTTTATGATTCAATCTCCTTGTTTGAAACTTTTTCTCCTAAGGCTAGAACTGAAGCCATCAGCCAAACAACAGCTTCGTACTTCCAGCATCATACTCCCAGCACCGTCTACCTTCTACTCTTGTTTATTCTTCAAGGGCGAGCTAGCAATGAAAACGTTTTAAAGATTAGCTTCGTTTTTAAAGTGAAAAGGACCTGGAAGATGATTTCATCCTAACAGCCATAGGCGTTTTACACTCTTATCAATTCAAAACACAAGAAATTTAACCAATGAATAGTTTCAAAAAGTCTCTATGGCAAACACGCATGGCAGCCTTCTTCCACACGTCTGATTTTCGTTATATGCTCAAAATTCGTGCGTATGCATCCTTTTCTCAATATTGCATCGCCTCAAGAACTTCTAGCTCTCTCAATGCTGTTTGCAAGTGATTGATAACTGTTTATGGGTAGTTTTTATGCACCTATACCCCAGGTCTCAGTGCACTAGGGAACTCCAAGCAAACAAACAGGCAAGAATATAAATAAGGCACCAAGGATATTATTAACTTTGTCAACTAATTTGCATAGCCTATCCCAGTTTTGCAGCTGATTTGGGCCTTAGGCACTTGGCTTGAACTTTCATTCACAAAATGTGGAAATATCATGAGGTAGGATATCCATAAAGAATAGCTTTTTGTTGAATATAATAAGATCCCCATATTTTCTCCAATGTTTTCAATGTTTTGGTCAGAATCACAACAATCACAAAATTGTTTACCCCAAAATGAATTTTTAATTGCTTGTGGTATCTTCAAAGACCTGAAGATACCTCCTTATTTGGATTCACGTTGACCAAATTGTTGGTCTACATGGCTAAAGCTGACCACCTAATTCGCTAAAGAAGGCAGTTTTTCCAAGGATATTCTCTTGCATGTAAACATGGACATTTATAGTTAACCTAAATGTTGATACTTCCGAAATATTTTGAGCTCAAGCATGCTATTTGACTAGTGCAGCAGATGAACAACCATAGTTTTCTTTTAGCGTTGAGTTCTGTTGTTTCCGGCGCATGTTACTGTCTGTAATGGCAGCAAACACGGGACCTAGCGTCACTGTTTACACCACACGGTATACACGCCTTTCTGTGCGTGTTTCTATATATTCCAAGGGTCGCACTTAGGCTAGACTTCTTCAGGAGGGGGGTTGTCTGTTTCCTATTGAGCTGCCGGAATAAAATTGATTTCAAAGCTTAAAAAGATAGCCCAGTAATTCTGCTGATGTTTATGCAAGCTAGTTTATTTTGAACCCCATTTTACGGGTTATTTGTCCCCACCCCCACCTCCTATCAAATCCACTTTTACAGGAACAGATATAAATTTATAAGTTTGCCTTTCGCTCGTTTTGTGAAAACAAACACACTTTTGCTGTTTAAACTCTCTTCGTGTTTTCATCAGAGAAAGTTTCTCAAGCCTAACTTAAACATTTTTTAAAGTTGAATTATATGAACGGGTCACTAGATTTTGATTCCTAGTACATAAAAGGGTACCTTTCGGATGTTGCACGCAAAAAGAAACCAATTTGCCTAAAAATCAAAGTAACATGCATGGTACTTCACTGGCCCTTATTCTTTTTGTTCTATCAACTTTTAAGTTTTGTGCAATTTAGAGATTCTGTATTCTTATTATAAAACACTGTTTTAAATAAAAGTTTCAAATAAAAATTGCCAGAAACTAGCAATATCGCTAAATATCTTAGGCGATCAAAAGCCAAGATGAATCTAGGGAATAATAAATTGTTCGTCAAACGAATTTTATGTGTATAACAAGTGACAAGCAAACAGCGTAATCAACTAAAATTTTTGCGAATAATGATGTTTCAAAGGAAAATTTTCATTCTGTATGTTAAAAATGTTCAATAGATATGGCAGATTCAGATGTACATGTAATTCCGAAGCGTCAACAAGAGTTTAGTGATTTTTCTAGAATTTATCTAGGAAGAAATTCGCCTAATATTTGGAAAACAGTAAAAGTTTTGTTTAGTTACTTTTGATTAGACCTCGAAAGGAATTTGAAGTGGAATCTGCGAGATCCAGAAGTCTTTTAAGAATGTTTGAAGAAGTTGAGTCTGTTAATTTCAGAATCAAAGGGGGCTGTGCAGATATGTTATTTAAATCAAAAAAGCAATGAAGCAGAAGAAAAGGACATTTTCGAATATGTTTACCAACGTAATTAGATATATGATAAAACCATCTTGCTTTTGATTTGGCTCAACAAGCTTTCATCTTTATGTGTTTGACGATTGACTGCTTCGCAAACTGTTTCACAAAAACGGTGCCGTCGACAATAAATACACTTGTTCAATGTTTGGCCTGCTAATTATTTTCTTTGCTGGTTTAGCTGTTAACATGGCACGTTGGGAAAATTTGTTTGACAATCATATTTCCATACGATATTCCACTGTAATGGATTGATTTTCCAGAGTACAAAATACACACATTTACTTATTGATTTTCATTCTTCTGTAATTTAAGCTTAGCAGATTAAGTTGTGAATATAATCAATATTGGTTAGTGTGTAGGAGAAGCACGCCTTTCTTCTCTGTTGATAACACTATGTATCCTTATGTCGTTTAACTCCTCCAATGCTGCTTGGCAGCCATTTACACAGGGCCGTAGTAGCTATGAGGAATAGGGGCTTTAATCTTAAGTGATTTCTCACAATAATCTTAGGAGAAGAGATAATTTCTTCATATTTCCCTATTTATTTTGTAGATAATAACGGATTACATAGTGATATTGATATAGAACAAAACACTGAACATTTTCAGGGAATTTGTCCTTCGCTCCCATTTTTACCATTATACTCCGAAAAATATTGCTCTTCTTACGGCCTTACCTTTGCTGCAAATCTGCCTGTCAAGCAGAATATGTAAAAATGTGAATTTTTGGTATATCTTTACTGTCTTTTGCCTCAGCAATGGTTTAATTCTTTTTTATGGTCTTTTACATGATTTAATGGCACCGCATTCATAACCCATTAAACCTCAACGTTGCCTCGGCATTTATTTTATAACGGTCATAAGGCTGCTACTAAATGAAGAAGGAAAATTAAGCTTATATTTTCAAATAGGCCAGTAAAATGATTTCTGTTTTTTGATGAAAAGCGACTTTGTTTAGTTTCCTTAAAAATCTTTTTCGAAAGATTCTTAACTCTTGGCAAAACAAATGAAGGGCAACCAGTTTTGAACATTGAGGCTTGATGCCAAAGTTTCTGACCTGGAGAAAAATTGAGATACTAGAGCAAAAACAGAAAATGCGATATTAAGAGAAATATCAGATTTACTCTAGATTTTCTTTTTCCACTTGAAGCTTTTATGTTTTGTTGAGTAGACAGAGCCAAAACTTTGAAATTAAGTTCACAGTGGCTCCACTTGAAAATTTTCAACGCTGTTCAATAGATAGGCATCTGTTCCATGCGTTTTGATTAACTTTTGAGTTCCTGTTGGTTGTCAGCCAACACTTTTAAAGCTAGTAATGGAATATTCGCACCTATGTTTTAATATCATAAACAAAATAGGTTCATGTGATGTGCTAAGCATTCAATGAAAATAACATCTTTCGCTTAGATCCTGTCCGCGCCTTTTTGGAATTGACCTCAAACGATTTCGTGTTCTGTGACAGGATATCGCATGAGATTTGTGTAAGTTCGGAATTTTAAGTTCATATCAACGCCAATATCCTAAACCTTTTGGCACATTTTGATTGTCCATTTTATTGTTTATGTTAGCCAAGCGCCCAAAACGTTCAAGCTTGACTACCATATTTCCGTCTATGTGAACAAATTTCAAAGGGCTCCCTTAAATAATGTTGCTTTCTTTTTATCGTCTGGTTAAATACAGTTTACAATTTACTACAACAACAATCGATACAAATTAATATTTATAACGATCTTATCCAATTTATTAAAATTTTGAGTATGCGAGTTCTTTTCCTACCATGCCAGTAGTTTTCAAACCAAATAAAGGACTTTTGACTAAGAAAGTTTGTATCAAAGAGGTTGGCCCATAGTGCCGTTTCTAAAACCTCCCCTCTCTATATTGAAAAGCTCTCAAAACGATCGACTCAACTTCAAAAGTGATTTTATTACAAATTTTCGTTATTTTCGTCATTTTCTGCATTTAGTTTGCCTACTAGAATCCTTTTTGATAAGCTATGAAATATCACAACTATCGATTGTTGAAAAATAAATTTTAGCAAAGGAAGATTTATTTATTTTGTCACGACTTACGAATTGACATTTTCACAGTCATGTATAGAAATTATTAGAAACATATGAATGGTTTGAAAAACGCAAGCATCACACTTCAGCTTTTCGTCTGACACTCTTCAGAGTATAAAACGCCGGAACATAGATCGAAAACACTGCGCTAGGAAATATATATACTTCAAAATAGGCCAATCAGAAACGCGAGCATATGACTGTTGAAGTTGCCCAATCAGTGTCGCTTGCCTAAAGAAAAAGTTACCAATGAAGTCCAAAGGTGAAAAGAAACTGCTTCTGTCTACATAAAAACGCATAATGAAAATCAGTTAGAGATAACATATTGGCAAGAGATTTACTCAGTTGAAGTCAGTCCCATTTTTGAATGTCAAAATGCATGTACGTCAAAAAAAAGTTTTGAGAAGGATTATCCCATTGATACACTGTAACGACCAAAGAGTAATATAAATTATCCACGTGTGCTGTAGAAAGTCTGCCAGCAGGTTAATTTTGACAAATCATAGAAAATTTTGTGATAGAATTCTCGACCCGGATGTGGAATTGGATTGTAAAATTATCATATATCCGAACGTGACTCACAATTTTGTTGTGATGATAATCCATTAGCAGGTTCTTTCAGCTTCTAGTATCGTTTGTAGACTGGTAAAAGATGATCATGAATTATTAGTTAAGACCTGTTGATTTGATCCTGGTAATTTTATCTTGGATCCTCATGCTTTTCCAAGTACACCCTTCCAGCATACAAAATCATCTTCACAAATTAGTTACTTCGACTGTACCCTGGGTACCAGACTCAATATATATAAATAAAAGTGAGTCTGGTTCCCAGGGTACTTCGATTGGTGCCTATGCCACCTGGTAGTGAGCTTCATCGCACCCAGTTTTCAATAGCTTTTTCGATCTTCTGATCTAATAACACACCTTCAGTTTCACAGTTTGTTCTAGCTAAAAATTCTCGTTTGACATTCTTTATTTTCTTCGGTTCCAGGGATTTCTCCCAGTGAAGAACACATATCAGAAGACGAAGATGACGCAATCACGTACTCGGATGAATCTGATAAAGAAGGTTCGAAGATAAAAACAAAGGGTGGAAAAGAAACATCAGTAACATCAACAACTGGAGGAAAGAAACGAAGAAGAAGAATTCTATTTACGAAGGCGCAAACGTACGAGTTGGAACGACGTTTCATGCATCAGCGTTACTTGTCTGCCCCTGAGAGGGAGCAGCTAGGCCGCATGATCAACCTTACAGCAACACAAGTAAAGATATGGTTCCAGAACCACAGATATAAGTACAAACGGCAAAAGGAAGAACTAGAATGCGAGCAGGTTTCGCAAAAATATAATATCGACTCACTGCGTCAACATCCCCTGCCTCCTATAATGCTCCACAGGGAAGACATTTACAGAGAAACTATTGACTATCGCTCGCTGAAGACTTCAGAACTACATCACAGCAATGGGTGCACTGTCGATTGTCACCATCCAATTGAACGATGCGCCTCAATAGATTATTGTCGACCTGCGTTTTATTCGGACGTTTGCAAATGCTGCTATGGGCACGACAGAGTCATTAAAACCCAGCATTACAGCTACCCTAGCCATCCGAAAATTTTACTCTGATACTGACAAACGGGAACTGCAAAGCTGTGCACGTTGCATATGAATTCACAGCAAAGTTTCCTTATATGTAAATGATAATTATATGTAATATCTGAGGAATTGTAAATTGGATTCGATGAATTATCTTATTTAGTGAAAAACCAACACGTACATGAGCAAGAGGTTACAGATTTGAAACGGGGCCTTCTGTAGATTTTGCTACACCGCAAGCCCTTCCGTCTTCCCTCGGGCCTTTTGCTCTTAGTATCGCTGTTGATAAATACCTAGATAAGGAGAAAATTACAATTTTAATGTCTTTATTGGCAAACATATTTGCTTGGTATACCCAAGTATGCAATTTTAGATTATGCTAGTTTAAGATGTTTGGGAAACCGGCAAACAGGGCCCTGGACACCTGTACTTTACCAACGATCTTAATATAATTTATCGCATTGTAAAAAATATGGCGGAGCGCTGGAATCGTGTTTAGGCTATTATTCCAGCTATTGTTCTCGTTAACCAATCCACAACGAGCAGATTGCCTTTAAAATGCAAAAGCCTGTGGTTTCATTACCAGGGACTTCAGCTAGCGGTTAGATTTTGTCCACTGCCACCCATTTTGCGAAACTACACTGCACTCAGTTGTTGTTTTTAATTTTATCAACCCTTTTATCAAAACTCTTGGAATTTGCCATCTATTTCCTGTTTAAATATTTGTCAGACTTTTTATGATTCTAAAACAAAACTTTATGGGTATTGCAAAGCAAGGAAACTTTGGTGTAGTTGTTATTTTTCAATATCATTTTCACTTGAAAATTGTGCAACATTTGCATTATATTCACCAGTTTTTCACTTAACATCACAGAGCTGCAAACACCAAATTTGCGTGAATTCCTGTAAATCATTTGCTTTAAATAGCGAACTGTAGATAGCACTTAATTAAGATGCAAATAGTCATATCAATTTAAATGAATGAATGAATGAATAGTTAGTCTGTTTTCTTCTCACCTCCATTTCTTCAAAAGTCCAACTCCAATATTTAACCGCTATTGATTTATCAGCGGCGCTAGCTAAGTTTGGAATAAAGTTAACACACAAAATGAATGAATTCCATGTTCTCTATCTATTAATGTAATGATTTTTAACCTTGTTAGGGACCTCATTTTGGTTTGTGACTGGAATAACGGTTGGAAAGTTTGATTTGTTCACGATACGATATTTTAGACTTCTTCATGTAGTTGGGAATCTGGTAGATATTAATTGGATCCATTTTAATACAATGTTACGCCTGGTGCAGATATCAAGGCTGTATATTCATTATGGATAGTTTCTACCTATTCTGACACTTAAAAGGATGTAAATATATCTATGTATATGCAGGGGAGGCTAAATAAAGATGGGAGGCTCAGATGAGGCTGATATCGAGGCCTTATCGAGATCAAGGGCCAAGGCTGCCTCAAATCACAGCTCTGATTTCTCTGACATTTATGTTACATACATTACGTTACGTTAGATATATTAGACTTAAAGGCATTTGACATGCATAAGTATAGCGAATCCAAAAATAACTTAGGCCAAATTGATCAGAGCATGCGCACAAGAAAGGTATTGAAAACCGCTCACGTGAAACCACTGCGGAAACTGTTCACGCGTTTTTCTCTGTGCGCAATTTGATTAGTCAACCGCTCGTGGTCGAGTGGCTGTAAGCCACTTTTACTTGTGTCAAATGCCCCAAAACCAAATGCAAACATTTTCAAGCTAGAACTAGTTTTTAAGCTAACTCTTAGGCTGGGCTGCAACTGAAATGTATGTAGATTTTGATTATATATTGACATTTGTATTCAGACAATTAGGCCGGGATGATCCATAAATGTATAATATATGCAAAAGCAGCTCCACAATAGTGTTACTAGGTATTCAATGAAACAGTAAATTAAGCATATGAAATAGCTTGAATCACTGGATACAGCTAGTTTAAAGTCTTTTTAAGCCTTTTTTGGTTAAATATATTTAGGAGTTGAAATTTCAACGAGTTTTTAGAGTCAAGAAAGTATTCAAACTGTTCTCCGCGAAATAGGGACCGCGCACCAGTCTAAATGAAGGAGGGCTGAAAAGGGCGTGACGGAAATTTTTTTGAGGCCACGCCCACTAGAGCGCCGAAAAACGCCCCTTTTTGAAAATACTGGCTTATTTCTACCAGGGTTTTATAAACAATCTGGGTCAGAGAAGATATAAATAGCTATAAAAATAGATAAAATTAGTTTGGGGATAATAAAACATCAAGAAAAACACCTAGAAAAATGAACAAAAAGGGTTCCCAGTTAAGACAAACTGCTACTACTTAGGATTATACGATTCAATGTTGCGTTAGAGCATAGTTAGAGTAAACTTGTTTTCTAAAAAAAAAGTTTTCTAACCTATTATTGAAAAAAGGTGGAGGGGCTATAGCCCCTGCCAGCCCAATGGCTGCGCGGTGCCTGCCGTGAAATAGACTTTACTTCTTAAACATTCCCTTAGAAAAACCCTAAAGTAAAACGGGGTTTAGATATGACAGTTTCGTTTCTTCTTATTTCATTTTGGTCTACTTCACGGTTAATGACAATGTGGCAGCCACGTTGTTCTGTGTTCTGGAAATCTTAATTGCTAATTTATGAAAATAAAGTATGTCAAGTTTAAGCAGTTTATAGATGTGTTAAGATGAGGCCAAAAACTCAATTATTGCACTGAAGTACAGCATAACATTAGATTAAGACACGTAATAACGAGATCAGACATCACATCGAGGTTACTCTTGGTTAGTCCAATTATTCGAAAGATCCTTTGATAGAAGTCACAGACTCTTCATTCGGAAAAACTGTTCTCAGAATCCACAGCAGCCGTTAGTTGGCAGCCATTCTTAAGTAGCTTATCGAAGCAAAACGTTCACTAGTTCCTATCGCATTTATGGGATTGTCCCATCATCACGCAGTACTTATAACAAACCGCTTTTAAGAAAAGAAAGAACTCTTTTAAAAGTGACTGGAGATTAGCTTGAATTTAAAAACGGTTTTCATTATATGCCATGTTCTATATTATATTTCGAAAGTATTCATGTTTTGCCTGATGCAAACTCGCTTTGCACTATAGGTTAAGCCGAGACAAGAAATGTTTTCAATTAACTCTTACTACATACAGCATTTTTCCCAGACGTAGGAATTCTTTCTACACGTTTCAAAGCAAATTTTGTTATATAAGAATGTAAAGATTGCTAGTTATTGCCTGGCAAGTAAGGTTATGTGAACCAAAATTGTGAACGTTTTAAGGAGTTGGAGCCTGCTCTTGAGATTTTATGAGCCGGCTGCGTGTGCTTTACTTTCATAGAAGAATGTTGACTGGTCGAGTAAGCTGTGAATTTGTGACCCTTATAATTAGCACCGTTGCATCTATTTGTGCAGCTAATTGATCTCACAAAATCATGATTTGGAAAGGATCAACAAAACCAGATAGAATTACGCGTCCTTTCGAGTCATGAACAGGTTGCTGATCAAACTTTCTACCCAAAAACACATCTTATTCACTCCAACGTTTCTTTATGTTTTAGTCAATCGTTAACAAGCCATCAAAAGATGTGTCTCTTAATTAGAAAAGCAAAGTTTAAGTTACGTTGTAAATGGGTGTCAATGGAAAAATCGTTTGACAAATTGATCGATATTAACTCATCGTTCAGCTGTTTAGTTAAGGGAGTGGCTAACTCCACCTTGTTGTACACAAGTAGGCAGGTATTTGCTCTTGATTATCTCGAGTAAAGCGCATGTGTGAAACACATACTTTAATTATTTTGCCCTCTTATGGAAACATCATGCCACGTTTTACTCTTTTGTGCTAGAAGGACATTTCATTGCTTGCAGGAACAGAACCCGTTATTGACACAGATAACAACCCCCCCCCCCCCCCCACCTCATAATTGATATAATAATTTATGCTTAATTATTTAAAAATTACCACGCCCTGCATGTCCTTCTGTTTAGCATGACTTACGTTGCTTGTTGCTGCATGTAGAATATAGAGTCAAAAGGGTATCAATATTTCCTCCGTACAATAACTAATACTCTGCATACCTTCCTTGGAAAAACAAAGAAACAAAACTGGTGGTTGGGTGTGGCCCTGAGGTTTCTTTTGTTTTTATTGGCCTTCCTCACGGTCGTTGACCTTGTGATTGCCATGTTTTCTTGGCTCTGGTAAGGGGCCATGCTTATGGCAACGATGGTTGATAGAATGTCATGGTTTTTACTGTTACTGCTCCTTTTTAAGTGCATATTTTGTAAATAGAGTTAGCTGAATCAATCGTATAAAATGAGGATTGCAATTCATTTGTATGAGAGCAGATAAAATGGATTCAACCTGATTTTATACGTTTATATATTTAATATCAATAAGACTTAATTTTTGAAGCGTCACAGCTTCTTACCCCACTAGCCACTGCTCAGGCTGCACCTAAATTTAGCTCTTAGCGTTTCGTGCTTTATGCTCTGGCACCATTTGAGTGCCTCTTGGTAAGCAAAAATATACAAAGGATTAAGCAACTGCGGCTGAGTATGTTGAAGTGAGATTAAGTATATTGAGTTATAGCTAGTTATTTCTGGATAAAATTCACAGTCACGATAAAAACCGTTTAATGTCATACCATTCAGCTGATTTAAATTTTGCAAAATTGATTTGTTTTTTGTATTGATTGAATATACAGTATTTCTTATTCCTTCTGTTCTTGCAACCCTGGCTTAGACTAAGAGTCTGATTATAAATATTGCAAACTAGTAAGTCCATATTATAATGATAATAGAAACTTTTTTGTTAGTGTCTCTTGGTCAAAATGTTCGCCCCTTGCAAATCGTTGCCATGCTAAAGTTCCATAGTTGCTTGGTGTTGTTGTTGTTGTTGATTATCGTTGTTGTTGCTGCTGTTTGTTATGGCTGTTGCTGTTGCAATTTCTATTGTTCTTCTTTCTTTTCTTCTATCTTTTGATGTTTTCTCTATCATGTTCAGTCCACGTTCATCGGTATTATGAAAACTGATTCAAATGTTTATTATCATGATCGTGTTTTGAATGAAAATGTAAGAGAACGACGATACGACACGAATTGAAACTTCTCTTGCCAGAATGTTGTTATTTCACATATCAGATTTATAATTATGTACCATTACATCCCCATAAATAATTCAGCCTTCATTGAGACTAGACTTAATCGTGCTCTTTTCAATTACATAAGTCATGAAAGCAATCAGAAACCTATAAAAAGAAGAACCTACTTAGCTTAATGATGTGGTGATCGGACACACAGGTTGAATCCTATCTAAAATAAAGACAATGATTTCCTGTGAGATGGTTCTAAATTGTGTGTCTCTTCAAGCACCTTTTTGTGCATTTTTAAGTTGTTCATTTTTGTTGAGCTTCGCATGTGTCATAGTCGTTGTCGCACTTTCTACGTGAGTTTATTCGAATTTGTCGACCTCAGGCCATTTCGAACGACGCCATATCAAACCTTTTCTTTTGGCACTTGACATTGACACCCACAGAATACAATGGCTTCAACCAAATCTCAAATCCTAAGAACGCCTCCTTGATGTTCAATCATCTGGAGGATGATTCCTTCACTTATCTTGGTCACTCACTCTGATCATGGAGACATTACATCATTCATCTGTTTACTGTTTTCAATGATGTGTAATCATTTCGAGTAATGTGGGAAATTTTCCACAGCGACAGCAATATATTTACCAACGTGCCTGAATGTCTAGCATAATCTCTTGTTAGAAGACCCAGGCAACATTTCCAATGTTATGAAATCTTCAGTAAATTTTAAGGGGTTTGCCGCAACGTAGTCTTTTATGCTTTAAGCCCATTCTAGTGTTATGTAAACCTTTGTCGTGCCAGCTAAAACCTCGGAATCGTAGATTAAGAGTTACATATTGCTAATCTAATCTCCAATTGCTATTTTGCCTCGTTTAAAAGAGAGGTCAACTAAAGCCAGTCATCTCAACATTTTACATATGCGAATTCGATAGTTTAAAATATCTGGCTCAAAATTCTATGACTATGAGTAAAATGGGCTCAAAATATATATATTGATCTGCATGTAATATATCGTTGAAGAAGACTTAAATTAAATAAAGAGCACCAACATACGAATGTAAAAAGAAATGTCCCTCATCCTGAGAAAATTTTTATTGGAAACGTTGCAAACATTGTTAACACTCTGTACAAACATTTTTTACGTTCTTTATTTTTCTGCTATTTCTTCTAAGTTGATATTCTCTCCTACCAAGCTTTATGGAGGAATGTTTTTTTGCCTGGAAGCCCCTCAGTCGTTTTCAAGAGATAAAGTCAACTTCCATTAGCTTCCGTCTCATTTGAAAAAAAACAGTTTTGTCAACAGCTACTCTGCGACATGCGCACCTTCGATATGCCAAAGCAAATTTTTTTCAATGAAGTTTGAAAACTTCCCTTTAACAACAATTTGATACCACATCCTAATTTATCATACTTAATGTATTGATTATGTACTAAAAACAAAATTCTAGCTTGGGTGCTGTACAATGTAATAGAATAAATCTAGGAATTTAAGTAAAGTTGTACTAAACATCACAATGACTTCGTGTACTGCCCCCGGCCTTTTGTTATAACAGAAATGCCCCACCCATACTCTAGTCACCTTCCCCTTTATAACCTTTTTCAAATGTTCGATGGGAATTTATTGAAATCTGATTTCGCTCCTATTAACGCATTTTTATGTGTTTGGATAGCTAAGGAATGTCTTGAAATTTTACCAAAAGGTAGGATGAGTAGCAAGCTTGAAATTCTTTCACAAATAAATTGGCTAAGTGGAATTGAAAGGCATAGGTTGAAATTTCAGGATTCACTGCAAATAACTGTATTACGCTTTTATTGAAATGACCACCTTGCATTTTTATTTATTCTTAATTTCCTAACTTTGACTTAGGTTATGTCGAAAGCAATATTTCAGATGTTTTAAATTGCTGCCTCAAAGATTGAGATTTTTAAGCACGTATCCCGAGTACTATTAGTAATAACTTTCTAAATAACTACTCGACTTATTCTCTTCTAAGTCCCTCCTCCTGCATTGTTTGGGTATTTAACCTAATCCATGGTGTAACATGAAGTCAGACCCGTTTTTATCTCATATCTTCCAGATCCTTCTAGCACCTCTTTAAGCGTTTATACATTCTTAATGTCCTCATATGCTTGGTTAATAAATATTTTTCTTGACAGTTGCTCTGCCCTTTTCATCATAAGTTTGGTAGCCTTAAGCTTCTCTACAAATCACTCTTTTGGTGAGAATCTTAGTTTTTAGATGGATTGTTGGAAATAGTTTGATCGTCCTCCATTAGCAAGGAGTTGCTTGTATTCATCTTCTGTTGAACTAATCTTAAGGGCGCCAGAGGCTTTCTAGATACTCTCAACGTTAGATTTAAGGGATCCCAATTTCTTAAGTGGCTATCAAGGCCCTGTGCTTTGAAAAGTAAGCCAAAGTTAATTTCATGAATACGAATTTAAATGATCTCATACTTCTGAAGCTTGTTCTAGCGCCATTGCTTGCTGTGAGAAATGGTAAATAGATTTGTTTGAGACTGGTTCAGACTGTCTTCATCATCGTGAAAGATAAAATCAGGGATGTTGTTTTATCAAACCAAAACATGAAATGCTGGGGTCAAAATTTGTTTAGCATTTAAACTCCACGCTGTATTTGCTTTTCCATTGACTTGAAGCGCTATGCATTGATCACTCTGATAAAAATACGAGCTTCAAAGTTGGTTGAAAGTTTTCCTGGTTCTGATATAAAATGAGGTGTAATTAAATGCATAAAGTGTTCTGAATTTTAGACATTATAGTGAGTGGAACGTTATTATGCAGTATTTTATAGTAGACGCTACTAAGATATATTCATTAACTATAAAATTGACACAACATCCTTTTCATGTTTATTTTGTATCTTGCCTATCAAGGCTATTTTTCCATTTGTTTTTATTTTTTATGATATAAGAGAGTTGAGGAATAGTATCAAAAATATCTTTAATCGATTAATAAAATGGGGTGTGAGTGTAGGATCTGGAATGTGTACTTTCTAAATGATTCACCAGAATATACGAGTATTGTAGTATTTGATTGGTTACTATTTACATCCTAGTATTAGTAGTGACTGAGTCATCAAGTGAATTTCGGACAGAATCTGAGCTGCATGTATAACTTTATCTCCCACTCAAAATGCAGACAGAATACCATTCATTTGTTAACAGAAGAGCACACTGATAGCAACCTATCAAGTGTTTCTATCATCTCTCGTAAGAAGGGCATCACTTGAGGCTGAATATATAGATGTTACTTGTCATCGTAATGATCCAGTTTCAGATCAACTGGACAATGATGACATTTTCTTTCTAGTAAGCTGGCACCAAAGTACAGACTTTTCACCTTCTTCGTGGGAACTTGTGATGTGAAGGAAATATCGCTTTGTCTAGAAAATAGCAATTAATGATCTTCGCCATCTGAATATCCAGATGTTCACTTGTCAAGGCGTCATGTAATTATTAAGTACGAACAAGAGATATGGCAGTAACTATCAAGCTTGCTTTATGGTCTGTACACAGAGTACGTATTGTATAAAGTATAGTTTTAAAGAATATTGAAGCCGCCAGAATTTGAGATTAAACCAAAAATAATGGTTTAATCCAATTAGATGTGTAATTTTATTGTTCTTATGAGCTTTTCTGATTTTTTATCTGATTATTTATTTTTAATAATTCCCTTATTTTTGGTTCTAATTCTAGTCATGAGTGATTTTTATAGCAACTTAGTTATTTGTGTAGTCCTATCGGAGTCAAGTATGTAATCTATCGTTCTGTTTTATTAAGAACCCATGATTTATTTTGAATCTCCTCCACATCTTATCTCCTTCACATCTTAACAGTTTTCACGTTTGGCTTTGTTCATTGCATGCCCATATATGAGAATTCCATTACCAAACATTGAATTAACATTTCAAACGCACCATTTCAGTCTGCTAATGAATTTCTCACATTATTCCACTTGGTTTTCCACTTGTTCTTCCTTGATATCTCGTAAATATAATTTATAAATATATTGTGGCCCAAAATTGAAAATATTTAAGAATACCGAGTCTTAAAAAATATTATGGTAGTCCTATAATAAATTTTCTGTTCTGGTTTCTTAAAAATTCGTCTGTCTTGGTTTGGCACGTGTTTAGCTCTTCACCTGCCTACGCAATGGCTGAGTCTACTCGCAGCACTGTGGCATCGCCATGCTGCAGTATATCACTATGCATGTCAGTCTGCTAAGTATCTTAAGGTATTACGGATTTGTCAGAATGAAAACCTTATGGGTGGGATGGCTTGATAATCACATTATGGCGAGTATGATAAAGCAACAAATTCTTAGTGGTGCTTCGCAAATCGTCGATTCCATGATACCCACCCACCATTTATGTGGCATGGTATTACCTAATTTCATACCACTCATCGCAAACTATATTTTATCTTCGGGCTGCATTTCAGCTTTCCGCCATCTGTTCAATGACAGTTGCCCAGCCCCTATTTGTCATGATACTTAATTGATCTTTTTTGTTCGTCTGAATTTAAGTTCAATCTTATCCTACATTATTTTTTTTTCTGAATCATTGAAATGTTTTAAGAAACCTTTGCACAATTTAGGCTTACCCGAGGTATTTGCTCAGTGGGTCGATTTCACGAGACCTTTGAAATAGAGTCTACTATTTCTAGGAGGTGGGGTTGGTGGTGTGGGGGTAACTTGGAGGGCTAACTATGTTGCGTGACATACAGATGAATTGTCTCGGAAGGTGTTTAAATAATGTTTTAAGGACCACGCCCTCGCCTTTAGCAGGCCTTTTGCACTTTGAGGCGGGGGAGATGTCAAAACATAGTGGAGAGTTGAAAGAAACATAAATACTGCCAAATAACAATAGAAAAGATGGAGGCTCCAGCATGTACCGATCCACTAACGAGACAGCAATTAGGGTTAATATTACACCGTATAAAGGGCTAGCCAAGCAGAATAGTAGTTATGCTATTTCCTTCAAAGAAGAAAATAATATGGAAATTTGCCGAAAGTACTAGTTGAGTTGTTTGAAGTTATTTTGTACTGTTGAAGATTGTATTTTGGTAAATTGAATTGGCAACGGAGGTCTTAACGTCAGCTATTACGCAAATTTACGCACCCTTGCTCAATAAAAAGAACCATTTAAGCTATCAAATCGTTAGACTCGATAAAAAAGAAGTAAAATTTACAATATTCTATCGAAGAGCGTGATAAAAATTTGCATTTTAACTGTTGGTTTTAAAAAACAAGTTGTCTAGCTTATTTACTCGCATACGATTAAGGTTCCAGCGTAAAAAATTCATCTTTCAGAGCTTTTCTTTTATGGATATATTATTCATGCCAGAGAATATGTTTTGCTGCCTTTTAGGCTCCTGCGCAACCGGTGTGCTTTGCGACAATAATTGGGAAACTGGCGAAATATCGCGCTGCATGAAAATACAAAAAAAAATTGGACAGAGAACAATGAAAATAATAACTGCATTATACACACCCTACGTTGTCTTGTGGTGCTACATTGTCTTCTGTGTAAAGTTTTTTTACTTATCCCGTAATAATTTTAGAGCAAATTAAGAAAAATACACCCTTGGAATTGAGGGAAATTTACGACGCCCGTGCCAGCAAATATGGAAGTCAACTGGCTCTTATGTTAACTGGCTCTTATGATGAACTGAAAATAGTGTTTAAGGCAGTCAAAATAATCGGACTTTACTATTACGACATTTAATACAATATCATACACAATATCAGCATCTTATTATCTTTTTTAAGTTGGTGTCATAATTCTGAACCAGCATTTTCGCACAGTTATTTTCAAGCTGTAAGGTGACAAAATGTTTCCACGGTGTTCGGAGACTTCAAGATATTGCCTTCATCGAACAATATTGAACAGACGGCTGTTATTACTCTCCACTTAAAAGTGAATCAGTATACCTTACGTGTGAAGTGCGTAGTCTGATCTGTATCATTCAATGTCCTATTTGTCATTATTTCCCTTCGCTGACAAGACAAAAAGAAAAAAATAGTATCATTTTTACCAAACTGATCGTCAAGGGTGATTTTTCATTAGGTTGACGTTCCTTTCAATCATTTCATGTGGGCAGGTGATATAATATTGATCAGCTTTTTTGAGTAAGGGAAACCTGTCCACGTTTAAACGCTATCTTGTTTGTTAACGTTGTTGCTGTTAGTTAACGATGTTAAGGTGGTAGTTAAGATGATGATGGAGTTTGTGCCCAAATCTCCTTGCCAGTAAAAAAGGGTAGGCCTTTTTAGTATGAGAGATTGAAACGACCTCTGTTGGGTAGCCATGATCCATTTTATTTTTTTATTCTTGTGAGCTATAGTTTTTTAGATAAATTTTTCATGTTTTGAGGCCAGGGAAATTCCATTATGTTGACCAGAAAAAGTTTCTTTCTTGTAAAAAACGGTTCTCTGAAATCCACCTCATTTTTAAACATAAACGCCACGACAGATCCAGGAGATCTTTTGCTTCTTTTCAATAGTAAAGTTGGGAGCAGGATGTAACAAACTTAGTTTTTTGTCATATTTCTGCTCTAATTTGAAAATTACAACAGTATCGTCAACATATCGGAAATAAGCCGTTGGTTTTTTAGATTCGGTCAAAAAATCTGTTTTCGTAAAACCTAGCAAAAATCTGTTTTTGTAAAATCCAGCTAATGCATAAAGTTTCATAAAACTGCATTCAAATCCAAACACGGTATTTTTGATAGAATGTCTAATACCTTTAATGTAAAATTCGATTTTTTCGAACTCTATGTCCGATTTTCTTCCAGGAGATTGTTAAAAATGCCTCATGGAGGTTCTTCTCAATTTGAAGCTTTATGCCAATTATCAAATTTTCTTTCAGAGATTCTGCTTACTGAAGAAAGATTTCATGGAGGAATACACTCGTCTCTTCAAGGAACAGGTATACAATTTCACAATTTATCGTAGACTTACAAGATTTGACGTAGCCATCTTTTAGCATTATCCACTTAATCATACTTTGAACAAGAAAGGCTTGACTTAAAAGTTTACTAAAAAAGTCGAATTTTTTTGGGTTGTGTGATCATGGGGTGTGGTTGGGCGAACCACCTCTTTTGTTAGGTTTCTTTGCTTTTCAAATCATTTTTAAGAACATCTCTCGCAAATTTATTAACAGCTTGTATGCCAGTAATACTAAGAATGCTTTTAGGAGAGAATCTTTAAGACAAATTGAAGGGAGCATCTTAAATTATTTGTCGAAAGGCCTCGCTCTAGGCCTCTCCTTTATTCATTTTATCAAATGAAAATTACATTAACTTTAGGCAGCGCCGTCATGGAGTAACTGGCTACACCTGCTCCTCCCTTTACGCTATTTTGGTAAATGAGGTCCAATCCATAGGCGCCAAGACTATGGGGACTTTGGGGCTTAACCCTATCCCCCCTCCCCCACAAGCGTGATATTCGGGGTTGACAAATAAGTGTATGTCTTCAAAAAAACGAGTCATCCTTCATCTTGAACAGCCAAAAGCGCTTAGAGGTACCTATATAAGATGAAACACATCGCATTTTTATAGCATCATCTAAACTTGGGTGTGTTATAGCCGATTTTGTTGTTTGCTCTTGTTTCAAATGGCTGGACTTCATTTCTTAATGTCATGTACACAGTTGTAGGTGCCCTATATTCTATTGTAAAGCATAGTAAGATAGCGTATTTGAGAAAACTTGACATTTTCTTTTGCTTTCTGTTTTTACTGAAATTTATGATAAGCTGCCATTCTTTTATCGGTAGCAATAGAAAGTGAAAATCTGACGTCATGAAATATTCTTTTGGAATTTTTCATTTTGGGTCATATAATCTCAAAGAACACCATAAAATACCATTAAATATGCAAAATCTGTCGAATATGTCCTGAAATTTGCTGAGATATTGCCAATGAAAGATCTGAAGTATGCAAATAGATATCGGTTAACTTGGTTGTGTTTATAAAGTTTAGAAGCAATGCTAGTTAACTGTGATTTGATAGCAAAAGAACATGACCAAATTTCGGTATGTTTAAACCCAACTTTGTTTAGATTAGACTATATATCGATTTTCGTGACGTCATCACTTTCAAACTCAGAAATTTAAAGTTTGCTCTGTCAGTACAACTGTTTTAAATATGACTCCATATTTACCTTTGATGAAAAATAATGTAGAGTCTTAATAAGGGATTCTTTTGTCTTTCAGTATGGCATAATTCATAGATATGATACGAACAAACTTCGGAATGTGGCGAAGTTTTTTGGACATCTGTTGTATAGTGACGCAATACCGTGGACGGTGGGTACTTTTACTTATATTTGCTTCTTTTTTCGTTGGGACATTGTCCTTAATGTGCGAAGTTTTTCGAATTAATATTAATTGATGTGCCATTAATCAAAATTGTGGAAAGTTGCTGTTTTTATCAATGCGTTGTTTCTTTAGACAGCAAAATTATTGTAAGTATTTAGCAACAGAACCCCCCCCCCCCTCCCCCTTCTCTCTCTCTCTCTCTCTCTCTCTCTTTCTCTCTTCTCTCTCTCTCTCTCACTCACTCTCTCTCTTTAAGATTTTCACTTAAAACACCAAACTAGCTTTTGTCCTACTTACATTGTTTTTGTGAATTTTGTTATTAATTACTTTCCCTATTAGATTACTTTGAAAATAATCTTGCTTGAGCAAGTGAGAAAACTGTGTTTGCCACAAAACGAAAAAGTATATTTTCTGAAAAATTTTTCGAATAGAGAATATTCTAAAAGCGAATTAATTGCAAAAAGTTTTCTGTAAAAAGAGAAAAATTGCAAAGAATTTCAGAGACATGATTTTTTCCCGAATATTATATAAGGATAAAAAAGAATGAGTTACGGATAGAGGAAATGAGCTAGAAATTGTTTAACCTTGTAGTTTGCTAAAGTTGTAATAGAGGTTTCAGTATGAAGATGCCGGTCACATATCATATCAGATAATGAAGACTTTAAACAATTTGATTTGTGAGGGAGGGTGAAGCTTTCTACAGAACATCTTTATCTCCCGTATTTCTTAAAAAAAACTACATCTACATTTGTGGAATGATTTTTTGCGGCTTCGATTTGAGGGCGGCTCCTAATTAGCTACTTTCCCCTGCACATTATCCTTCATAAAAATCCCGTCTATTGCTGTGTTCGAGTTGCAATACAGCTATTGTTTAGTTAGCCTCGTCGCCTGTTATTAGCCTCGTTCCTAGGACTTGTACCCTATAATTCATAGAAAATTCCCTTTTCTTACAAGGTCTCTTTGGAACGTTATCAGTCGTTTCTGAAAACTTATTTTCTATGACTCTTTCTGAACTCTGCTTAAAGGTCGTTTACATTTATTTTATTGATCATTATTTTTGAAGGACAGCTTCTATTTACAAAATAATGTACGGCTTCATCTTGAAGTAATTCAGCCTTAAAATCATACAGTGATGTTTTCAAGTACGATTTATTAAATAAGCTAGGAAAACGGACGTGTAGAATTTACTTACGTTCAACTAGAATTTGTTTTTCTGCCTCTGAACGTAGATGTAGTACGAATTAATGGCCTGATTCGCATGCAGGTGGAATAAGCTATCTCACTGCTAAGCTGAGTGCAGATTTTATGTTAATAACATTAAAGTAATTTTTCTTGCAATGTCTTATTTTCTATTCAATTATGTTTTATGACCCGCGATTTGTTTCTAATTTAATGCTTGTATTGTCAAGCTTTCTTCTCGAGTATACTGTTGTGAGCAGCTTCCAGCCTGTGTGCTTTATTTGAATATGCGCAAAACGAACGCCACAGAAATACAAATTCATATTAGTTAACCGTATAGCTCAGTTATTTCACAAATATTTAATGTCTTTGGCTTTCTATTTGATTCCTTCTCACCACTCTCTTAGTAACTGTTATCTCCTCTGAGTAACTGTTCTCTGACGTCTAAACTGTTTCTTGATGTATTGCTTTCCAATAGCTTTTGAACAAATTCTTCAGGGCTTTCTTTAATTCCTGCTCTTGGCCGTTTTTTCCACTATCATAATCTTATCTTTATGTGTAAATTTAATAGCTCCAGCTTATATTCCAATTTCAATTTCAACTAGGGTGCCCACGTTTCTGAAGACGCTATTTTAGTTCTTTACATCATTGACCCGTTTCATCGTGTTCAAGATTTTTTCTATTTGAAGTATTACAGAAGTGGACCGCCATACTCATGTTAGATATTAGGTGGCGTGTGCTGAATTGATTTGGTTGCTTAAAAAACCCCTCATAGTCGCCCAAATTAAATAATCAAGAAGCTATGTAGTTTTTGGTCACCTGTACTGCCATTAAGGGAAACATGCAATTTAAACCGAGAGTGATATGGGGCAATTAGAAGTTTAAAAATTAAAGAATCCAGGTTTAGTATACTTTGATGTGATTGATTCTACAGATAACAGTTTTGGAAATCATGATAAATTAAACAGTTGATCTCATACAAGCTATGGTGTGCGGTGTGTATCCTTTCTAGCTTCTCGGCTTTTCAATATTTCAGCATAGTCAACATCATGTCACGTGATTAGCTTTCACAATTTCTTTAAAGGTAATGGAATGCATTAAATTGAATGAAGATGATACCACAAGCTCCAGGTCAGATGTCTAATTCTTTCCATGCTTTTTGACGTTTTTTGTGTGCATAATTGTGTATTTGAAGCCCTTCTGTGGTGTGTTTTGTCTCATCTCAAGATCTAGCAACTTTTAAAAAAGGCTCGTTCCCAAATTGCAAACCCAACTTTTCACCGTGTCAGCGAAATTTATTTCACAAACAAGCTTTCCTTCAGAATGGAAAGTCTTCAAATCTATTTTCGCTTCGAGTTTTTATTTTATTGGAGATTTTTTCCGATAGTTTGCCACTTTTATCATAAAACCCCCTCCGAATTCGACTATTTTGTTTGTAAAATGAATGTCCGGAACTATATGAATGTGAAACTCTTTGAACGCACTATTCGCCAATTTAGAGATTTGCTTCAAAAGAGGCTTTCACAATTACTGTAAAAACACAACTTTAGGTCACCTTGATCACTATTGTCAATACGCAGTCTTTAGTCCCTGTGACGATTAGTGACATCACCTATTCAAACACTCTCTGTTTCCACATGCTAAATTGTGAATTCTTTGTTTCCATTGATCAATCTCAAACGTAATAGTAGCTCATCGAAATGCATATTTTTAAATAATGATGCCGATTTTTTCTTGGCTGATTTTTTATTTTGTCCAGTCCTTGTAACAAAGTTCTCTGCTCTGGGGGCCTTTCTCCCAATATTTTGCGGTTTGTGCATAAAACCATTTGTAACATTCTCTTTTTATTTTATAGCCGTATTTTCATCAAGATACTGTTCCAGTGTATTTCAGAGTATTTTGGCATACCAAAATTCAATGAAAGAATCCGCGATCCGTATGTATTTGCTATATAGATTTTTGCTCTTAGTTGAGATTTAACCCATGTCTTTCCAATTTAACCTCTGTCCAGTCATCTCTACAAGGCTTGTCTTCCATGTACTAGGTCTTCATTGTCTTAGAGAATATTTACTGTCTCTGTAGAGTGGGGATTCTAAGCAACTAGAGAGTTTTTGGACTGTGATTTAGTTTGTAATACTTTTCCAGCCTTCTCTCTTTAAAGACATCTCTCTTTATATGATCGAGAACGTTTTGCAGGGATTTCCCAATATCACTGATTAAGCATAGCCACCCCGAGGGTAGACATTTTATTTTATATATATTTCTTACCATGTTTCGTTGACAATTTGTCATTGCTTATTTTGATGGCTTTAAAAGGGAGAAAAAACCAAATGATTTTGGCAATGATGTCCAGCCTCTTCAGGCACGGTTCTATTCAGAACACAAACTTACTCGTGGGCGTGCTGTCTAAAAGGATGTTTTTTCATTGTTCTAAACGGTATTTTCAAGGCGATATTACATGTGATCAGAGCCAAGCAAGTGCCATTTTAGCTGGAAGGGTACTTTTTTTCTCGTGATGAAAATGTGTAAGACGTAAATTGGTGTGTCATTTAAAATCAGTTAAAAATTTGGCAAGATTTTGTAAGAAATTTACAATCTTACCACTAAGTATTTAATACAGAGCAAAGATTGTAGAGCAACGTGGCATTCGTTGGAGAGGGGGTGTGAGGGGGTGTGGAGGGGGTGTAGAAGAGTGTTGAATGTGTGTAGATGGAACTGTGAAAACGCCTGCATGCACCTGTTTATTAGGTTTTGCTGTAAGACTTTGAACAGAGTAAAATACTATTACACAACATTGTCTCTTACATTGTTGAAATTCGCTAGTGCTATGTATTCAGATAATAGCTATTTTTTCTCGATGTTTGAAATTTACATTTGATGTTTGTTATCTTCCACGTCCCTTGGCCCGAAATCTGTCGTACTTCAATTTCGAGGGCTTATATTCAAAACCCTTCAATTTTTGTGTCGTAAGTGATATTTTTTTTCATTTCCAAGGGTACTGGCTCCATTTTTTGAAGGACTCTTTCCAAGGGACAACCCGCGGGACACGCGTTTTGCAATCAACTTCTTTACAGCCATTGGTCTTGGAGGACTTACGTACGTATATTCTGACTTTTTTAATTCAATTTTTTCCTCAATCATGACTTCACTGATTTGGCTGTTATCAATTCGTTTTTGAGGAAGCAAGGTTTGTTTTTAATTTTGAAAGCTAAGTGAGATTAGAAGACTGGCACCATAGGCAACCTGGACGTTTCTTCGTTTTTTCGAACTTTCAACCAGAAGAAAAATCCAGAAGATTCAATTGTGTCTTCACTTTTTTTCGAATACAAAGTTGAGGCAATATGGAAAACGAGCTTATGAAAAGCTTTTCTAGGCTTTTAGGCTTTTATTAAATACCACAGATTTTATTTGTAGTGACGATTTGAGGGAACATCTTAAGAATGCACCAAAGAAAATGATGGCAAGGCAACTTGATGCTTCTTCCAGCGATTCGAGCGAATCTGAAAGTGAGAGTGATTCTAGTAGTGACTCTGACTCGTCAGGTAGGACATTGATACTTCTTCTAATGACTTTAGCGACTTAGTGGCTGCGGGACCCTGAAATTGGCTGTCTTTCTTGTTGTAACTCAGACTTCTGACATTGATTCTTTTTCCATCCATTCTACCACCTTTAGTGAGTTCAGCGACTTTAGTGAGCCTGTAAGTGATTGTGTCTCGAGTAGCGACTCCGATTTATCATGCTTCACTTGATGCTTCTTCTATAGACTTAAGCGCATAAAGTAACCTTGAAATGTGCATTGATTGAGTAGTGACTCCAACTAGACAAGATGTTGATTCTAGTCTTCTAGATATGATACCAAACCCTCTTTATGGGCCCTTTTTGCTGAGCAAGGTATCCATTTTTTTTAGTTTTTCTCCATATGATGCCTAACACGAAATGATAACTCAGTGCGGTTACTAACTGTCACATGCGACTGCAGTTTCAGAACTTAGTTTTTTTCATGGTTTTCCCTTTTATTTTTCGCAAATATCACCTATTTATCTACTTTTGTAGATGCCTCCTCTTCTGATTCTGACTCATCCGATTCTGAAGCCGTCAAGAAAAAGTCAAAGCCTTCCAGGTAATTACCAAATACCAAACGTTCCAGCCACTTTTGCCACTATCTTATACCATTGGTAGAAATGGCTAACATGCCTGTAAATCTTAGAATTTTCTTTTTCTTAAACAATTTAAATCTTTTGTAGAACAAGTAAACTGTCTTTTGTAATCGATTCACTGATTCAATTAGAATTTTTCTTCTCGTTGCTATCCCAGACAATATTTCAAAGACAACTTTATTTTTATCTCTCTTTCAACTGCATATTTCAGTTCCAATGCTTTTGTCTCTTAACATCACTTGATATCTGAAACTCTTGTTGTTTAGTTGCCCAACGGTTGTTGTTTTGTTCTCCCTGGACATTTTTTGTACTTAATTGAAGTTTAGTTTATATTCGTTCTACCTGTTATATTTTCTGCACAGCGCTCCTATTTCGGTGAACATAGCAGCTTTAATTTATTGTCTCTTTTGATGATTATATCTATTTCTGGCACTTTTATCTTAACAACTGGCTTTCTATATATTGAATCGTGAACTTCTTGGTAACTATTGCTCGGGGATTGTGTTAAGATGATTTAATATGATTAAATGTCTCAGATTCTAAGTTGACGATATTTTGCCGTATTGTATCATTTTCTTTACATCTTTTTGTACAAAACTTGGGGTAAAGTTGTTTATCACAATGGAGTAAAGTTTGATTGAATCTCTATAGACGAAGAAGTCCAATGCCAAAGAAGAAAAGATCTAAGGACCCAAGAAGGAAGTGAAATCCAACGGAAGTTAGAAATTGAAGAAAAAAAGCAAGCATTAAAGTGAGGTTGAGATGAATTTGAGGCAGCAGTAAGATCTTTTTTGGATTTAACTCGGGAATGTTTGTTTTTTAAAGCTTGAAATTCTGTGACTCATGACATCAGCCACTAAAGGGATCTGTTTGCTCAAAAGCACTGTAGTATTCTGAAATCACTTTTGATATTCAAATGTCATTGGCTAGATTCGTATAAGTGCAACCTCGTGGTCTCCTTGTAAAGCGTTGTGTCTCTAACATGTGATTAAAGGGATACAGCTGCTAACATTTTTCTCTGAAGCAGAGAGATTTTTGTAGTTCACTGGTTAATTTAGTCTTAAGACATCAGTGTTTGATTTAACGCTGTCGACAAATAGCTGTTCAACTCGTAATGGATCAAGTATTTAAGGCTGTTGTCTCAATAACGAGCTCTTTTTCAGTAGAGGAAGGCATATATTTAATCTTCCATAGTAGATTCATTGAATGATATTCAGCTTGGATGCATTTTGCCTAGTAAATTACTGGTCTTTGTCGATAAGGTGTATTTGATGAATAAAGAAACAGTAACTTCCTGCAATTTATCACAGAATAGAGATTAAACTCTATTCTTTGAATTTATCTAGGTTGGGTATGTTTGACTGTAGGCTTTAATCTAAGAAATATGTACTCCTGAACTCTTTTCTATAATTTTACAAGAATTGCATTTATTCTTTCCCTGTGGTTGCTGTTTACATCTTTGTCTTTCTGTTTACGTTCTTGATATCAACTCCTCATTTAGAACTATCGTGATAAAATGTGCATCATTACCCCTAGGCATTTTTTATCATATGAGATGCTAAATTCATGTTGAGGGACTCGTTTTACTGTTGTGTTTTTTCATCAAAATTCTTTTCGTTAACAATTTGACTCGTTTAGTTTTTATTGAATACGGGACTCGGCTGGTGAGATCATTCAGATCCAGGTTTACATATCAAATCCTAAATATCCTAAGATATCCATTTTCTGTCTGGCTGGGGTCCTTAGATATGCATTTGATATGCATAAGATATTCAGGTATACATATCATATTCTAAGATATGCATTTGATTTTCTCACGTTTTTCACAGTTAAGGTATTTGCAAAACTGTGATTTCGATGCCTCTTAATTGATATGTAACTGGTACAGGCATTTGTTAAGTGCAATCCCCAGTACCTGCGTGGTTGTTACCTATTTGACCCATCATGCGCTCTAACATCATCTCACTGTGCCTATCCAGCGACCCTGTCAATCAACTCAACGATCTCCTAGTTTTTGATACAATCAGCCTATTTTTCCATTTGTTTCGTATAATCATTTCTTGATGATTTATTGAAAATGTAAAGGAGTTGCGCCATGTGCTCAATGACATACTTAAAATTCGAACCATTCTTAGCACCTAGGATATATTCTCTAAACCCTGAGATGATTAAAGAAATTTCCATTCATTTTCAGCCATATCTGTGTGGATCTTTGAAGTCTTTGTTCAGATTTTTCTCTTGCAAGCAGGGTTTGTGCCACTTAGGACGATCGGTCAGCTGGGGTCCTTGTATGTTCTACCTCAAGCTCTTTCAAAGCGTTTCTTTTCATGCAAAAGCTTTCATTTTCATTTATGCTGCGTTTTATTTGCCGCTTCTCTACTCAATTTGCTCGCCATCATTTAAGAACCGGATATAACATAACGGTCATTGCAAATCTTTGTTGGTTTCCTAGTGTTTTTCCTGAAACTTGTCTCAACTCAGAAAGTGTTTACACGTGCTCTACACCTACGCGAATAAAGGATTAAATATACCGTCCTTTCCAGCTTCGATTTCATGCACTTTTATTTAAGACATATCATTTATCTTTGAAATACAGTGATTTTTCTGATTCAATTACCAAAGGGACTTGGTTACAGACTCCTTATCGTTTGCTGTTGAGTCAGAAAGACAGCAGAAGATACATTAGTGATCGGAGCGTTAATATGTTAATGCTTTTAAAAAAGGTTAACAGTAAAGCACTAGGTATCGAAGCTTATAAACATTTGAGTAAAATTCGAAGGGTTTACAAGAAAGCGTTCGCTGCCACGAATTATGAAACAGTCTTCTGCGCTCGTACAGCCTTTCAACAGATTCACCTCTTTCATTTTTACATCAAAGTTAGTTTTTGGTCCCTTAAACATGCGATTCCTTTGCCTAGGCTGTGCCTCAAACTCCTCATTAGCATTAACATAGAAATAGTATTCAATTAAGGGGTACTATTGGTTGATGCTGTTGTTGTTGTTGCTATTTCTGTTGTTATTGATGCTGTCGCTGTTGTTGCTGTTGCTTTGTTTGGAAAAGAACTGTCATTTTTCTTAATCATTAAGGAATTTTGTTTGTTAAAATTGCGCATTAAGAAAGGAAATCCTGACATAAGGGAAGTGTGTGTTGTTTGTTAAACAGTTAGAGTAAGCGGTACGTATATAATAAATGAGAGAACCTTTCTTTGCACTTGTTCTAATGCGATTGGGGGCCTTTAAAAGCTAGACAAAGAGAATTGAAAACAACACCAGACGTAAATATACATCCTGCTTACATAATCAATCGTAAACCTTTTCAAGCATTTTTGATATAAATGCTGTAAGCTACTTCACATGATTCCACCAAGATGCACATGTGATTTGCAGCTTTTCAATTTGAACCTTTTGCATTGTTCTACTAAACACATGCATAGATAATCAGAGAGAACGCTTACTGAGCTTTAGTTTGGCCTCTCGATACGCGATCGCTTCTGGCCCTAAATCGAACTGTGTCGAACAATGAACAGGAAAACCATTTCCCAAACATCAAAATTCGCCAGGAAAGAACTATATTTTGTGTTCTTATCTCTCGTTACTTTACTTGGTAGATAATGTTTTTCCCTTGATAACGGGTTTGCTTTTAAGCTGGAATATGTGAACAAGACTTGAGTTTCTTTTATGTTGATGTTTTCGAAGTCACTTGATAAAGATTAGGACATAACGAAGTGGTACATGAGTGTTTATTTCATATGCTTTTGTCTTCTCGATCAAAGAGTTCTTTATAACTAAACGGCTGTTCTTGCTGGGCCTAATTCATCGCACACTTGGACTGTGAGATTGAAGCGACGTTTCAACGGGGTCTATACAAAATGAGATGATAGAGGGCTATTGCCTATTAAACTTGTGATAATCGCTACACGGGGGAATCAAATTATGCATTATTTCTAGCTGATTTTTGGAATATTTTTATTTTCATTCATTTTACGGCGAGCCGTGCAAAGAAACATTTCCGTTTGGGAAATATGGAAGGGAAAATGTTGGTAGACAGTTGGTTACGTTTAAAGTTGTGTATTTTTCCAGTTTTGATAATCGAGTTACAGGCTATGAACAGGCTATGAACGTTCAACAGCTATGAACAGGCTATCAAATTTTCCATTGCTTTAATAAACCATTGCTTTTTTTCCTAAAAAGGGATGTTGACCTAGTCACAAGGAAGACGAATCACTCCTTATTGCCCAACTTTTAAAAGCAGCTTTAAAGAGCTGTCCAAAGAGCTGTTCAATAGAATATTAAGGAAAGTCGCATGTACATCTGTTTCACTTTTTTAGAAGTTTTAGACATAGAGGGTCTGATAACGGAAGAGACATAACTCCCTCATGGCATTGATAATAGAATCTCCCTATCTGGTTTAATGATGCAGTGAATATATCATTGGAGGTAAAACATTCCTTGGCTGTCTTCAGCTTAAAGAAGCCTTTCAGTTTACGCAGAGATATACTCAGACGAGTTTTTTTTTCGTTTCTAAACAATTCATTATGTTAGAGCTAACGCCTTCCGCTATTCTGCAAAAATTGCTCTTGCTTTGCTTTCATACATAATTTTCCTTATACTACATCGATCATCAAAACGATAACTTTTTGTAACTGCGTCGTCAAACTGTCTGCGGAAAAACAGAGCAACCAATACTGTGTGTAATGTGCCTGACACCAACTCCTCCGCACAAGTTATCTTTGGCGTCCCCCCGTGTTATAATTCCTTCATTTCAAATTAACATGAAAAGGAGGGCAACACTCTTAACTGGAGAAAACCTGAACGAAGAAATTATTATTCCCTTGCTCATAGCTGTGGAACATGTCGTTTCTCATTAAAGACATTCTCGGTGACACCGTTGACGAAGATTCACCTGTCTCCTCGTGCGCGAAAGAAACTTCATTAAGAAATAGCTCTCACCATTACGAATGCAAAGGTTATGTTAGAACGAGTTCGGGTACGTAGAAAATTCTTATACAATTTCATATTGCTGAAATGTCTGCATTCATGGCAGATTTAAGTTTGAGCTGTACCTCAAAGTTTTGTATTTTCACAAACGTTTTGCAATATGGTCAATACTTCCATCTCGTTCATCTTGTAGCAAAAGTGCTCTCTTATAAAGCTTTTAGAATGGCTGTCAAATATCCCATCTTTTTGTTAGGAATCAACTTTTAAGAAGGTAGTAGCCTTTCCCAAGTCCTCTGCTCGGGACAGGGTGCTTGAGAATCCCCATGACACGAGATATTAAACGATACCCTAATTAAATGAATTAAGTTTGAGTTTGATGACAAATATATGATCAAAACATACTTCATGACACTAATAAGGAACGTTATACTGAGATGTTTGATGGAACATAACACTTTTTGATATTCTTATACATTTTGGCGTTTTCATTATACTTGTAAAGCTAATGTCTTTATTTATTTATATTCATATTCAAAGCAATTGATTCCATATTAGATGGCTTCTTCAACTAGGAAAAAAGCGATCGCTTGGGTGTGAGTTTTATGCATGCATACATTAAGAGAGTGATGGAAAAATCTTTAAGTTAGAATAACCCGACCAAGCGCAATACGCCTTGACTTAGCAACAGTATTATACAGACTCGATCCAACGGTACCAAACATTTTTATTCATCTTGACTAAAGAAATGTTTACTAAAGAAGTCGCTTATTCCTTATGAATTTTTACCTTCAATAAGTTTAATTGGATGCACCTTTCAGTTCTCCTGACGGCATGTTGCCATTTAGAAACTACAGGTAAAACTAGGACATGATCTTTGTTAACTCTCACCATGTCGAAAATATGCACTCAACTCCATTCAGGAATTTTATTCATATTCAAACATGCTTGTGCTAAGAAGTGTTCCCAGCAAATCAAGTTGAAAAATATACTAATTTGTTTTTTCTAGCATTTATAAGAAATGACCAAATCCTTTATTGAAGCTTATAACGAAATGGAGCCAAAATAAAACGGGTAGACTTGCATGATGAAATTGTAAATTTTTTCTCTCATTAAAAAAATATTCGTTTTAGGAAGAGATTCAAAGGGCGACTGCAGGTCTCTGCTAAAGGATCGACAAACGAGTGTTGATCAAATAGGAAAGAAAAGGAGAATTCTTTTTTCAAGACAACAGACATGGGAGTTAGAGCGAGCGTTTCGATACCAACCCTATCTCTCCTCACCAGAAAGAGATATGCTTGCAAGAAGAATACATTTGTCACCTAATCAAATCAAAATATGGTTCCAAAATCATCGTTACAAACTGAAAAAGTACGTAAAAGATGTTATCCAACAGGCCGAATTTGATAACGATTATTCGCTGAACACGGGTTATGGGAAACAGGGTTTGTCAAAAAGAGAACACTGCCATGTTTGTTTTCCATGTGAGAAGGAACGACCCTTCACAGTGGAGTTGTTCGGCAGAAGTAACTTTGGTCCTTACATGCAGCAAAACCCGAGGAGTTGTACTTGCTTCTGTAGTAGCATTGCTAATCGTTATACTGACACGCCCTTTTCTTCACATTCGTATAGAATGGCACATCGCTAGAACGATATCTGACAGCCTATGAGTTAGGCGTAATCAGGACTAACAATTTTCAGGTCGACAACGTATTTAAGCAAAGTTCGTCGTGAACAACTGTCCTAAGGACTTGGGGCTTATTGGCTGTGAATTACTTTTGCACCACCGGAAAATTGCAAACTTTGTGCAAATTAAGTATAAAAATAAAGCCGGTGTAATATGCGTTTTGGTCCCTATATAAAAGTGTAACATTGTAAAACACAACGTGTTTCAAATCATGTGATTTCATCGTAGTGCGATGTTACGGCACGTTATGAGTAACAAACTGAACACAATGCTTTTCGAGCATAAAATTTCACATTTGTCAATCAAGCAAACTTTGAATTTTTAGGTGGAAATCACTTCTGTTAATTTGGACATGAGCAAAAAATTGTGAATACTTTGTATATTTCGTTTGTAAAACTGTGAAGCGATTTCTTTGGAAGCGAGATATAAACTCAATTTCATAATTGTCTTAAGTTATAGATAAGTAATTGTTTTGCAATGGTAAGCTTCTATAATATTCATGTGCCACAAAATTTGTATTAGCTTTTAATTTTCATTAGATGCCAAAATAGGCTGGATAGTCTGTTCTTCTGTTTTGTGAATATCCTTGCTGGCTGTGAAGAAAAAATATATATAATTTGAAGGTGATTAATTGAAGTCTTCAAACTTTTTCAGGCACCGCGCAACCATTGGGCTAGCAGGGGCTATAGCCCTCCCCCCCCCACTTTTTTGCAATAATAGGTTAGAAAATTTTTTGAAAGTTTACTCTGGCGCAACTGTGGAAAGTTTACTCGAACGGATCCATGTAGTAGCAGTTCTTCTTGACCCTTTTTATTCATTCTCTTAGCGTCTTATATTGTTAATCTATTGTCATGGTAATTGTTCTCTTTTCTGAATTAAACTGTTGCAAGCGTTTTCTACAAGGGGTGTTTTCCGGTATTCTAAAGGGCGTGGCCTCAAAAAATTTCGGTCACACCCTTCTCAGCCCACCCACTTTTAGACTGGTGCGCAGTGCCTGAAACTTGTTTCAATGATGAAGTGAAAACTTTTAAGTTTAGATGTGGCAGGCAACCAAAAATTAACTTAAGTAAGGTTTCTATTTAAAGGCTGTCTTCAGCAATAAACAGGAAGACAATTAAAAATTATGCTAGGAATCGAGCGTTTTGCACAGGGAGTGTTTCTTACGTAGGTGTTTTGCAGTGGAGATAGTCATAATCGATTTAAGTCCCAAATTTTCCTTTGTGTGCTTCTGGCTGATGAGCTTACTCTCCATAACTTTATATTACTATCTGCCTGATCAAATTAATTTTCCCTACAGAGCCCAAGAGGAACTTTTATGTTTGGGCTTGAGATTGTAGCAACATGGTAGTGGCTACTCCCTAGGTCCTTCACCTTTTTCGTATTTTTTTCCCTCATAATTTATTTTGATTCAAT